GTCCGAATGATGAGGGCTGCTTCTCAAACCTAGTGCTTTCTGGTTTGGTTCAACCGGGAAGACGAGCTTGTTCTCGGCTTTTCCGATTGAGAGGCTGAAAAGTTGCCAAAGGCCGTATCCCACTTGTTAAGCGTGCCCCCGATTCAACTCGCACAAGCACGGAGGGCTCCGAGCTCACCACCTAGTTGCTCGTAAGCCCGTGCGATTTCCTTCATTCCTTTTCCAACTTATTTGAGCTTCTTCCTTCTTCGCTGTCTCCCTAAGCCTTCCCTCAACCCTCGCCTTGCTCTTTGCTCTTGTCCTCAAGGGCATCCCTTCCCCGGTTGCAGCCGCAGTCCCGCGCCTAAGCCCTCCTATAATCGGCCCGAATCCCGCAGGTTATGGAACATGCCCTAGCGTTACAAGGCGCCGGCTGTTTCGCTGTCGTTCTCGAGTGCATCCCCCCACCGTGGCCGCCGCGATCAACCGCTAACTCTTCCTAACCCTGCCCAAACCCGCAGGTCATGGAACATGCCCTAGCATTACAAGACGCTGGCTGTTTTGCCGTCGTTCTCGAGTGCATACCCTCTCCGGTTGCCGCCGCAATCACGCGAGGGCTGCACATACCCACCATCGGCATCGGCGCAGGGCCTCTCACGAGCGGGCAAGTACGTCTTCCGGTTTCTGACAAGTAGCAGATATACGCATTCATAGTCAAAAGAAAAAGCTTGAGCAATTGCTCTTATTTGAATTCGACATTTCTATGTCACTCAAGGGAAGCACTACTAAATTGGGCTTGCGGGTGATTGTCTCCTATTCTTTTCTAGTGCTCGACCTCTGACGGTCAGGGCTTGTCCTTGCGGATCGACATACGAAGTCGGAAGCCCCTGACAATCACACTACTGTGAGTGCTGATTGCGAGTGGCAATTGCGGTCAAGTGACCTGCTCTTCTACGATAGGGTCGCACCCGTGTACGAAGCCTTTCAGTCTTGACTTCGCCGAAACCGGAGAAACTCGCCTGAGAATTGTATCCAACGGTGAAACAACAGCATTGACTCCGGCACACTAAACGGTTGCTTCCTGGCGGCCAACCTTTGTAAGAAGCATTCCCCTCCGTCTTGGAGCAGGTACTTTGTCGCAGATTTTGCAATTGTGTCGAAACGGAAAAGATTACTGGCAAAAGCAACGTACATCTACACGTGTCCATCCTTGATCTGCACCTCTACGTCACGTCCTGCTGACGTGGCTCTCATCTGCAGGTCCTGGTGTATCACGACTTGCTGGGGATGATGCAACACCCACACCACGCCAAGGTAAGTTTCCAAGAATCTACAAGCTCTAAGCATCCGATAGGCACGGCATGCTCTTGAAACAAGCATAGAAGGTCACTTTTGTCGATTGATTGGACTCCGGCCCCTTTAAGTCGTCCAACGATTGTCGCTTGTGGGGATCCCTGCCACTGGCAATCCTCTAAGTTCTCTGCCGACGGTAGAATTCGTCACGACGAATGTTTATCAGGCGAGGGAGTTACCGCCCCCGCAAAAGCTTTCCACCACAGGAGACTCTGGTCCAGGAACTCGTTCTTTGTCAGTACGCCGAAAGATTGTCTGCTGACTATAAGCCCCTCTCTACGCCCTTGATTCAACCATTTGGCAAATTTCTAGGTTCTCCTGGCGCTTTCCGTATCCTTGTGTCCACTGTTTTGCGGAAAACGAGACGTGTTCGTTGAATTGATTTCCAGAACCTGTTATTCTCTCCGGCCCTCGCTCTCCTACCGGTCCTCGTTGAAGACTCGTGCCGCTTAAAGGTCTCAGCAGTCTCGGGAAAAAGTTAGATACTGAAGGCATGAAAGCTCAGAGAATTATGCAGCCCGAAACAGGTAGAAAACCCTGAAGCTTGTGAACTTGCAACCGACAAACCTAAGTTCCTCTTGACCCATTTGTTCTTCCAGGTGACGCCCAAGTTTTGCAAGCAATACGCAAATGTCGGAGCAGTCATTGGGGCTGCGCTAGTCGACTACCGAAACGAGGTGTCCAGCCGAGCCTTCCCGTCCCCAGCGCACACCGCATACAGGTGCGTTTTTCGTCAGTACAGAGCCGGTTGTTGCTGAGTGCAGAGGGCGTAATACGCAATACAGTCGCCATTTTGTATGTTGCGTTGCAACAAATTGTTCTGGAGACCTACGCCGCGCGGAGTTGCTCGGTATAAGACATCAGTGACATGCAGTCCTTAAAAGCGGTTGCGTTGCACCTTCTCTTGCGAGAGCCGCGCCGCACACGATTGCTCGGTGCAGAACACGGTAACAGATCACTTCTCCCCGCTGGTTTGCCTCGTATTCATATTTTTCTGACGAGAATATATTAATGAAAGCATGCGAGAACAAGGCGGCAACCAAAATTGAGCCATGGTTTACATCCTTGGACAAATCGATGGCTGACCTCCGTCCATTCGTTCACAGGATTGACCCGGAACAGGCCCAAAGCTTCGAACGAGAGCTGAGAGAACGAGGCCTCACGGCTGCTGCAGAGGCGGCCGCCGAGGCCCAAGTGAGGGATCTAACAGCAGGGGAACCACGGTTCAAAACGCAGGCCATGGACTAATGTGAATGATTCACCGTTATCTTGTGTATGAGAAGATCCACGGTCTATGTACTTTTGCGTTGGTACCAAATCGGTCGAATCCGAATAGGAATCGCTTCGAAGGCGCCCAGTACAAGCGAGGAAGATATCCATATGTTACGATATTCTAGGTCGTCTCCTTCTCAGAATAATTGAGGTATCAATGATGCGCGTCATGTCAACAGCACTGGCATGTCAGGTTGTTTGATGGATCATCTTGTGTAGCCTGTTGCGATTATAAGCACAAGCCAAAGTTGACAGCGCTTACCGCCGTTAGCATACCTGCAGCCTCTGTGGCCGATCATGGTGAGACTAACATCGAGGTGCAAAGGTTATCTCGACCATCTTGCAAGTTCCCGCTTGATTTTTTGTCTGACTGCATTGGTGCGCCGTGGCTTGCTGCATGCAGCAAGGTACTAAGGTAGCCCCTCTAAGAAAAACCCTTGCGCAAAGCGCTATTACCTTTATAATGGCGTCCAGAATAGCTTGATCAATCGGGGCCCTAGTACTGCCTAGCTAGTACCTACCACCCTGCAATGGCATGTTAGCTGAAAATGGAAATATGTGAACGGACTGGGGCCGCCATCATCATGATTAATCACTGGTTTCGCCGTTAACCGGCGCCACATTGCAACCCAAGGCAGCCAGAAGAAACCGGTTATACCTACCGAGTATATTTCTGTAGTTATAAACATGCTCGGTTTGGCTCTCCGTTCATCTGTTCTGCAAAAGACCCGCGCTCCGAGTTTCGGTACGCAGCAATGCCGGTTTGCGGAACCGGAATAAGAATGGAAGTTCTGCTTCTAGCTGCATATGACTCGATCTGAGCTTCTTGCTCGCCATTGCAGCTCTGGCTGCTCAAGCTGAAGCCAGTGAAGGGCGGAGCTAGCTTTGGACCTGAAGGCGCGCTAAGCTCCTGCAGAGCTCTGATTGTTTCATCCGGACGCTTGCACCTCATGCAGACGGGGTCCCAAGTCTTAGGCTTCACAAGGAGGGGGTTCTTCCTGACCTCGCAAGGTCACAAACAAGCGGTCTGCAAATTAGAACAGACGCATTGCTCTTGGGAGAAGACAGCCTCAAGGCCAGCATTCTCAAAAGTGTGGAAGCTCACTGTCCAATGCTAACCCTTTTGGGGTGAGAGCAACCGCTCTTGAGCCTCTGGGGCACATCTTCTGGAGGTGTGTTCGGCCCTCCTGGCAGAAAAGCGGCGCAAGTAGCAACCGATAGAAACACGGTGTCTGCGGCCCTGTTGCAATACCTGCTGGGCAAGAGGGGGTCACGCAGAGGCCCCCCTCGCCCCTCCGCCCAGGGCGCCAGCATTTATCAGCAGTATGACTGGTCACCTTATCCTTCCTGGATGGGGCCAGTCATTGAACAGCCTGCTGAGGCGCCGCAACCAGAAGCTGCTCCGAGTGCGCTGCAAAACCAGGTGCACAATTCATCGGAAACCCTAATCCAGGCTCGGGGCCAAGATCATAATGCGCCGAATCCTGGGGTTCCGGTCAGCCAAAGCTTCAGCAGGGAGAGTTCTTTTCGGAATGCGGACAGCTGGAGGGAAGCGCAGGCGTTTGTCCAGGTATCACTCACATCAGGAATCAGGCCACATGTCCCGCCGAGCATTGGGTACAGGGCCCTGTGGCCGTCGGACCTGGGGACGCTGCAGGCGATGCACGAGGCCCTGTTTCCAATCAAGTAAGCACTTGATTGTCTAACTTCTAGAGTGATTTGAGACCAACTTGATGGGACTAAATTCTGAGGTCATTAGAGACACCACCTGTCTTGTGCCCCAATCGCTCCTGCCTTTAGCGGGCATCTTTACGAGGAACAGTGGGATGAGAGTACACCACCCGACGTCACGATCGACATAGTCTCAAGTAAAATGAGCAACTCCACCGGGCTTGCGTACTTTCCTTCCCTTGCATCAGCTTCTCCAGGTTTGCAGAAACAAAGGAGAATCCTTCTGTATTTGATTGGGGCTGTGCGTTCAAAAACAGCAAGCACTGAGCTGAGAAGTGGATGAGATGTTGAGTTACATGCACTTGTCCATTCAGGGCTCCCGGCATGAAAGAAGGGAATTGCTTCAAGGTGATTCGATTCGCAGCTTAACATATTGAAGCAGATTCTGAAACATCAAGAGTCCTAGCAAACAATTCCCCCATCTGTGTTACCAATCAAAGCAGGCTATCAGACTCAGGTGACCGAAATGAATCCATCACCCAACGATTGTCCTGTCGATTTGAAACAGGTATGAAGCGGACTTTTTCAACAACGCAGTGACTGGCCGGGGCATCATCTCATGGGCTGCGGTTGACCGCAGCAGAGGTGGGACGGAGACAGGGCAACTGATTGGGTTTGTAACAGCCAAGGTTGTAACATCTGGCGATCCAGAAGTTCAAGTGAGTCAAAAGGGCTACACATGCCGCTGCGGTTTTCGACAAGTATCTCAGCATTGTCCGTTGATTGTTTGCAACTCCCGCAAGCTGGCTTCTCAGCATTATGGTTTGAATCAGCACTTTGAGAGATCCGCTAAAGAGACGATGAACGGTGACTGTTTTTCTTGTTCTCTTGAAAAGGTTCGGTCAAAAGATCTGTTTTCTTGTTATGCTAGAAACCTTGGTGCAACAATGATTTCTCAATTCTAATGGTGACCTCGCTTGTAGGTGTCAGATATTGCTGGTCATGTCAAAACTTCTAAAACAAGATCTGTGCAAAGGATTTTCCGCAACTCGAATGATGACCTCAATTGCAGGAGTCAGATATTCTTGCCTTCGAGCTGAAGAATGCGAACCAGACCATGATCTACATCCTAACACTCGGGATTGCCAAGCCCTATCGAAACCTCGGGATTGGTAAGCAGCGGAAGCCCCTCTTCTCTCATCCAGGCAGACACTCAGCTCAAGCGGGCTCTTCTTGTAAGTTGCTGAGTACTACTTGCCCTGAAAGCTGGCGACTTTGACCAACAAACAAAGGGTTGAGTTTGGGATCGATATCTTTGTTGAGTCGAGTATCTCAAAGCAAAAGGTCGGCAAGTTCGAGTGCAAATCTGCACGAAGTCAAGCCAGGATGACGTCGCAGTTGGTTAGCTACCTGGCAGATTGCAAGTCAGGTTTCGGTCGGTTGTAATCAGGATTGAAGGCTCGACTTCTAGCATCTGCGGATTATAAGAGTCGTCGCTCCTGACCCGGACTTTATGAAGTCGGCTTCCCATCAGGTCCAACGATCGTGAGCCTGTCTACCAGTCTACTCAGCCCCAAACTGCTCCGACATAAAAGTGGCTCAGACTCATCAAAGTGTCTGCACACGATCACCCGTTAGCAAGCCTGAACGTTACTGACTTCCCACTTTTTTAATATACGAATCTTTAGGATCTTAGCCAATTCTTTTCTTCCTCCAATCTAAGGGAAGGGTTTCCGTTGTGAGCAATGAAAATGATCCGTCGATTGTCTTAAAGACGGAGTTGCTGAGAGTGGTTCATTCTGCCTCTTGCAGTCCGGATGCTTGCGCGGCAATTGTTACATCACGCAAAGTGCTCACCCCTCGTCGCACACGTGTAAAATTCAGGGCAAGCATCATGCAAGCTAATGCTAAGTCCCCCCTTTCCCTCTCTCCCGTGCAGCGTCGACGCTTATCTGGCAAGTCATCCAGCACGCCTCTGCCGCTCCGCTCTGCAAGGCGGTCTTCCTCCACGTGATTGACTACAACACGAGCGGAATCATGTTCTACAAGCGGAACGGCTTCCAGTGCATACGGCGGCTAGCCTCCTTCTACCAAATCAACTCGCAGTTCTACGACGCGTTTCTCTACGTGTACTATGTCAACGGAGGAAGCCCTCCTTACTCGCCATTGTGAGTGGCTGGTCCAATTCAAGGTTGCTGTGCACAGGATGGATCCGAAGGGCCGGGGTTCTCGTCCTAGAAGGTCTGAAAGGGGCTCGTCAAAGTTGATGAACTCTGTGCGGTGTCTTAGCTCCCTCATTGCTTGCGATGACGTGCCTGCTGCTTGACTCGACTGGCGTTTGCTTCCGCTTTCGAAAAAGCTGGCTACTGTAGTCAAGTCCTCAGAAGTGGGAGCTGCACTAGCCTTTGAATTCGATTCGCAAGAGGATTATGAAGCACGTTGCAAGGCGTATACCTATTGTCTGTATGACGGCATCTTAACTACTATTTGAGCCAGTGCGCATCATCTTCCTCCGTCTGCTGATCAAGCGTCTCCGAGGGCAACATTCTCCACTTTCTATCAACACTTCTTTTCGTTTCAGCATTATCCATTGCCGGTAGCAAAATCAGTACCGTAGGTACTCTTGCGGATTCAGTCGTACTCACTGCACCAGGTCGCTGTATGAAGGCACGTTGGAACTGCTTCTCTCTTGTCACTGATAGGGTAATCTGCACGAATGACCAGAACACCTCGCTCGGTACCGTCTGACTTTTGAAAGCGTTTGCAGGGGCCTCTTCATGCTGGCGGGGTCCTATCTCAAGAGCCTGTGCGTAAACGTCGGATCTTATATCCTCGATCTACGGAACAGTGTTGGCGACAAGCGGAGCAAGTGGAGGGTTTTCTGTGGACCCTTCAACAGTAGGAGTTTGGTAAGACAGCTTCCGAGTGCCCATGCTTCAGTCTAGTTTAGGTATTCTCACTCAGCAACTGCGCGGAGAAACTGATCATTGATCCGTAATTGTCAACACTTGGAAAACGTAGCGTGTACAGCAGATTTGTTTTTCTTTCCGGATCAGAAGTTGTTCCTCGCTCGAAATAGACACATATAGCACGCAGTATCCGACTTCAGTGATGAGGTTCTCAGGCCCTGCCTTGAGGTCACCCGCTTCCCGCTGCCAGGGAGAATCTGCTCCTATATGCGACATATCTCTGGCGGCTAGCGATGGCAAGTTCCTCTATTCTCAAAAGCAAGTCACTATCAAGCTTCATGCAAGTTCGCAACTCGGTTGGGAATCTTCCTAAATTAGGCATACGTGTGTAAAACTGAGTCGCATATATGGACACTAAATGCGTCTTCACTGGCGATCATTCTTTATAGTACCGTGAATGCATACGAACCATGCCGCCTGCCAGTCCCAATTACAAGCGAAGCAACGTACTGCCAACGTACATACTATGTTCGGAGAAAGACTCCAGCTGTTGGGCAGCTAGCCGCGGCGCTCTGGTCGAAAATTTGCAGATATATCAATTGTTGTAGACATGTGTACAATTACCATACAATCTGGCAAGTGTGTGCACAAGTATAAGTTCATCCGACCATACATGCACAGTGTATTGGCCACCACATGCTTGAGGCAGCGCGCATTGATCGGATTGATCGATGCTTTCGAGCACACGTTTCGTGTTACATGCATGATACTAGCTGGAAGACCTGCGCGATCGTAGCCTGTGTATGCGCGTAACACGGCGATGTATTGCACCTCAGGCATGCTGAGAACCATCATGTGACCGTCCCAACGCGGGCCCGTGTGCAACGTGACCTAAGATACCGTACGCGTTACCCAGGCACGTGAACGAAAACCCCAACCGGAGTATGGACGCGCTCCGCACCCGAGCGGAGCCCACCCTGACCACGAGATTAACCCAACCCGTCTCCCGGGTGCCTATCTTACGTCACATGCCTGTTAAGTCGCTCGATCAGAAGCATCGGAGGGCCTCAGGCCGCCTGGTTACTGTAAACTGACCAACGGTTGCTGGAGCGACCCTCTTCGTCGTGCATGCTTGATGTATGCTTTGAAGCAGAGCGATCGGATGTAATCTGATCACATCACGTGCAGTCATTCACGCCCTACTGACACGAGCTTGATGTACACGTGACCGGTGGGCGGAACTTGAGCTGTCATGCACAATCAATTCGACAAAGATGAGGATCACGACGGTGTCATGCATTTTGTTGAAAGCTAGGTGACTGCTTTGACCAGCTAGCCTGCCGATACTCGAATGCTGGAAAGAGTTGTCGCAAGCTTTGACACTCGCTTCATCACAATGCGTGTAGAGGACCGTGAAATGAATGAAAACGCGTATAACACGTTTGAAGTCTTCGTTCCTTTCAGACAATGCACGCTCTTCAGACCTGCGTCTTAAGATACGTACCGTAATTTGGAAGAGCTCGCTTTCAAAATCGTCTACTTTTTGGAGTTGACCAACTTACAAAGAGTGCGTGGCGGCGTAAGCAATTTCTGCTAAAAACCCTTGTCAATCAATCCATATGACATTAGTGTTGCAAAGTCCCGGCCATCGATGCATGTCAGACGCTATTATCAAGCGAAGATGACGGCAAAAAGTTCGGCATTAAAGCAGCGCTAGCCGTTTGCTTTCAGGACAATTTTTACTCGAGAGTACAAATAAGATTATGACCTGGTTCCTAAGTTCGGTAATTTTTCGGAAAGAAGTCCTTGCACCGACCGTAGGTACCTTGGGACGAGCATCTTAAAGAGCAGCTTGTGGGAGCGATAGCGCCACCTCTCCAAGACAAGATCAGTCTGCTGTTTAAGAGATTTCGAAGTTTCAGAAGTTCACATTTTACCGCCCCTTGAGAGAGCTGCGACGTTAGTGAGGGCAGGGGACGCAAAGAGGAGAATCATTTCAGCTCAAGCGCAAATTCTCGCCAAGACATGGCGAGGGTCAAACCCGTTTCACAGGAAAGGGCATAGCGAAGGCAATAGAAGGCGCTGATAGTTCAACAACGTGTGCAAGGTGCTGCAGTCACGACGCTTGTGAGAAGCGCGTTCGTTTGTTTAAGGTTGCAGTTTGGAAAAGGAGCTAGTGCTTCATGACGTCATCTTTGGCGTGTTTGTAGCGCCATCAAAGAGAAGCAGAACGGCGCAGCGAGGGGACATCCGCAGGAGCTCAATTCTGAAAGTGCAAGCGGCTTCGCTCGATAGTCATCTGCGATTCGTGCTCAAAGCAAGCAGAAAGGCTGGGTTGCAGGATATCAGAAGCATGCCATTAATCCGCAGAGCCTCCTGAGGCAGGCCAAAAACTAAAAAGGTAAGCCTCTCATGAAACTCTCTGAAGATTCCAATAGCTTCCTCTCAGAGAGGGGTCAGGTGTGATGATTGTGGTCGATGATTGATGCTTTCAGGCGCAAATTCTAGCAGGCCAAGACCATCTTTCAAGGCCTCCAATTTGTTTTGGCCTCGTACATCTAAGGACGCATCTGGAATCCTCGCCCCCAGTCGCAAGGCTGAATTGCACCACAAGGACGTCCATGTCCATTTTCCTGCGAACGGAGTCGTAGTATGTGAGCTCGGTCCCATTTGCTTGAAAGCAAAACTTGAAAAGCTTTTGACCTGTGGGACTGGTTGTAATCAGAGCAGGAGCCGGAAGAATTGAATGAACATCCGCATCTCGTTGGAGAATGACAGATCTCGAGTTTCAGATTCCTTTTTCCTCATGATCAGTGACTTTGCAGAGCAGCATTCACGACAATCACACTCCCATCATATCTTGCCCCTTTTTTACAGTAAATCATGCAAAGTCGGACGGGGGTTAGGATACCTCTATAAGGCACGAGCATGGTCCTTGTACGTCCGCCTATTCTGGAAACGAATAAGCATTCTTTTGCGAAACTTTTCATGCTGTCTTTGGACGTCAAAGCCGTTTCTTTTCACATGCAGGTAGTCGAGAAGCAAGATAAGCGGGCAGCTTATCGCAAATAGTCACCCACCGCAAATTCATGCGAAGGCTCTGTCTTCGCTTGAGCTCGATAGCTGACCAAGGGGCGCAACTCTCAATACGTGATTCAAATCACAGCAAACCTTTGCCCCGAAAAGCACCTACAGGATTCAGAACCGGCGATAGCGGAAGGATCAGTAGTATTCGAGCAACCTTAGGATAGGAAAGCACCAACTTGCCTGGTTGCTCGATCAGAGAGTACAAGAATGGTGAGCGAGGAGAGCCTTTCAGGGCCGGTGGACCGATACAGGGGGGGCTCTCAATACTCTGAAGGGGATGCAGCCGACTCAAGGCGTACTTCCAAGTCTGTAGTGCAACTGGAAATACTTCTTCGTGAAACAGAAGCCGTGAGGGAGGGGGAAGCAGACGAGGGGCAAGAAAGGGGGGGATCAGAGGGTGGAGATCCACCAATTGAAGAATCGCCAGAACAAAACCCGCTGGAAGAAGATCCACCGGAAGAGGATCCGCCGGAAGACGTTCAGCGAGAGGTAGATCCGCCGGAACAGGGGCTTTCGGAAGCCGGACACGGGCGCGGAACTCCGGTCTTTCCTTTCGACCTCAATCGGCCTTACAGTCCTCAGGCAGCCACCCTCCGGAAGTCCGTTCCGTTCTTCTCATTCCCGTCGCATGAAAAGCCAGCGGATCGCCCTGGTCAAGCGGAGTCTTCGCAAGCTCAGCGGCAGTCGCCTAGCCTGGAACTTTCGCTCATGCCCGCAGGACTTTCCGTTGCCCTTGAATCCGGTGGCGGAAACGGAAACCAGCAGATCGGAGCGGCGATGAGGGGCGGCTTCAGCGATAGGATCAACGCCACTCCCGGGCACGAAACGACGTTCCGCGGACTGGTGCAACTCCCGGTTGGTGAGCGGAGCCGCGCAGCGGCATTCGAGCTCGCGCGCGCGCGCGATCAGCCGGGGTACATGCTGGCGCACCGCCGGGCGATCATACAGGGCGGGGGCGCATTCCGGCCCGTTCCGGCGCGCCGGCCGGCGACCGCCCCGGCGCGTCCGCGGGCAAGCAGTCGCCCGTGGGCCCCCCGTCCCGATGCTCTGCACGCCCGGCACGCCCGCGGAAACTGGCCCGAGGGACCGCTCCCAGTCCCTCCTTGGCTCGCTGCTGCCTTCCGGTCCGTTCGGCATCCAAACCCGAACCTTAACCCCGGCGTAGGACGGAACCCTGGACAAGAAGCAAACCCCGGTTTAAACCAACAACCAGATCCAAGTTCGAACCAAAATCCTGGTTCAAACCCTGGCTCAAACCCTGGCCCAAACCCTGGCTCCAATCCTGGCCCAAACCCTGCTTCGCACCAGGGTTCAAATCCTGGTTTGAACCCCGGCTCCAACCCTGGCCCAAACCCTGGCTCAAACCCTGGCGAGATTTCGGGTTCAGGCGGACAATCAAAGTCGAACCCAAATCCAAATCCGGGTGCGGGCTCAAACCCAAAATCGAACCCGAACCCGAACCTGAACCCGAAGCCGAACCCAACCGACCACCCAAACCCGGACTCAAACCCCGGCGAACAAGAAAGGCGCCCCGAGGAGCGCTATCGGGTGGTTCAGGAGACCGGGATGATCCCCCAGATGTGGCCGGAGCTCGCGGCGGCTTTTCACCAGGAGGCGCCAGAGCTGTTCGGCCCGGAAGAGCGGTACCCAAGTCGGCACAGCGAGTACGAACCGGCTTCCAATCAGCCTGGGCCAACTCTTCTGGAGCTTGGGGGGATCCCTCTCGGGCTGACCCAGGCGGGGGAAGGGGCGCAGTTCGAGCAGCGGTTCAGCGGAAGATCGGCGTTCAGATTCGGCCCGGAGTCGTTTCAAGAGTCGCAGCCGTTCGGGGACACGCGGTACCAGCGGCAGGCGGAGATGGGGACCTGGCCGGGACAACCGGACACGTGGCGGCTTGGCACGGCTTTAGAGCAACCGGGTCAGGGGTTACAAGGACAGCAACCAAGTCGACAGACGCAGGAGAGGCGGGCTCTCGAGGGGTGGGAAGCTGAGTCAGGCGGCAGGGTTCCCGGAAGGTTTGCACCAAGTAGAGAGAGGCATGAATTCCAGGCGCTCGGAGGTCCTTATCAAGGGAGAGAAGTGGCGGGGGGAGGGATGGAAAGCGCGCGCGCGCCAGTTCTGCGGAGGCCGAGTTACCCTGCGGTTAGGGGCGAGATTGGGGTTTACGCTTCACAGCCGGGGGCGGGGGTTTCTTACGGTGCACGGGGGAGGGGTCCTGGAATGGGTGCAGGTTCCGTTCCTGGTTCCGTTTCCGTCCGGGGAGAGGTGGGAAGAGCCGGAACGAGCGGAAGGCCCAGTGCAACGGATACGCAAGTTCCAATGGAGCTTCTTCGAGAGCTCTTTCCTTTTGGAGGCGGTTTTGATGAAGCTCAGGGGGGTATGGCCGATTTTGCCTCGAGGGGCGAGGAGATGAATCCAAGCCAGGCGGTATTCGTTGAGAGCGAAAAGGGTCAACTGACGACCTCAAAGAGAGGCCAAGAGATTGGGGGATCCGGGGGAGGGATGAGGAGGGGAGCGGAACGGAAAACGGGCAGAACGGGCGGAACGGCCGCCCTGGCGGAAGAAACTAGAGTGGGCCAAACGGTTGAAGCAACTAGGAGGGGCTGGATGGAAGAAGAAGGTGGAACGGGCCGAGAAAAAAGAGTGGGCGAAACGGGCGGAACGGGCGGAACGGGCGGATTGGGTGGACTGGGCGGACTGCAAGATATGGGAGGATTTGGTGTCGCGAGGGAGCGGCCCGCCGAGGAACGGGATGAGAGAGAGCGAAGCAGAGGAAAGAGGAGCATAGAAGAAAGTAGCGAGGTAAGTGATTAGCTGACAACACAGCACCTAAAAATCTGGAACTTTTGTTGCCAGAGAACTAAGAAAGAGAGGATGGAAGAGATTGGACTAAACGAAAGCGTTCTAAGCGTCTTTGAGTTCCCTTTCTTCCTTTCCAATTGCCTGGAGATCGTTTACGGAACGCTCGGTCCGCCCAGTGATGCTGCGAACAAGCAGTGTTCATATCAGAGGATAAAAGCTGACGTCATTCTGTTGGCGGTGGTTGGCAGGTCACTACTCGAAACGCTGCGCGCTCCTGGCTTCAAAGCATCTTTCCTTGCTCGTCGCTTACAGAAACTTTCTGCATGCGTTGGCAGACTTGCCCCCAAGTTTCTGAGCAAAAGTGAGACAGCGCGTCCTCCGGCCAAGGTGATGTAGAAGGGCAGCGACTATCTGCGAATCCTTCTGAGGACAGAGAGTTTCAGCGAGTGCCATTCCCTTCTTTGAGCTGTACTGCAGGTCGTAACATCGAAGACTGGATAGGAAGCGCGTTTAACGGATGCTGGACTACAATCAAACAATGACCGAATCTGAGCCCGCAACGGCTCAAACATTACCAGGTTCTTTGGCCACGGTGCAGAAAGAAGCTTTACCCATATGAAGCTGCCCTCAAGGGTAGTTGACGAAGGCTTAGACCAGAAGTCCTTTGAACCGAAAAGCAAGTAAACCGCAACAACTTCTCCCCTGCAGGAGCAAGACGAGGCGCGGCCGCGCAAGCGCGGTGGCAACCTGCCGCGCCCGGCCGTCGACCGCATGGGCCAATGGCTGCGTGAGAATTTTCACCATCCGTACCCAACAGAGGTGATTCCACCATCGAACCATTCCTGTTTTTTTAAACAGCCGTTTCAAAATAGCGGATGGTGCAGCCAGGACGGTCGAGGTCTGCGGATCTCTGTCTGCCTCCAGTGTACTCAGCTAGTCGCCTGTCTTTACCTCTGCCTGACTGCGAGCCACTTGAAAAGGGCGTATGAAGCGCTCTATAGAAGTGTCCAATCTGCGATTGGACAGCGCGCGGCGTGAGCGCAGACAATGAAGCCTTCGAAAGGCTCGCATTTGAGCAGCGCACAACGTCGCGCAAGCGCCCCGATCCATCATTTGTCTAGAAAAGCCCTTTAAATCACCGTGACGCTTTGCACACTGGAATAAGCGTTCAAAACGAAGTCGCTTGATCGTTGTGCCTTGTGACTCTACACGCCTCGTTTTTGTCATCGATGGACGTTACTAAGCGCGTGATCCGTAGCTCCATTCAGGCTGTGATGAAGAGGTCAAGTATGTGAATGCACTACCGGATGCGTCCTGATGTCCATGCGCACAGGAAACGAAGCAAGCTTTGGCCGCGGAAACAGGACTCACAGTCACCCAAGTCAGCAACTGGTTCATCAACGCGAGGGTAAGCATACTCAGAAATGGTGGCTCGTCCGTTCCTCGTACAATAGCCCTTCACGAACGTCGTGAAAATTTTCAGCAGACATTGCGGAGAGAGGAGCCGCAGCGAAATCCATATTTTTCTAAAAAAAAAAGCTCTTTTGAGGACCTGGCAACGGTCTTCTTCTGCACTAGTTTGAAGAAGAAGCAAAGTCGTTGTTGAAACGAGAACTTGTTTTGCTGATGCAGGGTACGTCTGGTTATGGCGTTCTCCAGTCTCACCACCGTTGCCTCACGTCTGGCTAACGCTTGTTAAGATAGAGAATGGAAAGCCTGGATGTCTTCCAAGGAGCTTTGATAGCGTCATCTTGCAACGTGACCATATTGGCTGTCCCAACTGTGCAGGTGCGAATCTGGAAGCCGGCGCTTGAAAAGATGCGTAAAGAATCCGGACTATTTCCTAGCAGTCCGCCCAGGCCAAGCAGTGTGTAGAAAGACCAAACTTGAACTTTGAAACTTGGGGCCGTCAGTTGCTTGACGCATCAGGTCTCCTTTGCATTCCATGCCAGATGAGTGATACAGAGAATGTTGCTTGAGTATTCGTGGTGCGTAAGAGGGGTATAGATGTAATGCTATGGCTTGTTAGTTGAAAGGTGCTAACCTAGGCAGAGTAGCAGCCTATGTAGGTGCTGCCGGACCAGCACTTTCGTAGTACTCAATTGGTTAGGAATATGATCCATCGGGCTTTGCAACAAGCAATCAGGCTGCGGAGAGACGCCGGTAAGCAGAGATGCTTTTGCAATTACGTGATGCTGCTTTGGAGGGCACGAGTGGCTGTTACGTAGCTACATCACACTGCGCGTACGTTCTCATGATTCGACTGTCGAATGTTGACCCTTACTACGCTGTCCGGGTGCTTTTCATCCTCATAGGCTCGTCTTAGTATTCTCGATTGCAATGCTTATCGGAAGTCAGGTATGCCTCGTAAAGAATGTCTTCGCATGACAATGACCAGGCTTAACGAAGGGTTGAAACTGGCCGCTCGCTCTAATATGGCCGTTCGTGGGCCGTTCTCCCTCGAGAATATGTTGATCGGATGTATAACTCAATTATGTCCCACTCGCTGGCACACGAGCGGTTTGAATATGAGTATCACGTTTCGGAACTCTCATCGAATAACTTGCGGATGAATCCACTAAATTCGCACTCCTATGGGCAATTGACAATACACAGACTGTCGTACACATGTTGTGTTGAGCTGCCATTCAAATAAGATGGAGAGAGGTGCCGAACTGCGTGTGGCAAGCATCGACGAGTAATTATGCTGCAATCACCTGCTAGGAAGCTAGATACAAGGGACAGGGCCTCATCGTGATCGACTCCGCGATCGTAGCGTACCGACGGTCATGAGTGAAGCAGCAGGTATACGACATCCTGCCCAGCTGGCAGCACAACTTCTGGCGAGTTGTGCAAGCGCGCTTGCAACCTCAGGCCTGTATGTTGTGCCACCCTGCATGTGTGACCCGCATGTACAGCCAACTTCGTACGCAACGGTGAGGATCGGACGCGATTCTGAGTCAGAATTGCCGAATTTGGACGTCCGCATTCATTGCAGCGCCCGGGACCGCGGCCCCCGCATTTGAAGCCTGAGGCTCGGGTCCGGTCACGGTGCCCGAAAATAGCCTACGGTAGTACCAACCGCGCGATGCGCATCGGCTGTAACGCTCCAGACAACTAAAAGAGTTTGACTTAACTCATAAGACTTTGAACGCCTCCGATGTCCTCTTTGTTCTTTGGAGTAATATTGGACGGTTCAGATGAACTTTGGTTTGAGTTGCTAACTTTTGTGCCATCTGACTATCCGTCCGGCCGACCGGCCATAGCCTCCGGCCGGTTGTACGGCATCAATCTTCAAATTTATCGCCTCCGCCGTCGCCGGAACCGGATGCCCGTGGGTTTCGCAGACTCCGTCGATCGGGCGCCTCAGAATGCTCTTCGACGACATGGCCTTTACCAGACTTGAATTGCTTCCGCGTCGAAAACTTATAATGTTGGAAGTACCACGGTCGGCCCTCGGGTGAATGTGCAAGTCCGAACAATACGGAGAAACAAACCCTAATGGCGCTGGTGAGGCGTCATGGCGCCTTCAAGGCATTGAGATCAGCAGGAGGCGCAACATGGGGCCAGATCAGAGCTAGGGGAAGAGCAAATCAACCCGGGACGCAAGCTTTGTGGGCGTTTCCTTGCCCTGCTTCTTAGCTGATGTGACACAATCATACACTGTATCCAACCTGATCGCCCAAGAGATATGGCTGCGCCCAGCGTCCATATCACGGAACCTTCTCACAGCCCCTACACAGTGTTACCTGCCGCCCGCCCTCTTCCCACATCATTCTCGGAACTCATCCGCAGGTCGATTTGTAGTGCCTGGGACCTTTTGCCTCTGATCAAAACTTCGCCTGGAGCTCCGACCTGTCAAGCAGCTCCATTGCTTGTTCATTCATTTGTATCAGCAGTCAACACAGTCAACTTCGCTTCAAGGTGTCCTAGTTGCTCGTGTGACAAGAGTGGTTGAGCAAAAAGGCGCTGCGAGTCGCTGGGCCGGCATAGCGCTAGCGAGCTGCAAGCGTCCGCTACTGCGCTTGTTGCGAAGCTGCTGAAAGACAAGCATAAAGCGCAGGTGTTCAGTGAGCGACATTTGAAAGAAAGTTAAGCTACTAACATCAAAAGACAAGAGTGTACGCGGTGGTGTGAAAATGGCACTCGCAGAGGAGCCTACCCGGTCGAAAGTATGGTCGGTGTTCTTCCGGCATGCAAAATTCGGCATGCTCATGCTCAACATGGGGTCCAAGCTGGTGGCAGTCTTTGTAGTTCTCGTCATAGGTGAGTGCACACCATTGTCCATCATTTGCTGCTTTCTCTGCTTCCTTTTTGGCCAAGTGAGGGTGATGTGCTTGTGTTTCTGAAGTTCTGCTTTTGCTAGCGGGGGCCAGCATTGGAACTCTGCATTTCATTACAACTAGAAGTGACCAGATAGCTTACTTTGAAATGCTGTGGTATATTCCATCACCATACAAAGCAACTAGAAAGTAAAGAGCCTATTACTTCAAACATTTGGCGGTTGAGTTGCATTTTGTTGTGTCCTGCTTCTGTACTGGTGTTTTGGTACATATAGACATCAGAGCTTCTTCTGAGCTTTGCATATCTGGACAGCTGTTGAGTAGTCTCTGTGCAAATTTACTACTAACGAGCCCGAGCAAGCAGAAAGCTGAGTGTACTTGAAGAAAAACTCTCTTTGGTTCTTCAGTCAAGGCAGCTTACAGGAGATTGGCAACCTGCACTTCTGTTTCGTCGCATGGTAGAAAAGGAAAGGCAGCTCGTTGCCTTTCATCCTGATCATGCTGACACTAGTAAGCTTCAGCTTGGTGGTTACTGAGGCCGTTCGTTCTTTTGCAGTTGGAACAACCAGAGATCCTGGCGTCGACGATGCAACCACACAAGGGGCATCCGCAGGCCCCACAATCCGGTCACGACGAGAGCTCAGAGGTGAGCCAACTGGGATGCAGTTTTTTGTAAACACTGCCTGTCACGTTCAATCAAGTACATCTAATGTATCTTATCCTCACTGCTATTGTGAGATCGCTTGGCAACAGCAGTCAACCCTCGATCTGAACCCTGGTCCCTAATTGCTTGAGGGGGTGCTAGCTTGACATGACCACTTGTGCAGTTAAGGTTGGTGAAGATTGGCAGCATAACAAACTTGCATGCCAATCTGCAATCGTTTCTGTTGCTTGGCTATTGACAGTCGTGCATCCAAATGGGTTGCCCTCCAGATTGGCTGCCATTAAGCTAGTTACTAACCTCATCTACAAGCATAACCTGCCTCTTAACCCTGTCCTCGTTAACTGTGCAGAATACGTTCCCCCCGCCACCTGCCCCTTCGACTTCTCCCAGACGCCCTTCCCCATGACCCTCTCTCTCTGCTCCCTTCCCAACGCGTGGAGTGAATCCTGCTGCGCTGCGATCAGAAACGACTTTTGGATCCCCGCCTTTGGCCAAAATACTGAAAGGTGAGCGCACAAAAGTTCAGGCACTCTTCTGGGAGCTGATCTGTTACGAAGACATGTAACTGAGATAAGAGCAGGGAGGGATCGAAGCGACCCGTATGCTTGTCATTTTGTACAGGTCCCGTAAGGCTTCATCAACAAGGCCTCTTTGATTTAGGATTCTGTCACGTCAAATGGTGTATCTTTCATCAGACGGAGCGAAACTCAAAACTCTTTAGAAGGGGCATCGATCAAGTGCGAAGACCAGTGCCTTCCGCACAATACCTACTCATGGCAAGACCCTTCTCCACCAACAAGCCGATTGTTCGCTGGTTCCTTCGGCTGGTTCTGACCCTCTCTTCTCCCCCCTCCCGCAGCATCCCCGACACTTGCATCGCCGCCGTCGAGGCGCGGCTCCTGCAAGAGCAGCTCGAGATCAAGTACTCCAAAGTCTGCGGCAGCGACGGCGTTCTGAGCGACCCCCTCCTTCGGCGAGGCCAACCGGGCGACAACCAAATGCAAACCGCTCCGGAAGACGGGTCCGATTCCGAGTTCGAAAACGTGGTCAGCCAACTGTTGTATAGCGAAGAGTCCCTGGAGGAGATCCCCGGGGACACGAGGCCACTGGAAGAGCGGTCGGTAGAGTCTACCGAGGAGACGGAAGAAGAGGTAAAAGTGGAGGCGGTGCGGCCGAATGTTCTGTCCCGGCCCTGGGGGTGGGAGAACGGGTCCGATTCTACAAACGATGTTGAGGGGCAGGAGTTGACACTGACGATAACTGTGATGGACGAGTTGCGGAGGGAGATGCCGGTTGTGTCGGTATAGAACAAGTCCGTTCGTCGAGGTTTCTTACTGCCCGTCCGTGTCCTACCACAGCAACGTTACGAGTTGGACCCAAGGTTGCCGCACGCGTCCCCTCCTGAGTCGGTCAGCGTCTAGCTTATTTAACCGTCAAGTCAGTCTAGAGTTTAAGGTGTGCCCAGCGCGGGTGACGATCAAGACAAAGTGAGTCTACCGCAGTCAGTTTCAAACTTAGAACTGCTATTAGGCACTGCAGTGGCAGCTTGCCACGTTGCAAATGCAAGAGTTGGCCAACAGTACAGGAGCTCGTAAACCAAGACGATGATATTTTTAGAATCTGGTTTATACTGGCTTTCCTGCAATCCTGTAAATCATGTTGATTGGTCAACTGAATGTTCCAGTCATGCATTGAATTTCACTGCCGTTAAGCAATAACCGAGATAGACAATCATGGCATGTGCATGAAAGATTTTATAAACCAGTAGTTAATTGAATTCACTTCCGACGATCATATGCAGTAGTGAGCCCATTGTGCATGTGCAATGAATCAATGCGTGAGCTCTCAAGATGGACTCGTGTACAAGAGCTGTTCAATAGGTATATGATATGCGCGGCCCGGCGGCCCGAGTGCCGGTACCAAAACTGCCCACACTCAGCGCGCCACATGCATGTGAAAATGTTTAAGCAGACACTGTGAGCTTGCTCGATGAATGTTGATCGAGGCCTTGAAAAACGCCGTACATATATCCAGAGTCGTAACATTCCATGCGGCCTCAGTGCTCGCCGTTGTGTTGCATGATGAGTTGCCAGTCGCTTTTGAAATAAGTTGTTGCATGCGATTCGCAGTACGTGATCTTTCTGTGTTTTGATGATTGTTGTGTACATGCGGTACGGCGCAACGACCAAAGGATTGTTCAAGTCAATAGCAAGAAAACATATTAATCCCATTGACATATGGAAATCATTACAAGTCTATTTTTGTACTTGCAGTTTTCCTGCAGCTTCTCCATTTTCTGGCCACGTATCCTTACAAATGATTCTCGATAGTATCAAAATCTGTTGCTCTGCTCAGCATCAATGATGAGCGCTAGCTTTGGGCGAAACGCCCAACTTGACCACTCAATCCACAAATCATCCGACCTTCTTCGTCTCGGCCTGCTTTCTCCGCTTGTAGAATCGTATGAGCCCAGCCCAGAGCATGTACACCCACACTAAACTCCCTAACTCAGCGAGCGTTATGATAACCGACCACGTGTATGCGAGCCACCGCGGAACGACTCCATCTGCTCCCCCACGCACGTAAAACTGCGCAACTTCATAAACAAGATAGGGCCCAAGACCTAGCCTGACTATGGTATACACCAGAGTAAACGGCAGTGATATTGCCTGGTAGACCTTCTCTGCAAACGGGCTGTGCTTTTTACAGAGCCTGGACAAGGTCCATGTGTTTTGCAGCGGGCTCGTAAGCTCTCCGGCGCCCATAAGCGACAGGGCTGACAGGGCCCCGCGCTTTACATAAGCTCGGGACGTGAGCATGTAAACGATCCCCCCGATGTGGTGGAGAATGAAAAGTGTGTCTGGGGACAGAGTGAGGAGATGGACGCTATCCACTACAAAGTAGGCTAGGCTGAACTCGAGAATTTTGTTTTGGAGGGGGGTGTTTGGGGCAGCAAGCAGCCACGGTCGGATGAGGCACTCGCGACCTGCAAAAAGAGAAGCGCGCTTGTGGTCAATTAGCGTAAGGGAAGACAAGTTGAGTTGAGGGGATATGCTAACAATCAAGTGCTGGGTTACCGCCTTCTCAAGCTGGTATAAGATTCCCATAAGTGTGATTGCCGCAGGGGCAATACTCTTAAGTACCACAATCCTTGTCCACTTGGACACAACAATCTGTCAAGAGGAATCGACACAGCTCTCCACCAAACTCCAGTCCAATCTGCAGGAACTCTCCCTCACCTTATGTTGGCTTCAGAAACACAACATTATGTCCTTACTGAGGTGCATTGGGAACAACCTGACTGCCTAGATGCATCAGGTTAGACATGGTGACTCGACCCCATTCTTGCAAACAGAAGTGCAGCCTTTTGTGCTGACTTTATTTAACCACCTGCTGTGCTTGAAAGCTCCAGGTGACACAAAACTTTGTAAAGTGCAGAGAACAATTGATACTGGAAGTATTGAGAAACATCCCATCAGAATGAGGCCCAGCAGAACTTCAGAAAGAGCAATATCAGGGATGTTGCACTCTTCTACCCAGCTTCTATACAGCCTACTATCACTTCAAGATTAGTAAGTGAACTTCAGGCGGCTCCATACCAGAAAGAAGAGTGATCAAAAGCGATCAAAAGCGACAAAGTATAAACTGTCAAACATCACAGACGCTCCATACATGTTCAGCAACCGACGAGATTCTTCTTGGAGCTGATCATATGACATGTTGAGAAGACTCACATGCAAAATACGCGGTCACTGCGCCATGGAGAAGGCTCATGCAGCAACTAGACGCGTCCGCGCGATCGGTCCCCTTCAGGAACTTGAACCACCGGAAGTAGGCAACAAAGTAGATCAGCGCAAACACGGGCGCCGCAACCAAGAAGACCTCCATAGCGTCCAATGCTCTGAAGCAAGCTCCTGAATATGAATGATCTGAGATAGACGGTCAAGAATTGAGGGTACAGAAAGTGGATTTGCTGTGCACAACGCGACTGTGTTCTGTCAAGTGAATGTGAAAGCAGTGGGGGATTGCGCAATTCAAGGCTAGCGTATGCAGCACCGCCACAGTATAAGGTCTTACGTCCCCTCGCCTTTCGTGGGGCCCTCTCGGACTCCTTCATTGTCAACTTCTTTCGAGCGTTTCAAGTTCTGGCAGTCTGAGTTGGCCAAACTGCATCCTGACTCGAGTTGAAAGCAAGAGAGGCGAGTCATATTGGTTATTTTGACATGAGATAAGGCCTCCGCAATATGTAATCAAAGGAGTACGTCTGTGGGAGGCGTTTAGAACCTGTGCTTGCATACAACCTAAAATTCGAGCCGGATTCTACAATTCAAAGCCGCAAACAAACGCACAAATTCAGGATTATCGATTCAAGCTGCCAATACGTCTTGGGTTCCAGCCGCAGGTCAGACATTCTTCATTAAAATTCGTCCCAATTCAAATTCAACAAGTTCATTTCACAGGTTCACCAGACCAAAACGCTGGAAACCAAATTGAAAGCGAAGAAACGGAAGGGCGGGCGCCTTTGTGGAAGCTTGTTGGTAGCTCCTCATGGTGGGCAGGTGAGCAGAGCTTTCGTATGTCTCTGGCACCATGTTTCCGGTTAGGCAAGGTTTTCTCTGTTCCTACTCGCAATCTGTTTGTCTACCTGATGATCACCTTGTTAGCTGGCCATTGACAGTCTGCAAAACCTTTTCGACGAGAATTCTTGAAAATTAAGGGGTGGAAGAGACAGTTTGCTTGAGTGGTGGTTTTAGAAGGGCGCAAAAGCACTCACAAAGCTAGCACCAGCAAGTTTGGCCTGAATGATTCTTCTTGATGAGATTGGAACAAGTTCCCACTTACCTGGGTGCCCAAATAATGACGGCCCTGGTGGTAAGGGTCGCGGAAAGATTCTGTTGTCTCAACCAATGAAGCGATTTGGTTGCTCTTTCCATGAGTGTGAAATGGAAAGTTGGGCAGAGCAGTTTCCGCAGCCAAAAGTCTTTTTCAACCTTGTCTCGGGTGCTTCACTTCCCCCAAAGACAGCTGTGTCCCCTTCTGTCAAGAACTTCTCGTTGATTGGCCGTCGATTTGCAATCAGTCTGCCCCCTTGTTCCCCTAGTTCATTGTCTCCATATTTTTCAATGTCACAACAACTTTCTGTAGAGCCTCAGCAATTCTCATGGTTTACACGCCACCTCTCATCTTCTGCAGGTCGCCCTCTGTTAGATGGCCCGCCTGGGATTGATTCCACGCCTCGCTCTTCTAGGCACCTTCAACCTGGCGGTTCTGGCTGTCTACCTCAAAGTCATTGAGGTAAGGAGAGGGCCCGAGTCGCCGTTGAATTACCCCGTTCAAATAAATCCCGCTTTTAAGATTGATTGTGCTGCGATGCAGAGCGCATGCCTTGCCAATTTCAAGACTTGAGGTGTGTTCTTTTGGATCGCTTAATAGTGGAAGTCAACTGATTTCAAGGCTGGAGACTTTGACTTGTGCTTAAGTTTTGCTGTGCCTGCTTCTGAAGTTAGCTGGGCATGTGGGGAAGAAAGAGCCGCTTATATTTCTTTGGAACATGTACAGGTCGTATCCACAAGTTGCCACTACTCCTGTTGACCACTTGATTCGGTCGGTCAGAAAATTGTTTGCTTACGTGTTGATTTAGATGATCAATGATTTCAAACTTGCGATCACCGGTAGATCTCATGCCCTATCGAGCTTTACATCAATCCTTTCTTTCTTTTTTGCTTGTTCAGAGGTCCCGCAATCGTGGTGGCAGCTTTGAGCGAGACGGGTACGAGTTCTGGGGCATGTGGTCGTCTCCAAAGCACGTCAGAGAGCAAGAGACTAAGAAAGCGGAGTAAAGCAGAAGTTCAAGGATCTTCAAGCGCTTTCACCGGGAAAGTCGGGGCCAGGAATCTTTTGTTAGGAGCATTGAGGTTGCAGGAAAGCGGAAAGTTAGTGGAAAGTTCCTAGTGGTGCCATTTGGGACCTAAGGCAAGTCAGAATTGCCCCAGTCTTGCGTCCAGGGGAATCCAGCTGGGTAGCTTGAGAGCTTTTTCAGGTGAATGGGAGCTCCTGAAGGTGCATAGAAGGTCCTCAAGACTTCGACGGGTTTATGAGTAGAGGCTGTTTGCAGGACGTAGAGAGAATCGCTAGAAAGCAGACGACTTCTCTGAAAAGCAGCGGGGATTTCCAGAAAGCATAGGATTATCTGGGCATAGAAATTAAGGGAGCATAGCATATGGCAGACGTCACAGCGATGCCAAGCACCTCTGGGACGGATCCCCCGGTAGAGCCGCGGAGGTTTAAGGGCTCTAGAGGGGGGCCAGCATCGGGAGGGCCCTCAGAGGCAATCTTAGCCGTCGATGTCAAGCCCCGGACGGCTGCGAACGGCCCTGTGAAGCGGTTTGTGCGGCAGCAGGTGCCGAGCGAAATCCTGGAGGACCCGTTGCTGAGGTCAGCAATGGAAGCGCTGCCGAAGAATTACAACCTTGAGATACCAAAGACGGTGAGTGGTATTCAGCTTTCTGGCAGGGGTTTCTTTGTGTCAGTACTTGGAAGTGAGGTTTGTCGCGAAGAGGTCTTTCTGAATTCGAAAATAAAAGCAGCGATGTATGTTATTCCAACTCGCGTTGACTTCGGAAGCTTCTGCTAAGGTGAGCTCCTGGGTGTTGTGAAACACTCTTCTTGTTTTTAGCTCATCTATGTCTGGGTTTGATGTGACTTCAACAATTTTACAGCTTTCGGAAATTTGTTTGGAAATTTGGAAGGTTTTTAGCCAAGATGCTGTCTCTAGAGCGTTCGATAATCTTGAGCGTCTGATAACCTTCTCTATGTGTCGTTTAACGCTGCTTCGTAATACTTCGGATCGAAACAAAACTTCATCCTTGTTCTCCAACAGGTCTGGCGGCTAAAGCAGGCCAAGGCCAAGACCGTGGCGCTGCAGTTCCCCGAGGGTCTGCTGATGTATGCGACGACGATCGCAGACATTCTGGAGCGTTTTGCGGGCGTCGAGCACTGCTTGGTCCTGGGCGACGTTACTTATGGGGCGGTGAGTCTTCGAAGATCATTTCAGTGTCTTGGACCTAACCTTCGCATCTGAAGTGCTCGTGCACGGTTCCGGTTTATGAAAGCAGCCTGTGCAGTGCTGAGCGAATAGCGACGTCACATCTCCCTTGCGCTGCTGTGTCGATGACTTCAGCGCGGGCGCGCTCTCGTCCAAAACTTTGAAAACTCACGGCCAATCGTGCCTGGAGCTCAACATGCGTTTATGACACTAGTGGTGTTCAGTTGCGAGCGAAGAAATGACGTCACGCCTTTTTCGCAGTGCTGCATCGATGACTTCAGCGCACGCGCGCTCGGTGCCAATTTTCTAATCCACTACGGCCATTCTTGGGTGTCCCCCTTTTCAAGATCTAAGAGCAGGCTTCGCAATGCTGAGCGAAGACTGACGTCATGCTTCCCTTGCAGTGCTGCGTGGACGACTTCAGCGCCGGCGCGCTTGGCGCCGACTTTCTGGTCCACTACGGCCACTCCTGCCTAGTTCCTGTTGACGTCACCTCCATTCCGTGCCTCTACGTCTTTGTCGACATCGCAATCGACACCGCGCATCTAGTATCAACGGTCAAGCTCAACTTCGCGCGGGGCGCGGATTTGGTGCTAGCCGGGACGATCCAGTTTGCGGCGGCGGTGCAGGCGGCGCGGGGCGCCCTTGCGGAGGATTTCCCGTCGCTGGTGGTGCCACAGGTGAGCGTTTATATCAATGTCTCGAGCGCTTATACTGATTACTCGAGCGCTAATATCGATGTCTCGAGCGCTTTTGCTGATGTCTCGAGAGCTTCCTTCGATGTCTCGAGCGCTTTGAATGATGTCTCGAGCCCTTATATTCGATGGCTCGAGCGCTTCTTTTATGTTTGTTCGTTGTCGCTGCTGAACGCGGCTGAACTCTCCCTGCACGCTTCTCCCGATTTTATGTTCGGACGCTTCCTACGACGACTCTCCTCTGAATTAGCCCGAAGTTTAATTGCTTACAAAGTGCCATCTATACGTGTTCCATATCGGGATGTTTGGAAGCTGTGAGACACGTAGATTTTGACTACTTTGTCTGACGCTTGTCACTTCCGTAGACGCGTTTTGAAAGGATCCCCACTACTTTCCCCACGATGTGAGAACGCTTCTTGGACTGATTACTGGACGTTGTCGCTAACCTGCGGACGCCTTTCGGGCGCAGGCCAAGCCGTTGTCCCCGGGGGAGGTTCTGGGCTGTACCGCCCCCGTACTTGCGAGCAAAGCGGACGCCATCGTCTTTGTCGCGGACGGGAGGTTCCACCTGGAGGCGATTATGATTGCGAACCCCACAGTGCCTGCTTACAGGTGGGTCTTCGTCTCTGCTTTTACAGAGGGCGGACCGGTCCCCTCTGGGCGACCAGCAAAGCGCCCACAAAGCCAGATTGGTCGCTCGGGGAATTTTTCGAGATGGGATCTGGTCCGTCGGATGAAACGTCCCCTCAGGACTCGGATGCACGAGTGTTCTCTGAAACCTGACGCCCTCTTTGACGACCCTTGGTAACCGCATTGGACCGCATCGAACGGCGAGCTCGCTATTGTTGCGCATGAAAGAATCCACGTCAGCCAGAAGATTAAATCGAAAGATCGTAATAGGCTTAGTTTAAGTCCTTCCTCGCAAAATTGAACGCACCCGTCTCCCTTTGTATCTTGTTTTAGTGAGCCGGATTTTGCGTTGATAAGTATTTGCAACTGATGATGGAGAACGATTGCTTAGGGCACTGCTCCCGTTAAGGTCCCCTCCGCCAGTTTGCTGGTCACGCATCTTTTTCTCCACAAGTTTGTTTTGCTTCTGGACAAAGCGCGGCATGTCCGGCTTATTTTAAGGAATTGCGCATCGCGAGACCGCTTGGTAGCCTCTTCCTTGCCTACCCATCAAGAGTCCGACTGCCGTTTTGAGTGTTGGAAAGATCGAATCCAGACCTCAATTGAGGCACCATATCACATACCGAGGCAGGCGTTTGTATTCTGTGAAAGCGCCTAAACTCGTTTCCATTGCGCATCTCCAACGGCGTACAGATCCGATTCGTGTTTGTGCGGACACAGGATGGTAAACGAACCCTTAAACATCATTCTGACACGTGTCAATATTTGACCACCGCAGGTACGACCCCTACAGCAAAGTCCTCACGATCGAGGAGTACGACCATCTAGGAATGCGCCGCGCGCGTCGTCGGGCGATCGAAGCCTCCTGGCGCGCGAAACGGTTCGGCGTCGTGCTCGGAACCCTTGGCCGGCAGGGCAACCCGCGCATCCTAACCCACGTGGAAACCCGGTTACGAACCCGCGGGTTAGACTACGTGGTTCTATTAGTCTCCGAGCTGAACCCGGCGAAAGTCCAGCGGTTTAAGGGGTCCGTTGACGCGTGGGTGCAAATTGCGTGTCCGCGATTGTCGATTGATTGGGGCGAGGCGTTTGACGCGCCACTGCTGACGCCGTACGAACTAGAAGTGGCGCTGGGGTTCGTCGCGCCGTGGTGGGAGGGAGCCCGGGGGGACACGGCTGAAGGCGTCACTGTCAGCAGCGGCGAGGTTAGGAGTGGACCTGTCGACGTCAGCGGCAGTTCTGCTGACGCTCGAGAAACTTCTGCGGACGTCAGCATCAGTGGAGTGGGAGGCGACCGGGGGGGTGGTCGGAAGGGTGGGGCGGGGACTTGTGGATGCTCGTCTGATAGGGGGGGTGTTTCGGAGCCTGGACGAAGGGGCGCTTCCGAGGAGGGGCCAGATCGGACCGGGGTCACGGATGGGGCTTCTGAAGGGGAGCTTCCGTCTCAGTCAGCATCTGCTGCGGGGAGAGAAGCCATAGCTAATGGTACTAGAGTCACTGTGGATGAGCCAGAAAAGGTCGGTTCCCGTAAGGCTCCAGAGTTGGACAAAGAAGCTCCGAGCACAGGTCCCTGTACTATCAAAGGAAGCACCGCCACGTGTAGGGAGTCGGAAGAGTGGGAACGGGTGGCACCGTACCCGATGGATTACTACGCAAGAGATGGCGGTCCATGGAACTCGGTTTACGGGCCAAAGCCAAGGGTGAAGGCGAAAGGATAGCCACAATTTGGTGAATGCGTCAATTGTTCCTAGCTGTTGGTTCAAGCCTCATGGGAGTTGGTCAGATGCAGATGTGTCCGACCAGGTACGGTATCCATCCGGACTGGCTGCGCGCATTCTGTTCAGCATGGGAGCTTGAACTCGAGGATGCAGGATCATGGTAGCTGCAAGCCATTATAAGTTTTAAAACTCAACGCAGACAGATTTTGGAGCATCCCGGCACCGCATCGTGTTGGATAAGCGGCATGCAGTACAATTGTTGCATTTTGCAGTGGATGCAAAACGGCGTTGCGCCCATGCAAGCATGTGTATACATACCGTATACTTTATTCTCAATTTAAAAAACAGCATGCAATGCAAAAGTTTGGCGGCCATACCTATGTACGTATACTCAGCATCAGTAGGCACCGCGCGTGCACTTTTCAAATCGATACTATGTTTATTAGGGTTTCGAGCTACTGCTTATGTAAACCCTAAACCTGTACGTGGAAGTACTGCCTAGTCAAGTTCAACTTCAAGGGAGCTAGCTGCGTCAAAAGTTCATGGCGTTGCTCCCTACTTTTTTAGACGTCTCTGGAGCTTTATGCTTGACATGTTCTCTACAAGAGCATATGGAATTTGAAAGGAGAATGCGAGATGTGGATTGTGAAAGCGAGCTCGAACCCACATCCCAACCAGGCTTTTTGAGTTGCTGATCAGCTTCTTCTGACGAGGCGGCTGTGCATTTAATCCTGCAAAAGCCCCGCACCTGACTCAATTCAGCAGCATGGCTTCCTGGAGAAGTTTCTGCAAGCATCTGAGCGGAAGCGCACAAATCTTGGGGCAGGTGATTGATACTCTTGTGTGTTCTCAGCTTGAGTGTCAATAGTTTGGGATAAAGTACCTGGACACCGCGAAATTTAAAAAGGTGTTGAAGGAAGTGCAAAGGAAAAAAGGAGCTGGGCTGCTTGAGCAGCACTCTTGCTGATCCAATTGCTTTTGAGCAACAACAGTGGTATGCCAATTGTAGGTCAGATGAATGACTGATGCCATCTTTGTCAAACCAGTATTGAAAGCTGGAAAGTTCCACGGAAGAAAATTGCAAAACCTTTCAAAAGACTATTGCAAGAAGAAGTGGGACTTGTACTCCTTAATCATCAAGCACTGCATGAGACAGCAGGTTGCGATGGTCATGAGGTGGTGTGGCAGCAAAGAGAAACTTTTCTTTGCTGTAGGGAGAGGAACTCTTTCCGTGATTCAGCTGCTTTTTGTGATTTTTAAGTGAGGTTCTGATGTTGGTTGGCGTGTGAGCTTCTTTTTGGTGTCGCTGTCATGATAATGTTTGGAGATTCAGATTGCTCTAAATTACAAATTTTAACAACGAGCTGTGGGCCCCTCAAGAGCCTCTTTCGTCCCCAGTCACTACAAAGTGCAATGAACTGGTGCTCAAAGCAAGCAGTCATGCCTATTCAAATTCCCCGTGTTCTTTAGAAAGCCGCGCAAACCAGCACCACACTGCAATTAAGAGAATATTAATCACCCAGATTGTCCCCTCAAAGCATACTACTGACAAATACTGAGTGTTTCTTCTCAGACACCAAGCTGCGAACAGCGTACTTTGTGGACCAACTAGCTTCAAAGATACAAACTTATGTTGTTCTTCCCCAAATTTCTTTGACAAACCTTTGTTTAACCAAGTATCTAAAATTTGAAGTATCAATCAATCCCCATGGTTTTGTTGCTTTGACCCCAGGTTAGGCAGCTCAGCGAAGGTGGTCAACATGGCTTCTTCGCCAGGGGGTCCTTGCGGCGGTGGTTCGGCTCGGGGGCTTCCCTTGATGGCAAAACCGAGTCTCAAAAGGCCTGGGAGCAGAAGGCCAGGAAAGAGTGCAAGGGGGAGGATCCTTATACAAAGCTGGCGCACGACTCACAAGAGGTGAATATTCTTGTGTCCCGGCACAGTTCTTGCTCTGAGTATCCGGTGACGATGATGACGCTTCTGGAGAACCTGAGAGCCGCGCTTAGAAAGAACATTTTTGTGCCGCTGAGGTGTGACCATGGACATTGTTAACGAGGCTACCAAGAAAGTGGAGGCTGTTTTTGCCTCCATTGCAACTTGCTGTCCCCACTTGAAAGTTGGATTCTTGTATTTCGAAACTTTCAGAAAAAGCCGTAGCGTGCTGTTGGGTGTATAAGCTGGCAAATGTCGAAGTCAAGATTGCTCCCCAGTTATGCTTTATAGTAAATCTAGAACTCCAGCCTGAACAAGCGGTTTCAGTGTGTAAGTCTTCTCTACATTTTGCCTAGTATGTGAATGTTCTGCCCGATCATGTTTTGGCAGGGCCCAAAGGACTTCAAGTATTGCATGGGAGTCCGAACTCTCCTAGAAATGCAAGTCTAGAATCATGAGGATTTCACAGAACCACTTGCCGATGGAAAATGTCTTAGCACATCTGATTTCAGCGGCGTTTGAGGCTTCAATAGAAACCCAAAAACGGTTGGAATATGGCTGGTTCCACAAGGCGTTTATCTGGCAGCAGTCGAGACCAGTCAGAACGGATGGAAGGAGAACAGGGACTCCCGGCGGACTCCCTACGTTACCCCCTTCCGACTATAACCTGTTTGATTGACGGTCACACTTAGTACACATACTCATCCTAGACCGTCGATCTTAGAAGGTTATGGCTAAGAGGGGTCTGTAACATCGGCTTGGGAGTCCATGTTCTCCCTCCTTCCGTTCAGTCAGTCTACACAAGAACGGCTTCACTTGCAGGGCTTTCTGTTAAAGCCCGTATACACCAAGTCGGACGTCCCCCCCGAGGCCTGGGAAGAGTTGCCGGGAGTCTGGCCCTATACACGGGGTCCCTATGCCAGCATGTATACACAGAGGCCCTGGACGATCAGGCAGTACGCAGGATTCAGGTGCGCCCTGTTTTCCACCTGCTATTACCTTGGCAGAACCCGTCTACTTGTTGGCTCTTGATCCTTCGTAGAGGTGTGCGGCTCAAATGACGTCGGACCTCTTCAAGCTTTTCTTGAGTGCATTTGCGTCTGCCACTTGTGTCCCCCTGTCAGCAGGGGTCACCGGCCATTCTCTTGGGTTCGACCGTCTATAACGAGCTTCGTCTGTCCGCTTCGCTTCCACCCGGACTTGTTTTCGAATCTCTACCTCAACGAGGGGCCACAACGCAGTTGAACAGGACAGAAGCACGTATTCACCCATGCGTATTTGAGAAGCTTGCCGTTTATTTCTCGAAGAAGTTTCGGTCCCCTTCTGCAAAACGCGTAAGCTGCTTGGAAGTGGGCTCAGAGACGTACTGGCACTCTTGAAGCCAAAATTCTATCTGGCACCTTAGTGTGTAGAGTAACCTCCTGAAGGACGTAACTGGTCAAAACATACCTCAAGAGTCAAAACCATCCCAAATTTGTCAGAGATATGACAATGTACTTGATTACCTGAGGTTCAAATTCCAGTTTACTGTTTGCAGCACGGCCGAAGAGTCCAACGCGTTCTACCGCCGCAACCTCGCAGCCGGGCAAAAGGGTCTCTCCGTCGCATTCGACCTCGCGACGCATCGCGGGTACGACTCAGACCACCCTCGTGTCCTGGGTGACGTCGGCATGGCGGGCGTGGCGATCGACAGCGTTGAAGACATGAAGGTTTTGTTCGAAGGGATCCCCCTGGACCAAATGAGCGTTTCGATGACCATGAATGGGGCGGTCCTGCCGGTGCTGGCGATGTATATCGTAGCGGCCGAGGAGCAGGGTGAGCAGGGTCGCGACCTGGGTTATGCTCTCGGTTTGAATCTGGGTCAAGGTCTGACTATGTTCTAAGTCGAGGAGTGTCAAGCTTCGGCACCACCTGGTTCATTTACGGACATGAGTGCTGGCAATGCCTATTGCGGGGGTTGAGGTGCAGGGTGAGCCGGGTCGAGACACGGGTTAAGCTCGGGTCTTATTGTGGGTCAAGGTCTGACTACGCTTAAGATAAAGCTACGGTCAAGCTTTTGACCCGCACAGGCGTGTGTGGTGGCTATGTACTTCGTGACGGCCGAGGAGCATAGTAAGCAGGGTTGAGACACCGGTTATCTCCTGGGTTCGACTCTGGTCAAGGTCTGACTGCTCTTCGCGTTAAGCTGTTTTGGAGTTCCTGGGCTCTAGGTTGTTCGGAGGTCTAGGTTGTTCAGAATTCAAGTGTGTGTGCTTGCGATGTGTTTCGAGGCGGCCAAGAGCAGATCGGGTTGGGCCGACATTCGGATCAGCAGTTGCTTCATTTGAGCTTGGATTTGTCGAGCACACTGAGCTCCTTAGCGCTCTCATGTCTTCAGGCGTGGATCTGAGCCAGCTGTTGGGTACTACTCCACAACGACACTCTGAAGCATTGCGTGGTATGCTCTTCTTTGCCTCTAAGACCTTTAGACATGTCTAAGTGTCCGGACCCTGAGACCCTGAGACTCTGATATTCCGAAAGCTCAGAATGTCAAACACTCAACCCCACAGCGCCCTTCTGTCTGCAGGCGTGAAGTCGAGCCAGCTGTCGGGTACTATCCAGAACGACATCCTAAAGGAGTACATGGTGCGCAACACGTACATCTACCCCCCCGCGCCGAGCATGCGCATCGTTGGTGACATCATGGCCTACACTGCGCAGCACATGCCGCGCTTCAACTCCATCTCCATCTCCGGCTATCATATGCAGGCGAGTTGCTTGTGTGCAGTATGTTCTTGTACTCTTCTCAAGATCCTTGGGAAGTAATAAGCTTTATTGCTGATGTGGGCTCTTTGTACGCTGCAGCTCGCATAGGGACACCTCTCCATCTTGGAACGAGAAACCAAACCGTCATCTGCAGGAGCAAAAGGGTTGACGAAAGAATTTAGAAAAGGGTATAGAGGAGGGTAAACACTTCTGCAGGAGGCGGGCGCAAACAGCACCCTCGAGCTCGCATCCGGAATATTCTGATGAACTTCTGGGGTCTGATGTCAACCCGAAAGCACAACCGTCAAGTTAGATGTCAGATAACAGGGTTTATAATGTGGTCAGCCATAGGCTTAAAGAAGGAAGATAAGATATGGCTTGATCATTTTTCCTGCCGGAGGCGAGCAGTAACAGCACTCTGGAGTTCGCCTTCACGATCGCCGACGGTCTCAAAAATGTGACAAAATAGCTCAGAAAAGGTCCAACGAAATAATTAGAGGTGGGTTAACAAGAGGTTTGATACTTCTGCAGGAGGCGGGCGCCAATAGCACTCTGGAGCTCGCCTTCACGATCGCCGACGGTCTCGAGTACGTGCGCTGCGGAACGGAATCCGGTCTCTCCGTCGACGCCGTTGCGCCACGGTTCTCCTTCTTCTGGGCGATCGGGATGAACTTCTACATGGAGATTGCGAAAATGCGCGCGGGGCGTCGACTCTGGGCGAAGCTGGTTAAAGAGAAGTTCAACCCGGTTAAGGAGCAGTCTATGGTGCTGAGAACCCACTGCCAAACGTCGGGTTATAGCTTAACTGAGCAGGACCCATATAATAACATAGTTAGGACGACGGTCGAGGCGATGGCAGCGGTTATGGGCGGGACGCAGTCGCTGCACACCAACTCGTTCGACGAGGCGCTCGCGCTGCCTTCGGAAACGTCGGCGAGGATTGCAAGGTATGGAGATTTTGGCACGTGGAGTGAATGACTCGTGACCGACCCTTTGGGTTGGCTCTTTTGTTCCGGTGCTCAAATCGCCGCTTTGCCTCTATTTTCCAGCGACTGAAGCATAGCGCACTGATTGAGCAAAGCATACACAGGGCGGAATGATCCAAAGGAGCCGTCTGCTTCCTACGCTGTTGGGTTTCTCCTCGCTACATTGGTTCCCATTCCACACAGGCAGTCTCATATTTGTGTTCAGACCTTATATAGAGCCTGCCCCACTGGTTCCGACCTCCGTCCCTAACCTGGAAATTAAGAAGAGGGCACGTGTTTCTGTCTCCTTCTCTCCCTCCCGATACCCTCTCTCTCCCTCCTTTCAGTCCCGCCATTTTATCAGCCGGTAATTGGTATTGGAATTCTATTGACCTTTTTTAGAAAAGCCCACGGTCATGGATTCATCCTGTCTGTTCAGGAACACGCAGCTGATCCTCCAGGAAGAAACGGGTATCACCAGTGTGGCGGACCCTTGGGGGGGGTCGTTCTTCATGGAGGCCCTTACTGCAAAGCTGGAACAGCAAGCACTGGAAGTGATTATCGAAGTCGAAGCAAAGGGGGGAATGACGGCAGCCATTCAGTCGGGGATGCCGAAGCGGCGAATCGAGGAGTGCGCGGCCCGAAAGCAGGTGGGGATCGCAAGGCCCCAACAAACCGTCCGGAAGCTGTGTGCAAGTGTCCGTAAGCCTTGCGTATCGTCCGAATGTGTCCGGAAGGTGTCTGCAGGAGTCCGGAGATTGTTCGTGGTCCAAGCTGTCGGTGAATGATTAGAGTCTGTCTGCATCTGTTCGAAAGTTGTTTCCAATCAATTTGAAGGCTGTACTGACTTGTTTGAGAGTAACTTGTGTCTTTCAGAAATGAAAAGCTGTTAATAGAAGGCTCTAAATTTGTCCGCGAATGATCGAGAAGTGTCCAGATATGACCGACAGCTGCCGGAACGTGTCCGGAAGCTGCCTGCAGACACCGAGAAACGTCTGCAAAGTCAACCAGATGTCTGGAATTTCTCCACAGGTTCCAAATACTGTCCGCAAACCTTTGGGAGCGGATTGAGGTTGGAGTAGTTGAATTGTGCTCAGGAACGTTCAAAACACCAATGCATCTCGGAGTAAGCATCTCTTCAGCTCGATTTGTCAATGCCCTCTGATTTCGTCAATGTGAGGGGGACGGAGGAAGCTGCTCGATTAAAGGAGGGCTCCAGGTTCTGAGAAGCGCATATATATTTCATCCAGGGTTACGCATTTTCGACATCCTTCTCAAAACTATACCTCTCAACACTACTCTCTCTGCATTTTTCGAACCCGTTTCCGTTCACACCCGCAGGCCCGGATAGACAGCGGCCAGGAGGTGATTGTCGGTGTGAATAAGTACCGGCTGCCAACTGAAGAGAAAGTCGAGGTGCTGTCGATTGACAACAAAGCGGTGCTGGCCAGCCAACTAGAGCGGCTAGAAAAAGTAAGGGCGTCGCGGGACGGGGAGAAAGTGCAAGAGGCGATGGACCGACTGACGGAGGCTGCAGCGGTGAGCGGCAGTTTTGATTCACTCCCGATTTTGGTCGCGAACGCCCTTGATGTCAACACGAGGATGACGTCATTTGGGGTTACTCATAATGAGCCAGATTGGGCGAGCATGAAAGCCCTGCTTCCGTTGAGGCCTTCGAGCCATTTGCACTTCGCCTCCCCAGATTCCCGTCGGTGGTAGCCTATCATCATGCCAGCGGTCAGATGCGCCTCATACACTCCTCCGCCTCCCTCTCAACTGCTTGGTGTTGGTTCTTTTCAGGCTTCTTGCTAGGCTTATGTTTGCCCAGCTTTTGTGGCTTCAAACATCAATCACCGCTTCACACCCCAGGCTACTTCCACACTGACGCCTCTCCTCCCCAAACGGCCGTTCTCTGTCCGAGTCTTAAGGATTGTTGCCCTCGCCGGCCTCAAAACTTAGAACTTCAAATCTCTATCATGGCAGAAAATCCTCACCTTTCCGCAGTCCTCCTGCTTCGCCTCCTAGATTTTCTCCCGCCCGGATACTCAAACCCCTGAAAGCTGGTAAGCTTTGCCGTCCTGCAGTCCCCGGTCTGCGCTTCCCACAACCTCCTGACGGTTAGGTACACGAAGTGTCGTAGTCATTTAAAAACAGCATTTTACAGTCCGAGGATCGATGGGTCTGCTCGGAGTTCATGGTGGGTCCGGGTGCGAAGTGCGAGTAGTAAGGCTAGGGTTGTCCAATGACTTTCTTTGCCCGGCAAACTGGCCTTTTTACGTGGAGCTTATCTTATCATAGGTCCAAGGGTTTTTGTAACAGCTTTTATTCCTGCAGTCTCCAGACCGCTCCGCCCACAATCTGCTCGCGCTCACCGTCGCGGCAGCGCGCGCGCGAGCCACCGTGGGCGAAATAAGCTATGCGCTCGAGAAGGTGTTCGGGCGGCACCGCGCGGACAGCTCCGTCGTATCCGGAGCGTACAGTACAGCCGTTGGCGAGGGGGGCGACGAAGAGATGGAGAAAGTGCGGGAGCTTGTCGCCCATTTTGCGGACGCGGAGGGGCGGAACCCACGGATACTTGTCGCGAAGGTGGGAAAACTTTTGAGTTTCTTGAGCGGTTGATTGGGGAGCTCAAGAGAAGGGTTTGTGGTTTCAGAGGTGACTCAGACGCACGCGCTTTCGGCTTTATGTTGTTCCTTTCTGAAGTTATGGCGACCCTTTGTTGAGGTATTATCCAAAGGGTGCGACAGAATGGTGTAAAGTTGTTGCTCTCATGTTGACCCCTCAGTTCTTGGTACGTGTCTCGCCCTCTGCCCTGCGTGCCTCTTTCGGAGTCATTAAGTGGAGCCGTTGCTTCATCGGACGAGTTGGCAAAGAACGCGCAATTGAGTTTGACATTCGACGCCTTTCAGGCTGATGCTGTTCCATCCTAATTGAATCAGAGACGCCGTATAGCTTAGGATTAGAACGACGGGAACGAAGCTCAGTCGAGGGCGGAAGGGGCGAGCTAAGCCGATTGTGTTCTCGAACGAGTATAATCGGGTTGAATTACCTGCAACCACCTGTCGACATCAAGGCAAGGCAAGAGAAGTCTTTCAGGCTCTTAAATTCGCTGGCGTCTTCTAACTTCTGATAAAACCATACCCGACCAAAGAGACGGGCAGCAACCTACGGCGTCAGAAAACGTGCCAACCGAATTTTTATGAAATGCAGACTGGTCAAGACTGGCCCAACCCAGTCGTCAAGGTGAGTGCGACCGGGTTAGTTGACCTGGGTTCCAACGTGACACTACGAATCACAGCTTGCGCTCTGGCTTCTCTTCTTAGCGAAACCCAACTGGAATCGTTGGCGACCAAAGAAATGGAAAGATACTATGAAAGGACACCAAATGCATCCTTGACCTTGTTTCTAACCCAGATGGGTCAAGATGGCCATGATCGGGGCGCCAAGGTGATCGCGACCGGGTTAGCGGACCTGGGTTTCGACGTCGACATCGGACCGCTTTTTTCGACGCCCGAGGAGGTGGCGCGTCACGCCGTGGAAGCGGACGTGCACTGCGTGGGGATAAGTAGCCAGGCGGCGGGGCACCGGACGCTCGTACCACAACTTGTACAGGTGAGCGTCCGGAAACCGTCCGGAAGTCGTTCAGACTGATTTGAGTAGCGTCCGAATAGCGTCCAGTACCGTTGGCATAAGATGTCACGCGGAGGAAGCGGACGTGCACTTTGTGGGGATAAGCAGCCAGGCGACGGGGCACCGGACGCTCGTTCCGCAACAGGTAAGCGTCCGCAAAGACTTCGCATCACATCGAACACCGTAAGTTTAATAGTTCGTTTCACGATTGCCTCTTGTCCGTATGTCTAGTGTTAGTGTCTTGAAACGAACGGCGTTCAGACCCGTAAAACTTGTGCTATCCGTCATTGCAGGCGCTTAAAGACCAGGGTCTTGCTGACGTCCTCGTGGTGGTTGGTGGTGTCATCCCCCCCGACGACTACGACTTCCTCTACCAGTCGGGTGTCGGGGCCATATTCGGCCCGGGGACTCGCATTCCGGCTGCTGCTCAGGATATCCTGTCCAAGATCAAGCGACAAGAGCCAGAAAAACAAGAAGCGACTGGATGATTCATCCGACTAGGATGACGTCCTTGTCCCAGTTGCGAATTGTCACCACTTGTAAAGTGTTTCTTCGCGTTGGCGGCTTCGATCCTCTAGAGCTAGTCAGCCTTTCAACTAGTTTGATTTGGAGGGTGACGTCAACTTTGACCCTTAGCAGCCTACCGAAAGGTCTGAGTTTGTGCGAGGCAGAGCGATCGAGAGACTAAACTGGCATGCAGAGGATATGCACGAGTGTAAATAGATCGGCACCAAGTATGAGCTAGCGCGTCCCGTGACGGTTCGAACATTTGGAGCCGACTGCATCGACAAATTTCCATCATGATCTGTGCATGACCTCTGCAGTTGAAAGCGGGTGTCTGGTCGAATATTACGGCATGATGCCAGCTAGCTTTCCGGGCTTTCAACTTTCTTATCGCTTGCATCCTCTTCCGGCACGCGGTGCATCCGCTTCAAGTTTAATTCAAGCTGACTACGTTCTCGCTTCTCTGAGGCCCGAACAGGCCTAAGTTCAGTGCAGATCATGTACAGGCCGCTTCACACTTGCAGCGCGCTCAGTAGGTCGCATATGGCATATTACATATGTGCTTATAAGCAGCAGGGAGCTAGGGCCAATCAACATTTCAAGTAGGGCGACGATCTCCACGATTGAGATCGCGTTCGTATATGGTCGTATTGAAAACACTCACAGTGACTTACTCATGCGCATATAATAACGGCTGCTGCATGCATATAAGGGACCTCTCAAATTGAGTAAAAATCTGCACAGCAATCAGCTGCGATCCAAAGCTTACAGCCGCTAGCTTTGTGATCACAAAGCTACCTGAGTGCTCCAGAAGCTACCTGTGAGCCAGGCTGCATCGTCTAGCCAGGCCATCTGAGGTTGGAGATCCAAGACGTTTATGAAGGCAGCTATAGCCGTGAGTCCTTAACAGTACCTTGAAAAATACCTTGATTATCAGAAAGGCATGATCGATAGCACTGTCTCCTGAGGAAAGATCATCCGAAAAGCTCATACAAATAGACTCTTGAACGCTTCGCTAAACCGATTCAACCAGATTGACCTTCGCCGCAAGCTCAAGGCTATCTTTTTGCGTGTCAGTTGCTTCATCTTAACTCAGTCAAAGCTCTTGCCTTTTAGGCGATCGCTCTAGTTTGCGTTGCTCTGAATGCACTGAGTGCTAACAGTACTCCGATTCAACATTGGCCTGTATCAAAGGCCTTGGAAGTTCATATGTACGCGCGTGATAACTTCATCTCGCCTGGTCATTGCTTGGCTTTGACAGGACCTTGTTTACAAAATTCAAATCGCACTATGACACTCCCAACCAGATCGTCGGGCAAGCGACCAGCTAATCTCAAATCTCCACGATTTCGGGGCTGCCTAGAACCTTGTGCTTTAGCCCAAGGCTCTTCAGTACCTACCAAAGAGATAAAAAGACAACATGAGCTGGGTTTGTAATCGGTCACTTTGATGTTCTTTGTTCCGTTTGTGAACTGTCAACGCGCTAGGTCTTCGTTTGTAAAGGAAGATTCCTTACTAAACAGCGGAATTTCGTATGATCGAAGGAAGGGAGGCCGAAGCGGCATGTTGCACCATGCGAACGGCCAGAAGCTGAATTGGACTTAGTCTTTGTAAGAACTCTCCTGCTTCAATTGTACGGGAAATCTACCTCAACAATGTGCTAACGCGAATGTCAACCTCATACGGATTTCCTTAAATACCCCCCGAAGTGGGTTGCCTGATAAGAAAGATAAGCCTGACAACTCACTGGCAGCGAGAGGAAGAAGCGAATGAGGCACGAAACAGACGTAAGTCCGTGACGGCGCCCATCAAAATCGGTCAACCGCGTAACAGCGCACCCGTCCCTATGGCTTTAAGGTTTGCACTTAAAATAAAGAGCCGTACACCTTAAGCGGACAGGGAATGCGACAATCTCGTGCGGAGGCGGGGGAGGTCATTGGCGCAGCGGTAAAACTGGTCAAACTTCACCTTGCAACGATTAGTCCCGCGTGATGTTTGATACACAAGTATGGCATACTTGGCTCTGAAGAACACGACTTGAAAATGGAGAGTACCTCAAGTCAGATATAAATAGCCCTCAGAGGTTTGCGGAATTAGCCTCCAAGAACCTCGGACGGGGCGCACCCACCAGGTTGTTGGCATAGTGGTCGAAGCGGTCGGAAGTATCTTCGAGTTTCTTTGAGACATGTAGGTTCAAGAGACACCATCAGCCAATTCTTCAGGGCAACGGGGTTGCACGAGGAGCTTTTTGCGTTCCGTGCACCGAATCTTCCAAGACTATAGTTCCGCCCGGGATTCCGAGTTCGGGGTTTGGAAGTGTTAAAACCCCGCATGAGGCCGCACCGCACACCTGGTCGGTAGCATAGTGGTGGACACGGTCGGAGCTATCTCTCAGTTTCCGTGTGGCTTGCAGACTCGAGAAATACCACTGAGCGACTTTTCTGGGCAACGGGATCGCAAACTGGGATTTCCGGGTTCTATCTACCAAATTTTGCAAGATTTTGGGCTACCATGTTACACATAACTTGAAAGACGGCCTGACGCACCTGGTCATTGGCGTAGTGGTAAACCCGGTCGAAGTTATCGACGCACGCGGCCTCGCGCCCCGCATCCCCGTGCCCATGGCAAAACTTGCACCCGTTGAAGTGGCACGTGAACGGGAGTTTCTCGCCGCTGCTGCCCCCTCCTATCTGGTCTAGCCTTTTGAGGACGTCAATGAACCTAGAGGAACGAGCGGAGCACGATGTGCTTAGGCCTGGGGGTGGTGTTAGAAGGCCGCAAGAGCGCACGCAGGTGCCAGTACACTTCACCGGGTGAAAATCAAAGGCCTTATTGGAAAGAGCATGTTTAGATCGAAAAAGTAGAGCGACTCTGAGCCTTCCGCTTCAAATTCGGCTTGAAAATTGAGCGCTGACGATTTCAGTACGTTCACAACAGAAGAGAACTTTGTAAGTGACTTACATCTTACTTACAAGAGAAGAACAAGATTCGGCAAGATGTTTCGATGGTCACTCGTGGAGATTCTGCTTGCTTTCTTCTGGCTTTTTAAACGTCCCCTATAGAATCTCCATTGAGGCAAGTCTTTGAAAATTGTAACGCGACCTGTCGTGAACGAATTGAACCTGAAAGCAAAGAATCGGCCGCCAGCTACGATGAGGGAACCTACGTTCAGCGGCTCTTATGGCAGACGGTCTCCAAACAGGGCAACCGTTGCTGCTGAGATCCGCGAGCCTGCGACTTTCCCGGTTAACAGTCTGCAATACTTTTGTGAGTTGTTTACGGAAATGAAAGAAAGGCGAGCAATCGAGGACACTCCTCGACTTCGGAGCAAAAAGGGAGAGCGAAATTTGTAAGCCTCCTCAGCAGAACGGAGAAATTTTAACCCACAACAACTGGTACCCAAAAGGGATCCCTCACCAGGTGTTAAAAATAAACTCCTCGTCTATGTAGGTCTTCGTCGCCCACTTCTCCGGGAAGGTGGACAGCAGGTAGACGGTGCTGCTCTGGTCGTCCGCCGGAAAATCTGCAGGCGACACATTTGCGTGATTTGCGCCATTGTTGTGAGTGCGCCCGTCCAGGGCGTGAACGCGTCGATTTAGAGTGCGGATGCGCCCGTTCGAAACGATTTGCAGATTTCGAACCGTTCCTGAAAGCTCTCATTCATTCCTTGAGTGAGTCGAGGACCACTTTTTGAGAAACACATCGCGGGAAGAGAAAGACAAGAGCTTTGCTTTGTGCTTTCTGGCACAAGGGTGTGAAGACGCGTAGCTGTAGACGTCATGAAAGGGCTCCTCATCCAGTCACACTAAAGATGCTACGTGTGTGCTAATTCGCAGCGAATCTTTCCTCTTTTCAAACCTTGTTTTGTCCGCAGGACAGAGCTTCTGCAGACCGTCGTGGCTCGTCGCTCGAATCAAGCGAGACTCGGAAGACGTCTCGCAGGATCAAGCTGGATCATTGCCAAAGCATACACAAGGTCGGCGCTGCTCTTCTGACGAAATGTCTAGGACTTCGAAGATCCCCAACTCAATGCTTCACTTCAAACGGCTCAACCTGGCCTCCTATTCAAATTGATGGCAAAATCTGATCTTCGGCCGTTGGATGGCTGGCGTCCAGGTTATCGTAGGGGCCAGCTTCTGCGGCTCGGGCAGGACTTGAGGATCGACTCAACTGGAACTTGATTCAGCCGGCGAGACTTTGAACAAAGGTGCAGTGGGCTCGTTTGCTGTAGTCTCTCACCCTGAGCAGCCTCCTTCCGTCCCTTCAACTTCTCGTTGAGCAGTCGCCCGAAGGAGTCGCGGACCTCTCCCGCCTCCCCGGTCGCGAGCAACGCGTCCAGAAACTCGAGCGACCACTCCGTGTTGCGGAGCAGAAAAACGCCCGTGTTCAAGCCGAGCCAATGCGGCTCCTCGAAAACCTGATCGACAAAGACCTAGACTCTTTCAAAAGGGCGTTTAGTGACGTCATCACTTCGATCATTTCAAGAAAGGCCAATCAGAAACTCTGCTCGGGGCAGAAACGCTGACGCCAGTTTCTTGGCGACAGACGACCAGTAGGCCATGCTTCATTGTCGCTACGTGACGGCAGGCATATCTTCAAAGATCCAGAGTCTAAAAATATAGTTTCGTCCAAGACCCAGCTCTGTATGAACCAGCATTCTTCGACGGTTGAGGAATTGCAAACCGGAATCCTCAGGCTGACCTCAAGTTGCAGCACTCTTGTTCCGGGTTTGCCGAACCTATTGCCTATAAAAGTTGGGCCCCCTATGGTCCGACCGACCGACTTTTTGCCTGAATCCCCCAAGAGGGTTTTGTCACTCCGGCAGCTGATAGAAAATGACGTTGGTTTTGTCTGCATCATAATTCCGAATCCGATCTGGTTCGGACCATCCCCGTAGAGAGGTTGTCACACTCTGAATACACAATCCCATCGAAAAGAGTGATCGAGCGGTCCTGTCGCTTTCGTTTCATTTCAAAGACAACTCCGAATGCAATCAGTTGCTCTCTTAAACAAACAGTGATCAGCGAATCCTGTCCTGATAGTTCAGTCAAAACAGTCATCAACCAAAACCCCGTTGTTCTTTTCCAAAGCAAGCACAGAAGGGTGGACATGGCAAGAGACAATATCTTGCAGAAAGGGGGACCAGCTCTGTAAAAAGAAAGAACTTCCGATTTTAAAAGTTTTTGATTCGGTGGACTATGAAAGTTTTGCCTGCGAAATTACAAAGTAATTGATAGGACGACTGAATGGTTCCTCGCTCCTTCTGAACGTGGCGTAGGGTCGTTGAGCGAAAACGTGTTTACACACAAGGAGGACAATCGAGAAACAGCCATGGAATAGAAGCTTGACATCTGATTCAGTTCAGAGATGTAATCTGCTCAACTGTCTGGGTGTTGTGACTCGCTCTCACCCGTATTCTATCCCCGTGTAAGACGAAGTCGTAACCTTCATATTTCTCCAACGGTATCCGCATGCTCATGTCCGTTATAAGGACGTCCGTGTCGATCCACTGTACGACAAACAGCCGTTGAAGGTCGTTGCGAAAATCGTTCAAGTAATTTGTTAGTCTCGTCAGCGCAAGAACTAGGTGAGCAGAGATGAAGCGCTGTGAATGCCTCTGTTCAGCATTCTTCCATTCAGTGACGTTAGAGGCGGATCCGAACATCAGTTCGTCTCAAGGTTCACGGAACCATTCGAAGCTTTGACATTTTCGGTGAATATAAGCAGATCTGGACGTATTTCAGGCCTTCGGATCGATTCAAAGGCACTCGAGCCCCAGTTTGACGCTTGTAGATAACGGGGACACTGAGAAGAAAACACATTTCTTTAATGACATCCTGAGAGCAACCGTATTGAGTGTATTGAGAAACAGAGAAGGATTACACGATCACCAGAGCTGTTGAAAAGATGATCCTCACCAGAAACCACTCCATGCTGGGGTTGGCGAGCATCAGTTTCTTCAGCAGGATGATCTTTACCCACCAATTATCGAACTTAGAATCGAGCATTTCAACACTATTCCACAAGCTGTAATTATGCAACCTGCAGGTAAGGGGAACTGGCTCAATTGAAAGCCAGTTCAGATCTCTGGATTGTAGGATCGAAACAGCAAATAAAGGCGACGCTTGATGAGGGGACCATACTGTCGTGTGACGAGAGCGGATCCACTATTCATTGCATGGATCCACACTCGAAGGTCTAGGATTGAAAACTTAGAGAGTTATTCTCTTCTCACAATTACTACAATAACCTCTATCTAAACATCAAAACGCTGCAGCCAATCCAACAAAGCTACAGTAAAGACTACAGATTGACAGCGATTTTTTGGAACAGGAAGTTTGAGAAGATGATGGAGGGAGGGCACACCTGGCATAGTCAATCTTGTTTTGTAGCGCCTTTAAAGTGAATTCAGACCCTCTATACGTCTCGCAATGTGCGGTGTCTACCGCTGTGACCAGCAGGAGGTTTGGTCTTTCCTCTTCATTTTCGACGCTGAGTACGGAATCTCCTATCACAACCAGAAAAAGAGTGACCCTTGAGCCAAGCCAAAGTATAAAGTTTCAGAAGTGCATAGATTGATCCCCTTGCCAGCGATTAAAATTGAGAGTCAAATCTGGGCCAGGGTAGTGGCGATTGAGCCCAGCTTTTCTTACAGGCGATGGTGGCCTTGAGTTCCGACTTTCCTAGCACTGTCTCCTGCACCTTCTTTAGAACCTGATGCACCTGCCATTAGGATGAGCACCAGCTAAGAGCATTCAGTAGCTTCAAGGATACAATTTCAAGGATACAAAGCATCTTTCAGCTAGCAGGCTGCTCACCAAAGTGGCCATTGCCTTCTCGCAAAGGTTGGCCAGAATTTCTAACCCCATCTGGGCCCCACTTTCTTGCAAACTCATCGCCTCGACAATCTCTTGACCAGGCCAGAAGCAAGAGTCTTCCACCAAAGAAGATCACAGCTAGCACAAAGAACAGCGTGAGAGACCGCATCTCAGCTGAGAGCTTCCTGTAGAGCTCCCTCTAGTCAAGAATGTAATGAGCTGCCAGCATGTACTTTTTGCTTTGCAGAAGCTGGACTAGGCAGCCCTTGAGCCATGTGCACAGCGGAAAGGATCCACAAAACAGCAGCTGGAGCATGCACGATACCGACTGCAGCCAGGACAACTGTCGTTGGAATCATGGCAAACCACTCTTTGGAGAATGTACAGAAGGGGCACCATTCCTAGCAGCTGCAGAGCTTCCAACAGAGCCCCTTGAAGATGAAGAGCGGAAGGTACAACAAGCAGACGTACCACCAGGAGAATAAGAAGGCCATGCACTGATCAATGCAGTGCAGGAATTCAACTTGACCTTTATTAGCTTTAATTTCAAGGCTGCAGAACCTATGCGCCGGCAGCGGCCGCGTGGAATGGTGCCCGGCCGGCGCGGGGCGGCCACCGTCCGCCGCACACTGCATGCCCGGGCCGCGCTGAAAGGCGCGCGGCCGGCCGCGCGCATTCCGCGGCGCGGCAATGGCAGCGCGGTGGCCATCTTTTGTCTCGTCGACGGACTCTCAGAATGATAGCTTCCAGATGCATGCTTGATATTGAGCGTCTGCTTGGCTTGAATACTCCTGCCAAGGATCCAGTGGGGGCGCTGCGAGGGCCAGACTCAGGTCCCTCCCTGCTGAAACGGGCTGCACATCCTCCTCCAATGAATGTGCGTCGTCAGAATATTCGATTCACAAGGCGAACCCAAACATATATAGGTGTGCGGTATCTGATTCTAAGCAAAGGTTGCGCTTTGAAGGCCCCGGATCATAGTCCACCCTCTTTTGGCTTATTTGGATGCTGATTCTCCGAACAACTTCCAGGTTCCGGTCTTCTCCGAAAGGTTTCAGAAGGTCCGAGTGGCCCGCTTCCTTGGATGGGCTGTTCGGCTGTATGCTCCTTCTTCGCCGTCGAATGCTTGGTTACTGGTCCAGATTTATTTTATCCACCGACGAAATGCTTAGATGTGCGCGCTGTATTATACAAGGTCCGAATGTAAGGCCGCACTAGCTGCTGTGTCGACCACTACTTATAAAAGCTGGAATCACTCTCAAACTTAAGATTAGCCAGTGAGTCCTTGTTGCACAGGTGCGCGATGAGCTGCTTATACGTCATAATGCTTTCAAACGTCTCGCCTTGCCACATGAAAGCCTCTTATTAGTCTTACATAACTCATTGTTTGGATTGACGACCATGCACAGCTAGTCCTTGCAAGCTATTTCTTGTTTCCGGACAACGGGCGACGAAGACGAACAAGTCAAGAAGTCGGATTTACATTCGACTTTATAGGGATCCTGACATGCAATTATCCGTATGATATCTTGGTAGACGCTGACACGAAAATCCTATTCGACCACTGAATGTGCCTGCTTCGCTATCCCTATCTCTTCCCTTTGTTCCCCGAGCACAAAAGCACCGCCTTTTAGAGTCACGTCTGAGCTCAAAATGAACTGTGACAAACAAGTATCACAGCTTCTTTCCTTTTCTCTACGTAAGCTGCACCCACGTCGCCTCCGATGGGATGTTGCTGTCGTGGCAGAATAGGTAATAGTAGCCGGGGGGCGCGATAGTGTTTCCGGGGGGTCCTTTCACTGCGACCGTGACTCCCCCAGTGGAGGCAGTGTACTGGAGGCTCTCGTAATCAACCTCCAGCCAGACGAAGCGCTGACCCATGTGCTGCGCGTGGGTGCCTGTGTACGAGAAGAGGGAAAGGTTTTAGCAAATTTTGTAAATTGGCATTTGAGGCACGAAAGTCGGCTACGCTGACGCTTGGAGGTTCCAAAAGCGTCAATTCAACCCAATGAAAATGCTTGCATCCGACGTTTGTACAATGGTCTGATTCTGGCCCACATCACGTGGCCGGATATCTCCACAGAAGCACTCGCAAGGCGACCACCGCGAGAGTCTCCTTCACCTCATTTGACTGTCTCTCCGGTAGAGAGATCTCTTTTCGTCATGATAAACGGATAGGCCATGAGAACTTTCCCGGCGAGTTGTCAGTTCTCTTTGGACCCTTTCCCAATCTCTCACCCACGGAATCCCTCAACATTTGTCATTTCCTGCAGATGACGTCAAGCATCCGCTTCTACAGCCGCGACGTCTCCCAAGGAACTCACCGAATCCCGGGTTCATGATGGCGGTCCGGACAGCTGGCACCTCCAGATTGGCCCGGATCGTCAGCGTCAGCGTGAACGTCGCGCCGTACCCTATTGTCGCGGGCGCGGCCGCGATGCGCGGCTGTGGGATCACGCTCGAAACGTACGGCGGGCAGAACTTATTGATGGTGAATTCGTTGGGGAAACACTTATCGTCGGCCCCGGTGCATTCGACGCCGAAACATTGAGGGCCACACCCCACGCAGCAGTCGGAGGGTGACGAACCCCCGACCAAGAGACAGCTGTCGGGGCCTGGAAACAGAGAGCGGTAGTTTCATTAGCACATCACCCAAAGCCAATTCTTATTCGAACTGGGCAGAGGAAAGAAGTGGCGAATGAATGTAGGACATATAGCGGTGATCATGCTGCGGACTTGTTTGATGTTTGTATGGACTGGCCAACAAGAAGGACTGTGCGAACGGGCAAGTGAGACAGCTTTCCGGGCCTGGGACGGTCAGAAAAGGGTGGAAGCTGCTTGACTGCCAGCAGAAGCGGAAACGGCAAATGAAAAGCGGAAAACGGAAAATAGAAAACGAAACGGAAAACGGAAACGGGCTTCAGGCAGCGGCGGTGTCTAGCACGGGCAGACATGACCCGGCTAGTCGGCCATACATCGGAGTTGGCGACGCTCGCACAGGCATGTTGAGCCGAGACGTCGCCGTCGAATCATGGGTATTGGCACGGACGGCCGTCTCAAGACCTTCAGGGACGGTTCCGAGAAGACGCCGGCCCTATGATCCGCCAGAAGTTGGTGCGAAAGAATGCTCATGTAAACGAAAACACAAGCGAATGTAGCGGATAACCGACCAAGGATCGCGAGCGAGTGGTAGAGGCGCGCGATCGACTCCGGCGCGAGGTTTCTCCAGCGCGCGCCCGCGGGCGCGGCCGCGTGGTAGAGGGCGGGCGTGAAGACCGGGTTGTGTATCTGCGAGTCGCCGACTTGGAGCCCCGCGACGCCCTGCCGGCCGCCGTTGATGATCATGATCTGCGGGAAGAAGAACCGTACGTTATGGTTTCAAGCTTCCACGTATCAAGAGTTTCGTAGATTTGGATTTAGCTTTGGGCCTCATTTTCACTTCGAAATTTAGGCTTGAAAGGGGTACGATGTGCCACAAGTGAAGGCCCTGAAGAGGAAGCAAAGTGCAGTCCGCAAAACTGAGTAGCTCTAGTCGGTGTACTTTGACGAGGTTGTGCAATTCAGCCCCTTCCTTTCAAAGCAGATCTGAAGCCGAGGCCCTGTGACTGTGTCTTGGACAGAGCAGCGAGCTTATATGGCGAACTTACACCCTCTCGGTCAGAGACCAGACAGCTTCGAAGAAAGAAGAGAACTGCTAATATCAACAAATATCTTGGCTTGCAGAGCGAGACAAATCGCAGTCTCGTAATGATCACCGGGCGTCTAATTTCTCTCGAAAGTCAGGGCGCACTACGTCTGATTAGGTTCGGGCCCCAAGCTTCCGCTCCTAGTTGAACTGATTAGAGAATTCCGTCCGTGAGTTCAAAGGCTTTGCATGAAAATCGAAGGCCCTCTCAAATGATGTTTTTGTGCAAGCGCGCAGGTCATCTTTCACCAATCATGGAAGTAGCAAAACTCGCATTACTCAAATGGAGATGGAACTGGGAAATCAGCTAAAATTCAGATTCTTCACTCGGAAACGGAAGCTTCTCAGGGTATGCGAGGAGCAACTCTCTAACCTGCCCGTTTGCGGTGATGATAAGATCGGGCGAGATGCGCGGGTCCGGCATGGTTTCCATAACCCACTTCGGGTTAGGGTCCAGCGGACGGATGCGGCCGCACGTGTCGCTCGCGTAAGCGTCGCGCTTCTTGGTGGTTGTGAAGAAGCTCCCGCCGCACACCATAACCTCGGCCGTGTAATTGTTCTCGAGAGACATGGGCAGTAACACCGACGTGCCTGCAGCGAAGAAACGTTACGGGTCAAAAACATCTATTGTTGAACGCGTCTTCTTTTGGTGCAATCGAAGAAGCTCCCGCCGCACACCCTAACTTCGGCCGTGTGATTGTTCTCGAGCGACTTGGGCAGCAACACCAACGTGCCTGCAGCGAAATAGCGTAAGAGCCAGCAACTTTGTTTTTCGCGTCTTCTTTTTCTGTTGGTTTGATTCGATTCTGGCGTAGACGAAGAAGCAGCGCAGCAAGGGATCCGGTCGTCTGATTGATTTCGAGCGACATCATGCGGAGCAACATCGAAGTGTCTGCAGCGAAGAAACGTTACCGGTCAAAAAGCTATAATGTTGAACGCGTCTTCGTTTGGGCTAGAGGAGAAGTTCCGCCGCACACCATAAGTATAGACGTGTTATCGTTCTCGATCGACACGGGCAGCAACACCGACATGCCTGTAGCAATAAATGTCACGATTTAGGTTTGCTTCTCGAGTACGTCTTCTATTGCTGTATGTACCATTGCGTCTGCTGCAAACCCTCATCCCGGCCCTTTGGACTTGACAAACAGTTGACAGGGTGGCAGGAGCATCGGCGTTCTTGGAGTGGAGACCAAGGTTCGAAAGCTGTACTGTGGTGAGAGTCATGGGATTTGGGGCCTTTATCCAGCAAAAGCGCTGCACTGAAAATAATAAGCCTCTGAAAGGGTTTCCCCGGCTTGACGCCAATATATAATGCTCCCATACCCACGTACGAGCGAGCGGAGCCTCTACTTAAGAAGACGTCATTCTTTCGAAAAGATCCCCTCGAGGTCACGGTGACGGGGCCAACCGTTTGCGGACTGACGCCTTGAATGGTTGAAGCCATTTGTTTGGGAATCGACGGAACATCGTATGCCCGTCCAGTCTCCTCTAACGCAATCCAAATCCTGAAAATGAATTGCTTAAAGGCCATGTCTGCCGGAAGCTTGGGTCCCTGACATCCACAATTAACCATAAAACTCGAAAGCTGCTGGAGCTCTACGACCCAACCACCCATTACACCCTTACCGGTGTACGGGTAGCTGCGCGTGATCTTCCCGGGCATGTCCGGCAGGACGATCTCGTCCCCGGTGTCGAAATTGTACAGTACGGCGTACCAGTTGGCCATCACGAAAAAGTAGCCGTTGGGCATGAGGTGCAGGAACGGGTACAGCGCCGCGGGGAACGCGCGCGCGAGCACCGCGAGCGGCCGGAGCGCATCGTCCGCGGCCGCGGTGCGCGGGAAGAATTCGTACGTGGTCTCGGACTGGGCGAAGCACAAGAGCCAGGTTTAGAATCTCGGGCGAGAAGATTTGTGAAACGGATGCGGTACGTTGAGACTGTTGGGCGGCACAATTTGCTAGGTTTGTCCACGTAACGGCGTCGAGAGATAAGGCTTTTGACCAATCATCGGTACGCCATTCGGGACTGCTAGAGTATTCACGCATTGGGTTTTGTTAGACGATTTTGGAAGAGACTTTCTTTGAGAACGAAGTTTTGAACCAGGTCATAAGTACACAGTATGCCATGAACTTCCCAAAACCGTGATTAGCTGCTTAAACCTTGTCTTTTGGCGTTCCAAGCGGTGAAGCGTTTCTCCTAATCGTTGTTACCAGGTTCAAATCATAGATTTCCTTTATCTTGCAGACCCCAAAATTACAAATGTTCAAACCTTACATCGCCTCGCTTCTTCAGGAGTACCAAGTCGCCGACTTTAGCCCCGCCGACAATGACGATCCGCTTGCCGTCCGGCATCAAGTGCGCCGACGGGTACCAGCGCTTGGCCAGCATGCTCACACCTGGCAGCAGAAGAGCTTTGTAGCGTATGGTGATAATCGAGTGATCTTGGCTGGGAATGGCTTGTAGGAGACTCGTTGATCTTTGCAACAGAAGTACTCGAGCGGGCTTGAGCAAGATGTCTGCTTCACGTATTCAATCGTGGACTCAGCGCCTTCCGCAGCGCGTATTTCAGAGGCGCCTGCCCTGATGCTCGATTTTGTCCATCTTTTTTGCATTCGTGTCTAACAAAAGCACGGCTCCCTTACCCTCCGTGGTCATTTCCCCATTCCAAACAGGATTTCTAGTGTAAAGGGAAGTCGTCTACATTTCACGCCGATCCATAATAAACAACGGCACCTGGAAACTCTCGAACCGTTATGTTTTGGTACCTCGCAAAACACCTTGGAAGAATACTCTCCGTTCAAAACACGTTTGCCGATCGTGAAGAACGTCGGCATCGGATCAGAAGGGGGATATTTGCAAGGGTCCAGGATCAGCAACGCTTTGCCCATATAAGCCGAGCGCCTTAAGCTGACTCGGCTTTCATTGATCAAACAGTGACCGGGATTTTTAGGGATCCCTCACCTGGGTACTCGTAAAACTCGCAGGAGTCCCCCGCCGCGCACGGGTCCAGGAAACGCACCGCGTAAAACGCCTCAGTGTTACCGTCGATGGTCTTGAACCCCCCCGTGTTTACCAGCGTTCCGTTGGGCCAGAACTGGCCAGCGGAACAGAAGGTGTTGTCGATGACGTCAAGGCCGCGCACTTTCTGACTCGGCTTCGCGAGGTCCAGAACCGCCGCGGCTGCCTGCTTGCCGTTCCTGTGGAAAATAGGGTTAAGACTTGGTTTGTGTTGACGGATGACGAGTATCTGCGATTAGCAGTCCCGAAGTTTCTTGACGCAGTCTCTCTTGGGCGATTGGGGAAGTAGAAGTACGGCAAGCGTTGTTTTGGCGCCTGCGCTCTTCTCTTGTCATCCCCGGTTCAAGAACATAGAACACAGACCTCTATTCCAAGGAAGTGGTTCCGGTCAAGGATTTCGCCGCACAAGTTCTATAAACATCTAGACGCTTGGGGATATTCACCATCTGCTTAATGATATTATAATTGCCGCAGAAACTTTGGTTAGCCTGGCCTAACGCGGATAATTGTAAAACCGCGTTCGCTCTAGCGCGTGCAGACTCCTACTTCTTAAGGAGGGGATAGAATCTTAAGCCGCGGACAGAAAACTCAACATCATTTTGGTATTGATGAAAAAGATCTCGGTTTTTTGGTCTGGTTGATTCTCTGTCAACCACTCACCCACTTTGATCACATATGGTTATGATGCGTTTTGAATCAGACAAGGAGAACTTCCCCGAACCCGGTTCTTTACGACGTCACAATCCCAATGGCAAGCTCCCTGGCCAGATCCGTTCAAAGCACCTGGCAGACTTTTCTACGGAAAGACCGGCCACAGGACCTCCGAAGACTGCTAGAATGATCCGTTCAAGACACGTGTCAGAGCACTTGAAAAAACTTCTCTAGAAGAAACGCCTAGCAAGAACCTTTTGAAAGAACGTATCCATATATATACACCTTACTTGTCCTTGACGTAACTATTGTCCTTGTCGCTCCGGTCGATCAGCACCAGCGTATTGTGGATTGGTGTGACCGCCCAGTGTATTCCCGAAACCCCCGAGCTCTTGGTCACCAAAGACCAGGTACCATTTGGACTGGTGCACTCGTAGTCGGTGGAAACCCCCGAGCGGTCTGGATCGTACGCTCCGGTGGGGTTTGTGACCGGGGAAACTTTGGTGTCGCTGCCCGGAGGTACAGGGGACATAGCGAAAGAAGCGATGGGGAAAAGGGGAGCTGTTAGCAGGAGGAGAAGGGAGAGAAGGGGGAGGGGAGATCCAGCTTGCGAAGGCGCCATGGTTGCGGTACTGGCTAGCTTTTCACAGAGTCCTTCTTTCTTGTAAGAAGTTGATCATTTGTCAGCTCAATGTTCTGCAGGGTTGATTGAGGCGGCTACTCTCGCTTCTTACATGTTAAAAGGACGGATGTTTCAAGAGCAACTTGTTCAGCTTGCAAAAACCTGCAAACTACAAAATAGCGTTAAGGTCCAGACTCTGAAGCAATCTCCTGACCAGGCTAAGGCTTCTCTAAAACCAGCAGACAGCATCAGCAGATTGCGAAAGACAAGCACCAAAGAAGGGTGAAACCATTAGCTGGTCTATCTGGTCTGACTGACTCTGGAAAAAAAGCTTTACCAGCGAAACAAGCGTCCGAGATAGCTTAACTCCATATGCGTTGCGGCCTACGTTGTCGTTAACGCGGCCAAAGAGTGGTTCGAGAACGTCTTTGGAACGGACTTCTTTGGAAGTGTCGACGGCGTCTGCTTTGAATTCTCCTAAGTTTCTCTAGGTGAATCTTCTACTCATGTGAGTTGCAGATTTGCACGTTGATTCCAAGTAAGATGGCGTGATAACCGAGGCTTTTGGATCTTCAATTTTTGAGTGTGTGCACCGGTTGAGTGTTCGATTCGCCCGAGGCAAAAGAAACCGCAGATTTGCACGTGCATGGATTCAACTGCTCTCAAAGCGATTTGGAGCAGTAATAAATTGCCGTATGCTTCCGCCTTGATGCAGTGCATAATTGCGCCTTATCGCCGGCTGCAAGAACCTGCGACCGTCGTTTACTGCAATTGCATTCACAATCGGCGCAGACGTTTCTGGATCACATGTTCAGCACCCTTCTCTGATCGAGAAGCATTTGAAGATGACCTACGCATCACTTAGTCCTGGAGGAACGACGTGGCTCCCCTTTTTTGGATCACATGCTTGTATCAAATGGACAATAATGACAGTGAATGTGCGTGATAATAAGTTGCTGAGGCGATGATTTGATGGCAGTCGCATGCAGATTCTGAGGCCGTTCGATAGTCAACAGAAGACGATTTGAATATTATAGGAAGAAGAATCAAGAGGCATCTGGGCAATCTGAATAAATGGCGCCGTGGTTGGATCGTGATTGGAGGCTGCAACCTTGTTTGATGACGTCACAATTCATCATGCATGTTAAGCGACCATTCATACTATATCAACGACGGTTAGGTCTGGACTTTAACCCTGATTTCGGTGACTTAGGAAGGTTCAGTGGCCGCCAGATTCGGCACCAGAGCCTCGAGCAGGTTCATGATTATTGTTTTCCTTCCGCTCGTGCCAAACATTCTCGGTAGTAGTCTTGTTAAAGAAAAAGAATGTGGCGCGCAAACCCAAGGAGGTCAACTTTCGCAACCCGCTGCAGTCAACAGTAAACTGCAGCTGTGCTCTCACTACCGGCTTGGAGATCTCATTCAAGTTACATCGATCCTGTACGATAAGAGATGCACGCATGCACTGCTATACGGTTTGGTTGGCGCGGACCTACGGTGGAAGCTTTCTATGCTTGCAACGCGTTTCTTCCTCCGTTGTCAGCGCGACAGAGGAGTAGGTCTACATGTAGCCATGTGGGAAGGTGCTAAATGGCTACAATCTGGGGGCTTCCAAGAACCTTGTGTTTCAGTCCGAGGGGTCGGAGCACCTGGCAAACAAGGGATTTGTCAATCAGTAACTAAAGCTGGTATGCAAGACAATCGAGACACCTTCCCCTAACAGCTCTAAAGTCGCGACAAACTGTTAAGATCATTCCGGACAGAAGCAGTTGATTCGTTTGGCACTGGATAAGAGAAGGACTGGCTTGATGTTCCCAAGTGAATAAGACAGGTAAATTTGGAACTTCATGTTAAGAAATCGCCACACCATTTTCCAGTCGAGCATATGAATCACAAACGCAGCTGGATCGAAGTGGTCGAAGCGACTCAGCATAAGCGCGCAAGGTTGCTTTGGACTCACACGAATCACTACTTAGAAAGCCATCCGTTCTTTTGTAATGGAGCATCTGTGCTGCCGCCGGAAACGGCTGGTCAAGTTAGCGCCACGACAACAGGCTCCACACCCCAATTTTGGTTTAGAAGATCAGAGAACCCTGTTCAATACCTGGTCCATTGCGAAGTGGTAGATCTTGTCGAAGTTCTCGAGGCACGAGTCGTAGCGCTCGGGGTCAGCGCCCTGCGCGTGGCAGAACTTGCAGCCGGTGAAGTGGCTGACGAAGGGCCACTTGGCGCCCCCGTTCACACCGTTCCCCAGCTGCATCTTCTCCAGGTCTTCGAAGGTATTCAGCCACCTGTGTGAAGGAGCACCAAATCACAAACAGTTTTAACGGAGGCTGAAACTGATTACCGGCCGTTCAGATGTCTTTTTGCGCTTCGCATCAGCCTTTCAGGATGAGCGGATTAGAAAGGAGTAATATTAAGAGCCAAGCTATGTTCTGCGATTCTTACGGCGTTGAGCGGTCAAATGAGTGAAGAGTACGAATCAGAGTTGAGAGAGGGATAGAGTATCCTACTCTATCCCGTAAGGCGATTCGCTAAGTTCAAGCTGATATCCTCGTCCAAACCGCAACAGAAACTCTAGCTCTCCAAGCAACGAGCTTGAAAGGAGCTTGGAGAACTTCTCATTTCTTGTCGTTCCGCAAGCTTTCTAAAGAACAGAGACCGTTACAATCCAAGACAATCGATCAACTGCTCTGGTGAAAATCGTATTTCAGAGCGTGAAGGCGCTTAAGTAGAACCAGGTAGGCGATGATTTCAAATGGTCCTGTCAGCAGCGACAGGATCCGTAATAGTCAGGCAGACTGCATTTGAAGCTTTCACTTGATCTAAATCGTCTTTGCAGATGCAGAATCGGCACAGGCCTGTAGCTTACCAGTGGTGATATTGGATCTCCTCGTCGAGATAGACTCTCTTTCCCCACTTGTCCGGGAAAGAGGACAGCAAGTAGACCACCGTGCACTGGTCGTCAGCGGGCCAATCTGCAAAGGAAGCGAATGGAATATAATAGAAGAGAAAGCTTCAAGAACAATCGCATGTTCTGGGCCCTCGATGTCACAGAGAAAACTCTGATCCCATGTGCGCCACGAAAAACAAGTGAACTCCCACGAACACCTCTTTCTTCCTGATATTTGAACGCCCTTCAGGGCGCCAGAATAAGAATCAGTCTTCAGCGGACCTGTATTCGCACTCGGCTTGGTCTTGCACCATTATAAAAGTTCATCTCAGATTCAAGACCCTAGTTAGATTCTGCCGCAAGCAAAGCGAAACAAACCGACCCGAGTCAAAGCGTCCTGTTCTCACCGGAGCTAATCTCCTTTCTTCCCTTCACTTTCTTGTTCAGGAGGGCCGCATACGAGTTTCTCGGCTCTCCCTTCTCCCCGATCCGCATCAACTCGGCCATGTAATCAAACGACCACTGGGAGTTGCGGATGAGGAACACGCCCGCGTTGAGGGCCAGCCAATGTGCGTCCTCGTAGACCTGAGGAAAGAAGGATTCGGTCTCCTGCCCGAGTTTTCATGGCCTCGGCAGAAGCTCAAAAGAATCATCTTGGGTTCTCTAGCTCCATTTTGATGTAGCAGAGAACTAAGCTGATGACTTAGAGGTTTGATTGGCTCGAAAATACCGGCAGGACGCTTCTGAACGTCCCGTAGAGAGATAAAGAATAGGAGGATGTGCATCTTTGGGAAGCTTATCGTTCTTTCCCCTAGAAGAAAAGCAAGCGAGGGCACTCACGGCTTTCGGGCTTCCGGTGTAGACGATGTCGTGGTCCTTGTACTTTTCGAACGGTATCTCCAGGGTCATGTCCGTGAAAATTGCGTCCGAGTCTATCCACTGCAAAGAGAAGCATTGAATCAGCACGGAGCATGCAGTTGCAGAAGCATGACACTTTGAGCCCGAGCGCGAAGGGGAATAAGGAAATTAGCCATTTACGTGGAATGTGCGTAGCAGATATCTATCTAAGCATCGCAGTAACAGAACGACGAATCGTTGCGTCCGGTTTAGGGTCTTAGACGGAATCTCGGAGCGTGAATCAATCTCACGTGAAAAGCCCTTCCGGATTGCTCAGCACTCTTCATTTTATGGTCTTCAGAGCAAGACCGCAGAGGATGGAGGTTTAAAAGAACCCCATATCCATGTTTTGAAGACCTCTTCTCAGCATTCTTTCATGCACTGCTGAGTCTGAAGCTTCCTCGCTTGAGACATTCTGCAGGAAATGCAGGATACTGACAGAATCCACTGAATGAGACTTGTGATGGCCAAGCAGCTCAGAGTTTTCACTGACCATGAACCATTCGATGTCCGGGTTGGCCAGCATAAGCTTCTTGAGCAGCGGGTATTTCATCCAGTAGATGTCGAACTTCTCGTCGAACAGCTCCAGACTGTACCACAGGTCGATCTTGTGCAGCCTGCGAATGAAGTGGAATATATTGGACGGGTATTTCCAGAGGGGGTTTTATTTAACCAACCATTGAAAACCGACGTTTGATGCGGATTTGCTTGCACGGAATGCTTACCAAGGGTTCAATCCTTTCAATCGAAGATTTCTTCAAGAGCAGAGAAAAGAAGAACGCCAAATCCCGGGTCAGTTCCTACAGAGTCTTTGAGCATTGATTGGTCTAGGTTCTGTGTCAAGGGGCTTTCAAAGTCTCAAATGTAATGAAGATGCCATACCCGTGCTGATTATTGCATCCATCGCAATTAAACAGGCGATACTTAAAACGGAGATCTACTTTAGATGTCCGGTAGACAATACACAGACGAGAATCTTTCAAACGTCTTCGATTCTTGGCTGTTTTGCTTTGCAATCACGGACCATAAATAGCTTCAGCGCAGTTCTCACCTGGCGTAGTCCATCTTGTTTTGCAGCCCCTTCATACCAATCTCCATCCCCCGCTCGGTCGAACAGGTTGCAGAATCAACACCAGTCACCATCATCATCTTTGCCCGCGGTGCAGTCTGCTTGTTCTCGGTTACAAGTGTTCCAAAACCCTTGCGATCAAGGGCCAGGCTATCAGGGGAGTTCTCCTTTGGTTTCTTGAGAACTTTCAGGTTTTCTGAGATGTCAGCGCTGTCTGAAACTGAAGCTGACAGCGGCAGGGGATCCTGAACCGGTTCCTGGTTGCTTATGTCTGATGTGCTTGAAAGAAGGTTATGGGATTCTCCAGCAACGTCTTCGGTCTTCAGCATTATCCTAGGAACCACAGCCGTCTCGACAGACAGCAGAGAGGAGGAGGAGGATGGATTCCTTGTGGATGAATCACTATGAGCCGGAAGTTCTTCAGGGATGTATGTTCCCAGAGGAACCTCCGGATCCCTCCAGCTTTCTTCCGCCTGCAGAAGCCGCCCTGACTTCTGAACGGCCTCCGGTCCCCATTTGTCTTCATCGTCGCTCACGCCCTCCCTTGGCCAGGCAAGAAGCATGCAAGTCGCCCCGCAGAAGATCAGGGACATAACGAAAGCAAGCTTGGAGAGTCCCATCTTACTTTGGCCAGGAGGAGGGGACCTGCGCCGCTTGAGGGATCCGAGTTTGGGGAGCTCGAGCCCGGAACCTGAGCGCGTCAGCTCAGAGTCGTCAAGGCTTGGAATCCATCCCCTGAAAGATGCTTCGTGGCTGTGAGGAGGCATTTTGGAGCATCTGTTGCTGATAAAGAAATCTTTAGGACGACCGCTTACAGGCTTCTTTGTTTGGCTGGACGAACGACGCTTTGTGCAAAGCTTTCTTCGCTGAGTGAAAGAGGTCCAGCTGCTAGCTGCATGCTTTTTTGAGCTCGACAGTGCGTTCAAGAACCAGTGGAAGCTTCTTCCTTAGACCCAAACCAGTCCCGAAAAGGGCTGGCCAAGGATTCAAAATAGTCGGAGGTAAGGTCGGCCTTTCTGCGAAGGCATCCTGCTTCTCAGAGCGCGTTGCAAGCAGATTCCGGCAAGTGCCGACCACACGGACTGATTCAGAGTATCTCTTCATGAGTTGACGAGATGCGACTACCAGCAAGCTCTGACTACCCATTCTCAATTCAGCGGCCCTTCCAACATATCAGACAAATAATGGGAGGTCCCTTCTTCTGCTCAAGAGTCAAACTCTCGGGTGGCTTTTACAGGCTGTCAAGTCTTACCCTTAAGCCAGCCTAGACATACAGCGACGATGATTCAAACTTGTATGAGAGTCAGAAAGTCGTTCCTTTTCAAATCTCCATCCATTCTTGTGTTGATGTCCTACATTTCAAACGACTTTGGATCGTGAACGACTAGGACCAGCTTCCTTCTCCAGTACTTCTCCTTGAATGCTCGAAGTCGAATATCTGTATTTAGATATACCTAAGAGTAGCAACATCTTGTTCCGCATTGTCAGCCAAGGGTGACAATGGAATAGTTGATTTTACTAAGCAATTGAGTGACTCGACCATTGAGATGCATAACCTTCTTACCTTAAAGTCTCGACAAGCTTAGGTCACTGCTGACAAGGTTGCTTTGTTTTTCCAATCACCTTTCTTTCTGTTCTTGATCTTCAATGATTGGCTGGGACCAAAGATGTACGATCCGCAACGTAGTTTGGGGCACGCATCTCATAATGCTCACTTCTTCCTTGCTGAGGACCGCTTGCCTCGAAAATATCGAATAGCGACAATGAGTCATCACATCCTTACCTTGACAATAAGCATTTTTAGGTACTGTACTGTCGTCACCATATCTTCTGCGCACAGGAAGGAAACGAAGTCATCATGTCTACAGTGCCAGATTTGATGAAATTCGAGTACTTCATATTAGTACTGAGTGACACTCTTGTGGACCTACTTTATACAGATTACATAGACATAGCCATGAATTCTGAGTTGGCAAGCAGTTGCTAAAGAAGGGGAGAGTGTCTGTTCAACCCACATATCAGATTCTAAGCAAAACAGGACATGCCTTTGCCCAAGTCGCCGTTACCCCCATATTATTACCACCTGTCCTCTTCGATTTGCTCACTAGAATTACAATTCACCACTGTCCAACTTCACTTCAAGTATACAGCCACTCATCAAGTAACAAGCTACCACCAAGTTTGTGGACAGAAAGCGGTTGAATGAGCACGAAGTAATAATCGTTTTATGAAGCTTCTAGCTTTGAGGCAAACTCCCAATAGATTGGCAGCGTGAATACGGGTGGCTTCTAATGATAAACCAAGCGGGCTCGCCAAGTCTGTAAGACTAATGTCCTTCGAAAGCCCTGTATGGGGCATTATAAAAGCGTGCAGAACGATCCTTGCTTCAAGAAGGGGACTTCAATGAGGACGATCGATGTCAGCGTGACGGTTCTACCACTTTATTTGCGCGAAACGACATCAAGGAATACCTTCTGCAGCCTGACAGAAGAGATTCACAACCCGAGATATTCAGTGTGCCGAAAGACTGTCCATCAACTTCGTACCTCAGAAACGAGTCGAACGAAGCAATCTGCGTGTCAATCCAGCCCAAGAGCTTCTTTACTACCAGGCCTATCAAAGCCTCGGAAGGCGCAGTCATGACTAGTACGTTGAGAAATTGTAGCGTTTCTTGCAATTTCGGAGCCGTCGGAACAGTTGGATTCTTCCGCACTGAACGCGGGCCCGACCTTTTTTAGTATACCGCACTGAGGAGACGATACGAGCAACTTTGTTGCTCTCAGGTGCGGTCCAGAACGAACTCTAGCTGGGCCCGCTGCTGCATGGAGCCTGTCAATGAGTTGAGCTCTCGTTTCCATGCGTTCAGCAACCAATATGGAGCAACCATGAGTTGACCTCACTTATATGCAATATTGCCAAGAGCTGTAGCTTGTAGCTAGGCGGCGCATGCATGGACGTGCATGGATGACTTGCATGTCTCTGTATATGAAATATAATATCGATCATGTGCCTGAAGGTTGGTAACCAAAATCTCTTGCACATGCGCGCATGCATTAATTGTAAAATCGGGGCGCCGGCGGCCAGACCGTCTAGACGGTCATGCGTCTGCGCGTAAGGTGCACTATAGCCTGCTAGTCGGACGCTTCTGCGATCGGCGCGTCGGCTTTGGTAAGGTCGATCATATATGTGCGGCGCCATACAATCGACCTTCCAAAAGTCACGACGCTGCATTGATATCCCTGCAGCTGGCCGGCCCCGCATGAAAGAATTGAAGATTGCAATTAAGGTATCATTGGAACCCGTTTTTTCCATCCCATCGCCGACATAGTTCCATGAAGCTTCCGCGGTGTGCTCCGATCAACACTGCACTGTTGCATGGCGCATTCCGATTGAGGGCCAACTTAAACCTTAAAAGACGTGCGGTTTCCAGGAACTAAGAGACATAGTCAAATCATAGCTTGGCTATTCTGACCTTCCTAACCCCCATCACCCCCTGCTGAGGTTTGAACCAGACTCAACTTCATCGAATTTATCCACCGACACAAAATCTCGCACGCTAGAAGCCCACCGTTAACCTGATCTCGTCATACATAAACTCGCTTCTCGCCTGCGTGAAAACAGCACCTTTTATCACCAAGCCAGGTCTCGCATCACTTCCCGAAGTTTTGCCTCTTCACGGCCCTCTCTTCCGAAGGCTCGGGCCTCCCGGGCAGGCCGTCCCCCGGTCTCCCCGGCTCCGGCAGCGGCCCAAACCGCGTCTTGAACTCCTGCTTGAGCTCCCCGGCGACCCGCGTTATGTCCCCCCCGACCAGCGTGTCGCTCTCCATGATCCACGTCGCGCACTGCTCCTCGATCTCGCGCCTCTTGCGCGCGAAGTGCTCGGCGATGACGTCAGCAAAGGCGGGGGGCGGCTTGCGCAGCTGGTTGAGGATCGCCTGCTGGAGGCAGTGCCGCCGGATGTTGGCGTTGTACTGCTGCGACATGGCGGCCTGAAGGTGCAGCTCGTGGCCTGCGAACGGAAGAGAACGGAACCCTGAGAAGCGGAATTCGTTGGGCGGAGTTGGGTTGAATCAATCTGACGTTGTACTGCGTGGCCTGCAAACGGAAGGAACGGAATCGTGAGTAGCGGTATTCCGTTGGGCGGAATCAGGGAGATACGATTTGGCGTTGTACTGCTGCGACATGACGGCCTGGAGGTGCAGCTCGTGGCCTGCAAATGGGCGGGAGGCGGAATGCTGAGGAACTGACTTGTGGTGGGCGGAAGCTGAAGGAAATTGTCAATCTCGGTTAAGGCCGGTTGCAGCTGCAACTTGTGGCCTGCAAAGTGAGGGCCGAGGCGAACCGGTGCTACGAAATGTTTTTGGGCGGAAACAAAGCTCGGACACTTGATCGAGTCGTCACCGACATGTCTGCATCAAGTGGACGGCGCCACCACGAAGGACAATGGACAGGAGTTGTCCTTCCCAACGTACGACTCCAGCTATTCTTTTCATCGCCCTCAGAATGCGATTTAGTCATGGGCGAACGTAACCCGCAAAGATACCAAAGACAAAAATGATGAAGCGAACATAATCGAAGCGACCTTACCGAAGCAAACCTGATCGAAGCAACAGAACGAGGAATCTGATCGAAAATGACGTGACCGAAGCAGACTTTCAAAAGATCCCACCTGGCTCATTGTAGTAGGGCTCCGCGACAAAGATGAACGACTGGATGGACACGAGCACTTGGAGCAGCGTCGACTCGAACGGCTTCCACCCGGGGCCCGACCACGTGCCCAACAAACTGAGGCACACTTTGCCGCACTCGTACAGGTTCGGGTTGAACCGCACGGACCCCCCCCCGGTTGTGAGCAGCTGGAATTTCGGCGCGACGGCGGGGTAGTTTGGCGGAAGGAGCACGTCAAAGAGAAAGGCGCCGTTGGCGTATGGGGTCTCGGCGGGGGCCAGGATGAGCGCCTTGAGGACGTGCGTCTGGTGGGGGTCCACTCTGCGGGGCGGATGAGAAGGAGGGTTAGGTTTGCAAGTTGGGTCTGCGACCGAGGTTTGCGATTTACATTTGCGAGTTGGGTTTGCGAGTTGGGTTTGGCGGGCTGATTAGCCTTGCGGAGATATCTGGCGGTTTCACAGCGCCACAATTGTGCTGAGAGGACGTGCGTCTGGCGTGGGTCCACTCTGCGGGGCGGATGAGGGGGAGGGTTAGGTTTGCGGGTTGGGGTTTGCGAGTTGGTTTTGCAGTCTGATCAGTTCTGCGGCGATATTGGCAGATTCGGATGCGTCGTAAAGACGTGCCTCTGGTGGGGTCCACCTTGGGACGCGGAGGAGGAAGGCGGTTAGATTTGCGGGTTAACCAGGTCTGCGGGTTGACTAGACGGTTTTTTGGAGGCCAGGAGTGGGCTTGACGTAAAGAAAGAGAAGATTCAGTCATCTTGAAATGTTGATCAAGATGCGGGTCTGACTTTTGTGAGTTGAGCTGGGGGTTCAAAGTTTAGAAAGGGGGGTCAACAGAAGGGCGGTTTTCAGGACGACTATTTTCGAGGTCGTGCAACGTCTTGACGGAATTACAGACCGCGCACCGAGTTTGTTCTCATCCACCATTTCAAGACCACAAGGACTGCTTGCCAGGGATATGACAGCTTCCTTCTTCCAACACCAGCTCAAAATTACCTCGAGGCAAAAGGAAGAGGTGACGAAGACGCACAGCAGGCAACATAGACCTTCTTTCCAACGCCAATGCAATTGCCGTACTTCCAATCCTGAGTCTAGTTCACCAACATCAAACTAAAAACCAAAGTTGATTCATCGAACATAGTTCTTGACCAGCAGAAACTGCGGTGCTTCACCTGATGTGGATGGACGAATCCCACTCGAGCGGCAGCGACTCCGCCAGGTTGGCCAGTTCCTTCATCACGTGCTTCTGGTGCTGCGGCAGAGCCGCCGCGCCGCCCCCGGAACTCGAGGACGCGCCTTGCCGGGAGAAGTAGTGGCCACTGCTGATCGGCGCTTCCTGGAGTTGGGGGGAAAAAAACTTTTAAGTTGGTGTGAACAACTCTCAGTGGTTAGATTTTTGGTGCTCTGCCAGTATTAACGCCGTTCTCCAACCCAACTTCGAGAAGCGCCTTGCCGGGAGAAGTAGTGCCATTGCTAAGCGGCGCTTCCTGGGATCGCAGAGCGAAAAAGCATATCAAGGTAGGCAGATCTTGTTTTTATCATCCAAAAGAGAGTCCCCGCTAAACCCGTCGGAGCTTGTAATCGTGCATCGTGCATTGCTGCGCAAAGTAGTGACCAATACTTACGGGCGCTTCCTGAGGTGACGAAAAGAACAAACATCAGCTGGCTTCAAATAACTTTTAAAGTGTGTTGTCTGAAGCTGCATTGTCACTGGACCCAACCAGAGCTCTAGCACCCCTTCCAAAGCGAACAGTAACCACGAGACCCCCCACTTACCAGAAACTGCTTCGGCTTGAGCGCCGCCTTGTACGCCTCCTTCTCCGCGTCCCGCCTCGCGCTCGCCGCGCCGTCGCCCGCGTCCGCCTCCTCCATCCCCTCGCCCTCGTCATCGCTGTCGTCATCCTTCTCCTGCTTCCGCTTCCACGCGGCCTCGGAGTCCGTCCACTCCTCACTCCCCCACAGGTACGCGTACGTCCCCTTGATGACGTTAGTCAGGTCGCCGCCAGCATCCGGCGACGCGCTCGGGCCCGCGACCGCGACGGACGACGAGCCGGCCCCCCCGCCGCGACCGAAAAACGCGTTCCGGATCGTGCGCCCGACGGACCGCCCGCTTTTCGAAACGTCGGAGTTGAGCTCGACGAGCGCCGCGATCAGCCGGCTCCCCGCGGTGGTGCTCGCCGCGGCTTTCGTCGTGAAGAGGTCCGAGAAGAGCAGCCCGCGCGTGCCGGCGTCGCCCGCCAGCTGGCGCAGGAGCATGAGGTAGTGACGTGGCAGCGCGGAGCGGCCTTTGCCGAAGTCGAAGGGGTTGCCGGTGCCGGTGTTCCAGAATCCGAGGGGGTGAGATTGGAGGCCAAATTGCAGGAGGCGCCGGAAAGGCCGGGACTGGCGCAGGAGGGAGCACGCGCCAAGGGGGAGAGGGGCGGGCTCGGAGAAGGGGCCGTCTGGGGAGGGGGACGAGGCGATAGGGGCGCCGAAGCGGTCTGCAAAGAAGATGGGTGAGAGTGATGCAGATGAATGATGGAGATGAACGATGGAGATAAATCCTGAAAAGGACTTTAACTGTAATGAAGAGGTCGCTGGGGAAGGGAACGAGGTGATAGGGGCGCTGACGCGGTGATAGGGGCGCTGACGCGGTCTGGAAAGAAGAAGGGGAAAGTTTGAGAACAAATGAGGATGATGAACATAGACGATTAAACGAATCATGAACGGTTTGTGGGTTATGAAGCTGCGAGTAATTGCAGGGGCGGTCGGCTAGAGCGGGTGGCGTGACGGGCCGGCAAAAGCAGTCAACAGAGAGGCACGTCGTCATATTAAACCAGGTCGTTGTGACGTCATAAGCAGCGGCAGAGTATTATGGCCGGTCCCCATTCGCACTGGATCGAGCGAAACCCATGCGGCCCTTACGCAAAAATCGCCGATAGAACCCAAAACATCCCTTTCTTTCCACCATACGCCCCGCAAATGATTACAAATCCCACGAACGCTGACAAAAGAAAGATCATGGAAAAACAAAGTCAGCGACGTTGGGAAACGCGAAGAAGATTCTTCCCCTACCTCTGCTTGCGGAGAGCTCCAACGATTGGACCAGCAACTCCGCGACCGGCTCGATTGCTGAGTCCCCGGTGCTCCTTTCCAGGAGCTCGCCTTGCTTCAGTGTGACGAAGTGGTGACGCGTGTAGTGACCGCTGCCGTAGAAAGCGCTGCGATCGTCGTCGCCACCATAGCCTGCGGCAGTCAATAGCGCACGGTGTTCTCGTCTACTTTTTGATTACATTCTTCTTCGACTCTACTTGATGTCCATTGCATTAGGATTGTTGAATCTGGTTTCACTTCGCAGGTATTGTAGAGGTGTAAAGCAGAGGGGTATTTGTACAAGAGGTTGAATTCACTCTGGAAAACTGTCTGAGAAAAAACCTGAGTAGATGTCTGAATGAAAAGAATCCTGAATATTGCATAGAATGCTCAAAATATTGCAGATAACGAACGCGGCTGCAGACGAACGATAGTATGCAATTTCTCTGAAGCAATTTTCTCGACACCTGCAAGTACCTCGTGCGATCACATTTGCACCGAATGAAATCTTCAGACCCGGAACACTGCTGGCCTTCCGTAACAAGATCCCACCGGGACGGACTCACCCGTTCCTTTTGCCCAGACCGCCCCCGCCCCCCGCTCCGCATCCCGCTTGGCGACCGTCTTCTCCACGCTGCCCACTCCGACGTCGCCCTTTTCCGCCTTGTTGCGCGGCCAGTTGGCGTAAACTTCCGGGTATTTGTCCCACTCGAAGTCGAGCCGCCGAAGGGCATGGAACACCGCCCACGATTGCCATTGGCTGCACGTGCCCGGATGACCGCCGTTTGACGTACTCGCCCCGTTGCTGCAGAATGAGGAAGGTGTGGTGAGAGAAGAGTGCGAACACTGCAGTATTTGAACGTTTGCTCCCTCGTTTGAACGACTGGCCTCGCCGTAGAAAAATTGAAAGGCAGTATTCAGGGTACAACCGTGGATACTACTGACTTCTGGTTGCAATTGCATCAGGGCCGCGTTTGACGTACTCGCCCCGTTGCTGCGAAAGAAGTAAGGTATGGTGAGAAAGGAGTGCAAACACTGCCGTGACTGATCCTTTGTGCCACGGTTTGAAGTACCGGCCTCGTTATTGAGAAGTGAAGAAATATCCTACGGTCTAAAAAGCAGATACCGTGGGTTCTGGTTGCAAGTGCCGTGGGCATCGCCTTTGCTGCAAAATGAAGGAGAATTCTGTAAGGAAGAATTGCACAAAACGCGTTAGAATAATTGCTCGCGCCGTTGGGACCGTCGTTCAATATACTGACCTTTGCAGAAGAGAAGAAAAGATCGAAGTTAAGGCCTCAAGTGCTGCGGCCTCAAGAGTACTCGCCCCGTTACTGCAAACTAAAGCAGAATTCTGTACAGGAGAAGCGCAGATACTGCGCAATCTGATTGCTTATGCCTCACCCCGATTCAAGTACTGAACGCGTCGCTACGAAATGAAGGAAGATCCGCTGTATAATCCAAACTCAAGGATGGAGAACATGGACCTCGGTCACTGGTTTCGAACCCCGCCTTGGCTACCTCTTCTTCAACCGACGGTTAAGATGCGTCAGACTGCTGAACCTGGCCGTCGATGCAAGGATTGACGTTCAAGGCGGGGTTAAGAGTTCGGCGACGAAGTCCATGTTCTCCATTCCCGGGCTGCATGCCGGAGACGCTTATGCTTGGCGACTCTCGAAGGAAAACGCAATGCTGACGTAGGCATCCAGTGGCCCACCTTTTGCTGCGCCCGTCATCCCGGTACCCGCACGCGTTGCACACCCTCGCCGCGCACGACGTGCAAAAGTGCCACACGTGCCGCTCCGCTGACGTCATGCTCGGCAGGGGCGGCGCCTGGGGCAGGATCGACTGATCGTTCGGAAGCGCGGTCTCGGGGCCTTTGTCTTTCGACTCTATTGATGGGGGGCCGGTGTTTGCAGGTGTCGTGGGGGTGGCGACTTCAAACGGGGGGGGAGGTTGGAGGGGGATGCCGAGATAACTGGCAAGGCGCTGGGCGCCTTCGTCACGGCTGTCGGGGCAGGGTATGCCGTTGGCTTTCAGGGCCTTTGCAACTGCAGACATAGGCACGAGGACTTTTAGTAGGCGGATGGGTCTTCGCAGATGTCCCGCTTGGAAACGATTTTTTGGGTTGATAACGAGTCGTTGCAAAACTCTTGCATGGAAAGGAGTCTTTGTATACCCCATGCTGACATGCGTAGGTATTCAAGTGTCGGAGAGAGCAGCTCACAGCGGCTCGTCGTATATGCGAAGAACCAGCCCAAATTCGTGATTCCCATGCACAACCCGCAGGAGATTGTAAATACTCAAAACCTGTGAGGAAGGTAGTCTCCTTCTGACTTGTGCGTCTCTGCGAAGGTCTCGAAGACTAGAATTTGTTCCCGCAACAATTTCTAATGAATGCCTGCAGGTCGTGTGTGCCTTTCCCGCCATACGCTCCACTATACTCACATTCCAGTTGCTAAATCAACTCAAACCAAAAGAGGTGAAACGGGGTGCGACCATCTAGATCTTAAGTGCTTATCAAGACCCAAGACACCCAACCACAGCCAACCACATAACAATCGAGGGCTCCAGAGAGTACTCCTCACTCTCTTGCATCGACCACAGGTGAAGGTCCGCCTCCGCCACGCACGTCTGCGTGCTCGTCCGGAGCCGGCAGGCGGCGTTGCTGCAAAACGTGCGCTCACACCGCGGCCCCAAGTTAGCGGGAGCCCCCGCAAACTGAGCCGTCCCTGCATCTGACGGGGCGTCGGGTATCGCGGTGTAGAGGTGCGTCAGTGCCTCCGCCTGCCACTCCCCAAACCGCCGCATCGACTGGATGCCGACGGCCGCCTCGGCGTCGCGCCAGCTCAGCGGGGTCTCGCAACTGGGAGAACGGGGGGCGATGAGAGAGTCTGTGTGGTTGGTGGATTGCGATGGAGGGGCGAAGAGGGTTCGGGGATTGGAAGTCAGAGAGAAGAGGCGCAAATGCGGGGGACACGATGGTGTGAAACACAATCAACCTCCAGGTGTAACAGGTGAATGATGGCAATACGTGGGGACGAAGCGATTGTTGATTACGTTATGAAAGCAAGGCCTGTGAACAGCTCCGTTTGGCAGGGGGTGCTCAAGCTCACAAGCTGTCGATAGACTGGCGCTCACAATCGCAATCTGAAGTCTTTAGCCCTTGTTTGAAGCCCTTCAAACAGAGAAAATCAAGCAGCTCAACCCAGTATTGAGTTGGACCGCTCACCTCTCAAGAGGACACGTTAGGCGGAAGACATCACCATGAGTAGCCACATTTGCAAAGGGGATTGGCACCACCCTTGCCTCCACCCACTTTTTGAAGCAGGGGCGGCAGAAAGTGTCATTGCACTCAGGGATTGTGACGGCGCGCTTGAGTCGCACGCGCGAGTAGCATAGCATGCAGAGGCCGTGCTTGGAGATGGTGGGAACAGGCTCTGGGGCGGCAGCTGTCATAAGAGTGTGAATGTGTCAGTGAGTGAGAATCTGGATCAGGCAAATGTTCTGGCTGGCGAAGGGTGATACTGCGGCATGGCATTGGGGGAATCAGATGGCTGTTCAACCGCTGACATAAAAACCTGCGAGCAGGCAGTTGTCGACTTGGGCGAGGTTTGATTACTTAATAGATACGGACAAAACTCTGACGGACTCAACAGTTCCTGAAGAAGACTCCTGGAGGAGATGGTGCATGCAAGTGCAGCAGACTTTGGTGTCCATCTGATTTCATCTGTAGACTGTGCTGACACAGCAAACAAACCTTCTACTTCTCTACATTGAAACAGGCATCGCAGAGTCTGAAAGTTTCCATCAGATCTCTAAAGAAACAGTTGTGACCAATTGAGCAACTACACCACAACACAAGTATCACTCTCAGTTGTCACCATCGCTGTCGGCATCACATCAAGAAGTCAGGGCATGTTCAGAGAAGGTGAGAGACCAGGCTTCTGATGCCCCATAAATACACAGTGACCTGCCACCGAAATGCACTCTATGTTGAAACTTTGTTGAAAACCCCAAGAGCAAAGTGCACAGGAACAGCAGCGTCCTACCTTCCTCTTCAGCCGATTTTCCTCTGCACTCCCTGCATAGAGTGAAGTCCCAGGCATTGTCCCGGCCTTTGTTCAACTCCTCGCACTTTTGACACTTCTTTTCTACCGAAGGGTTTGGCGTCCCGCAGACTTCGCAGCGAGCACCTCCCTCGTTCTCAAATGTACAGGCAGAACAGGTCCAGGCTGCCATGCCGGAAATCAACGTGCACACAAGTTCAGTGACACACTGCCCCTTCTTTTACGCGGTGCAACTCAGGAAGATGAAAGGAATGCTGGAGGGATCATCAAAGGTCCACCACTACCTCAATTTTTCGTGAGAGAAAACGCCCCTCCTGTTGCACAAGACCTGACATCATCTGCATTGCCGCTCCCACTGATGCTGAAAAGCTGCCGCCCGCCGTGCTCCACTGCAGCGCGGCCGCCATGATGGCGGCTTTGCGGCCGCGCGTGAGTTTAAGAGGCAAACCCTGGCCAAACCCCGCGGTGCTGCTGTCGCGGCCGCGCGTGGCCGGGGCGCTCAGCCGTGCATGATTCTGCTCGAGCAGAGAGAGCCCATTTGCATGCATGACCTTGGCACTTGAGAAACCTGCTTCCCAATTGAAATCACTTTCAATAGCAAAGTTCGTCTCAGAAAGAAGATTGCTGCACTCAGCGAATCAGCGGATCAGCAGCTATAACAGAACACTAGGTTGATCAAAGCCTTAAAGGTGTTTTGAGGTTTGATGGAGAAATCGAGTCACCGCAGACATGCTGTCTTTTGAGAAGAGTGACGCTTGCGACCCTGATCGAAAAGTTCTGTCCAGTAGCCGCAGCTCTACATATCGGTAGGAGCAGCCTCTCTAAGCGTAGTTCTCTGCCTGCTAGCAGCTCACTCCATACATCCTGTGTCAATAGAAGGAGTTCGCAAAGCACAAATGAGTTCAATGGAGGCAATCAAGTTTCCAATCAAAGTTGTATCATTGCTGTGGAAAACGGTTCTGGAAAATGGATGGTTCGAGTCACTGGTTCTTCTCATTCTGATCACGATCAGTGCAGTGGCGGAGCTCTTTTCAAGGATTCTCAGTAAGCTTACTTCCAGCTTTATCGCTTCTCCTACTGTTGCTATTTGCTACCTATGCTGCAGGTTCTTATGATGACGCTGAAAGTAGCAGCTTGCATTAGCTGCTGTTTATCTCGCGTTTACAGCCTCGTTTTCATAAGCATGCAATCATAGCTGCTCAGAATTCCAGCTTCTTACAGCTGAGATTCTATTCATTAGTAGTTTCAGACTGCAACGTTTACCTTGAAGACTGTAGACACGACCTCCGGAACAATCTAACGATGAACCTGATCTCAACGACGTACAGAGTAGCTCGATACCATGAAAGCATCAAGCAGAGCACTCCTCATGTTATTTGGTGGTTCTGCAATGTCTAGACAAAGCTTACTCGATGTTGCTCAGCTTTCAGCAAGTGGTCGTCATCCTCATCAAACCTTCCCATCTGTGTGAAGAACTTACTCTCCTAAAATATTATGAATTCTGAAGAACGATTGTTCTGGCACTGCTCTGACACTTTGCTTACAAAGCAATAAACCTGATGGAAGAAGATAAGCGACAGATTCCTTCAACTTATTGGTTGCTCGTTCTTCCTGCAGGTCCCCTCATTAGAATCTTCCCTTACGACAGCTTCAGCTCGCTGGTGAACATTCTGGATCCAGCATTTCAGCTTGACAAAGCAGTCAGAGAATCCTTCCCTAACGTTCAAGACGCAGGGAGCAAGTCCAATCTGGTCTTGGCAGCTTTATCTAGTGCTCTTGCCTACGAGAATCTGGACAAGATCCGGAAAGTCATCACAGCAGATTGGCAGGTATGTACGGTTACTTCAATTTCACCTTTTTGCACCTGGATACCATTGCAGTCTTGCGCATTGATCAGAAGTATGGGGTGCGAGGAGAGGACGCTGAAGCTACGATCGAAGGTAGTGCTGGTCAGAGGATTGCAAGAAGGATGGATCCTTGAACGTGACGCTCAAAATTGCGGTTGAGCACCTGACATGCTCCAGAAGATTCTGAAGCATGACCTACACTTGGCATAAAGCTGATCTTGGTGAAAGCATAAGAATCATCTCAAGCTAGCTGAGAGGTTTCTAAGTTAATACTTAAGCAACTGCTCCAAATGCTGAAGCAGATTAGTTACCTCCTTATTTGCTTGACCCATTTGCTCTTCCTATTTCCTTGCAGATGGCCTGGTTTGCTGGCTACAACTTCCTGCCGTCCGGTAAATAAAAGAAAGATCCTTTCGGCTGGACTACACTTCTTTGTCGTTCTTGGCTTTCTCAAGCAAATTCCGTTGGACCGTCAGATGTACTGAGGTCAAATTTCTCATACACTGGTGCTTGAGATGAGTTGCAGATCAAGCCGATCCATCTTCCACCTCAAGTCTACGGTTTCATAGCAGAGCGCATAAGTTCATTAGTAGTATCTGTAGAAAGAAAATGCAAGGCTGGAAAGTGCGCATTTTGGCAACCGCACTGGTCGACCACTTGACTTCCTTCGTGCGCACTTGCAGGATCCCGGGCCCTTTTGTTCCATGCTTCCAACCCCTCAACGGGAGAACAGGCGGTGGTACTGACGTTTAAGGGGACGGAGCCCTTTTTCCTGCGCGACTGGCTGGTTGACGGCCGGACGGAAATGTACCGACATCGTCCTACCAAAGAGCATCCTGAGTGGGAGACGCTCGGGGCCATGCACCGAGGCTTCCTTTTCGCCTTGGGGCTCGTGGACCGTCCAAAGGTGACTTGACACTTTCAAAACTTCCCTCAGCTCAACTGCCGGATTGTTTTGCAGAGTGTGAAGTCTTCGAGATCAGTAGCCCCAATATGCCCACCCTATGAATCGCCTAGCTTCATCAACTGTTATTTCTTCCTTTCTTTTTCGTCCGGAGTCTTCCACTTCGATTCAGAATACCACTTGGTAAAGAACCTTATCACCTCAGTGAGCCTATACAACATGCTGTCGTGGCATACAGCCAACCAGACCAACGTTGCTCACGGATGGAGGCATTCCTGCCTTGCTATTCTTCGGCAGAGTGACCCGTCGACTTCCCCGCGCTTCCAACCAAGCGTCGTCATCCTCGACCAGTTCGGCCAAACCCGCAGCGTCTCGGGCGCGCTTCCGTACGACCGCCTGAAACTCGACCTAACCCAGATCCTGACCGACAACCCGGCCGCTCAATTGCTCATCACCGGGCACAGCCTCGGGGGCGCCCTCGCCGTGCTCTTCACCGCTCACATCCTTGCTGATGTCACAATTCCCTCGAACCCCGTGGCCCCGCCGTTGGGAACCGTGAAGCCCCTGAAGGTTGTGAAGCCTGGGGACAACCACTTCTGGTTCAGCCGGCTGGGGGGTTTGTATACTTTCGGGCAGGTAAGCACTTGTAAAGCGCAATGCATTTTTGTTTTTTTACCAGTTCTGGGGAATAGTAGAAGCTCGCGAGAGAAGTCCGAGTCAGAATCAGAATGTCATTATCACCAGTGCCTGGTGTTCTTGCTGACAACGGGTGCGCTATTCTCATGTATCATCTGAGGACTACTCGGCCCTGAACATGCACGCCTTAATGCTTTGATTGTCGAATGAAGTTCGGGACAAAAAGGGCTTATTTCCGTCGCCCCCTCTCAGCTTACTCAAATCCCCTTGTCCCTATTCACAGCCCCGGGTGGGAGACGTGCGCTTTGCGGTCTTCATGGAGCAACTGAATGCTGATGTGGACAGGCTGCTCTACTTCCGATTCGTCCACAATGATGACGTCGTCCCCCGGCTGCCGCCCGCCACGCCGCGCATGTACCAGCACGTGCAGCCGCTTTTATACATCACCGAGTTTGGAAGTATCACTGTAAGTCTCAGCTCAAGGACAGTTTCTGATGAGACCGCTGGTAAAGTCAACGGCGAAATTAAAAACTCCTAATAGAAGATGACGTTTTGTAAAGCGCTGCGCAGGGCGTCACGTTTGCTCACAAAGCAATCTGTCTCGGGCAGTGTTGCCTCGAGTTTTTGCTAGATTGTTAGTCTGCTTCGAGGAGCTGTAAAGTATGCGAAAGGATCAGCTTTAGCCCAGGAGAACGTGAGGCTAGCAAAAAGATTGCCGTTTGAAGTTGTAGAATAGGGAGAGATTGACCATATCCTGTGGATATACATCTTCTCCTTGCTTGGCAACCTTCGATTAGCATCTGCGAGAACTTCGAAGAATCCAGTCGATCTCGGCCGTCCTCGAGTCTAATTCAATCTTCCGTCTCGCCTCAGGGCGCCATGGAGCAGCCGCCGCTCATTCTGTTCAAGCTCATCATCGACGGCGTCTTCAAGCCGTTCGTCTCGGGCTGGTTGGGCCTTATCCTCGCTGCGATCGTCTACCCCGGGGCGCTTCTCGCCGGCCTCGCCACCGGGCTGCTCTTCGGCGTCATTGGCTGGATGATCGCCCCGGTTGCTTTTGTCCTGGGCGCGGTTCTTGGCGGCGGCGGCGCGTTCCTCGCGCTCTCGATCCTGACTGTGATCGTTAGCGACCATTTCATGCACGATTACAAGCGCGAGATCCGTGGCCTGAAGGTGGATACTGTGGGAATTGACACGCACCAAGTGAAGAGCCCGCTGGGTGCCGCACTAGACAAGGTTTGCACGCCCATGTTTGCCTCGAACCCCTCCACCCCGAATGCAGCCGTTCCAAAGAAGTTCGTTTGATCGGGCGTCAATGCAGAGGTATTTCGCAGCAGAACTGTGACTGACTCGATAGCAGCTACCGTAAAGACCTACGTTGAGAGACAGGAAGCAGAAGCCATGATCCGTAGTTACGTGCTTTTGAACTGTTGCTTGAGGTGAAGTTGGTTAACCTTTCAATCAGCAACTGCATCCGGAGTCGGACAGTGTCTGACGGTTCTAGTCGCATAAATCTAGGAGAAGTAAGTTCAGGTTACTATTGCTGAGCGTCAATTTAACGAGTTCAGGTGATCATGAGCAACTGTAAAATCATAATGCCAGTCACTTCTGCTGTCAAAGACATGAGAGTCCGATTGCATGATGAGCGGGTTTCATTATAGCTGTAAGTCGTTGACAGTCGAAATCTTGGTTGGCAATCGTTATACTGCGTGCATGCGTGGCGTTTGCCAGCTAGCTATTTTGTGAGCATTCGAATATGCTGAAAACGTGTGCTTTCGAAAGGGTAACAATGCTTGTTGCTCGCATTCCGTATATTACGTGGCGAGTCGAAATCAGCGGCTGTTGTTCATGCATCATTGGCGCCATGCATGCAATGAGTTGTGGACGCCCGGCTGCCCCCAATACGACCGGCCAACAGAGAGATGCTGCACATGTTTTGATGGTCGGCGACTGCACGACGACCTTGAATGTAGGATATTCCCTCAATGTCTGAGTCGGAGGATTGCATCCATGACAGCACACGAGCTGCTGCAGCCGTAATTGCTATGGCCGGAGAGTCACGCCGGCCGGCAGCCCTCATTGGTGAGTTAGGCGGCCCGCGCTGCTGCAGGTAGATGCCGCATTTTTGGCACCATCCAGCAATGTCGCACCTTGCAATTATCTTGTAAGACGATTAACATCATGTTTTCAGAAGCAAGATATCGTCAGTTCTGGACGTACATATGCACACATACACTTCGATCTTGGGCGCAATCACGTGGATTCCAAGGATCTCTTTCTTGAACCCATGCACCTTGCCTGTATACAGCTTGCTTTTAACTAATCATACACAAGGTTTGCGCATTGACATTTCCGGGCTTTACAAAAAGCTGACGCCTCCGCAGATTCCTCTAATGGACTAACGGTTGGATGTTGCTTGGAATCTCGGAGTAGAGCCTGCGAAGAGACACAGGATAGATCAATAATCTCACAAACATTGAGCGGATTCAAGTCGACAAAAAACATTGCATGCGTGTGCGTCTCACAAGGTATCATGGAGATCGTCACTGCTCTTAAGCCTCAATAAATGACAACTATGGCAGCCTGCTTCTCATAAGAGGGGGGCGGCGACAATACAAAAATAAGCCCACAAACGATAAGAGCTTTCGAAAGACCTTCCCTCAAGCTGTGATAAAACCGTCCAGTTCTCTTTCGATATGACTTTAGAGTATGCAAGCCTCAGACAGCGGCCAGACCGCAGGTTTTGCGGCACTACCATACAGGTGATATAGCCTGAGGGTTCTCCCTGCAGAGCAGGGTTCAAGCCAACACCCAGCTTTCGCCATAAAGTCTTTCATCATGGGCTTCTCAAGAGCTCAGAACCCTCTCAAATATAAAACCTTTGAAGCACTCAAAGCATAACACACATACGACAAGGACAACCTTTTAGATCCAGGGTGGATCCAGGCAACTGCAATTGAACATCATGACCAAGAGGAAGCTCTTACAGGATACCAAACAGGCAAAAAGAAAAGAGTGAAAAAAAGAGAGTAAGGGGGTGCTTGGATCAGCTACTGGCTTGAGGGTCTGACGACCCTATTGCGCATTTAGAATCAGCGTCGATCATTTGGGGAAAGTGTCATCATTTCCAGCACCTTGGAATGAAGAAAGTTGGTCGCAAATACCAAAATGGGCCATACGATACCAACTTCACTGACTCTCCTACATGCTTATGCAACTGGACGCAAAAAGCAGGAACAAACATGGCAACAGACCAGAAGCAGCCTTGTGAAGCATGACCATGCAGAGCTGATGGACCAGCACGGACAGGAAGATGGGGCCAAAACAGAAGGAAACCAGGCCAAGTTTACCGTGAAGTCAGCAGCAACCCAGTGTCAGAAATAATAGCTAAAGACGGTATTCGTGGTACCACGAATTGCAAACATCTGTCCAAGTTTCGTTCGATACTAGCTGTAAACGCTTTGAACTTGTGAGGCGTACTGAACGAGACAGCATTGCCAGCTCACCCGAATCACTTGTGGAGAAGATGGACAACCACCAAGCACAGCAGGACCCCTCCTTACATGTGGAGTGGCGGCGCACTCATTCATTAAGGAGTTAGCAGATCAACTGCAAGAGCAAACAAGGGTGAGTGGATGCTGACTAAACAGCGCTTGCAAAACAAAGGACTAAGCGAGGAAAATCTTAACAGGCCAAGCAGAAAAGTTCATGTCAGCAGGACTTTAATCTGCACTAGTTCTGACCGATGAGGGGCATGGTGGTATTGAACACCCACTTATTATACATCTATCATTAAGAGCGAACAGTAGCAGTCGGACACAAGCACTTGATTTCTTAGCCACCACTCGACGTCTGGTACCATTACCCAGGCTGTGACGGTTCCGAGACAATTTTCTTTCTCAGCCTGCATCCTGGTGTCCCTGATCCACCGTGCCTTCTCACAGGCAAACAGAGTAAACAGCTGATTACAATGCCATCATGCACATTTGTCAATACACTCCAAGAGACATCACCACCCTGATCATTGCAAACAACGGGACAACCCCCTATGGAATCAGCTGCTAAATCAGAACTAGCTGCTAGCAAGACCGAAGTTTGATGAATGTCACCAGCGCACTAGACTTCCTTACAATGTCACCTTTCAAAAATCTTCCCATCGGTGTAAAGCATGTCCAAAACAAAAGCGATGCACTTGGAAAAACCAGACATACCTGAATGAACAGTACTTCTGATTGAGGGGTGGTGCACGGCGGCGGCGCCGCTATGCGACCTTGGTGAAGGAGGTTGCGACTTCTCCATAAGAGCAGCTTTCACTCAGCCACAGTAAGGCACCTCAAGCGGTGCTCTGTTCAGCGGGTGCATGGTGAACAACAACGTAAGACTTTCTCTCCAATGGTGACAACTCTTCCTCCTCCTGTTGGAGGGCGGTGAACAGCTGAATAGGATGGTGGTCAATGCGACCACCAGAATTCTCTGAAACCCATAAAATTGCAATGAAGCCATTGCAAAAGGGCAGGCTTGCAGAAGGGCCAGGCTCACGATTTCTTTCTTGAAAAGGGTGTCGCTAGCGATCCATGAACGGTTTCTGTGGTAACGGCAGGTGTTCGGCCCAAGTATCAGGTACGTCTGAAGAGTACCGTAGTAGCACCGGGCTTCCTGCCGGTAACGGCAATAGAACAGTATGCCTGCTTGGCACCGTGGATGGATCTTCTGGACTTGAGCCCTGCGCATAAAATTTGGAGACGATCAGGGAACAAACTTGCACGCGCTTGCCACCACGACTCACGAGCTTGTGTTTGGGCATGTGACATCGCATTGCTTGGAGCTGGTGGCCATCTATGATTTTGTCGTAGCTTCTGGAGCTTCAGAAAGTACTGCCTTTGGCATAATTTCTCTTCAGCGCTGGATTCAGTTCTCGTAGTGCTTTGGGCCACCTAAATTTTGCGCCTGGCCTTGGAAAAAAGCTAAAAAGCCTTTAGAAAATCCAAACGATGAGACCGCCGCGGGGTGGAGGTGCAGGCTTCAGAGGAGGCGGCGGAGGCAGAGGGGGCGGTTTTAGAGGCGGGGGTGGGGGCGGTTTCAGAGGAGGGGGCAGAGGGGGAGGGGGTGGATGGAGAGACGAAGGGCCACCCTCAGAAGTAGTAGGTGCGTGGATCACCCTTTGAGACTCATTGGCCTAGTAGGTACATTGATCGTTGATATTGATGGGCAGTTCTTACTCATACACCGATTTGCTGCGAAGGGGTTGGGGGCAGTGTCAGAACTGTGACAAGCTGGTGGTAATGGTGTGGGCTTTTCAGGGTGTGAAGGAGATGTGAAACACAATGTGGAGAGTCCACCTTGGTTTCGGGGCCTTGCTTGGCTTGCTCCATTTTTGTTTTTGGACCGGTCGAAAGCCTCGGCATCATTAACCGTGGAGCTCGATGTTTTGAATCTAGAATGCTTCCCTGTCCTTCTGCATACGATGTGGCAAGGAAAAACCAGCAACTACCACCGGTCAATCACTGGCCGGGGAAGACCCTGCCACCAGCATGTTTTACCCCGCACTCAAGCCCAAGCGTTGCGACTGTTCTTCTTCCCACTGAAGAAAAAAGGGACCCATTCTTCATGAGAAAGGACGCTTCATGGTCTGGATTCTTGTTCATTCTTCCTGGATGGAAGAGGCGCGCCGCTTGTGATCGAACAGCCACTGAACCTTTGGCTATCTCCAGGAATCATAGCATCACGCGCTGCGCTGCTGCAAGGCTTTCTTGAATGGTCGCTTGCTCTCCGCCACCTATAGAGCCAATTTCGAGTATGAAACATAGCTTACATCAGCAGCGCACCAAACAGCGACTAAGTTTACTTTTGAGGCCTTATCCGCGGGCATTGCTTAGGTTGAAGGTGGGGATGCGCATTCTCAGGGGTTTGGACGCACACAGAGGGACACTCTACCTCGCTTTTATGTTTGTATGTGCAGAAGCCTCTGTTGATCACTTGAGTTTTGAGTTCGTCAATCAGAGTACATAGAACAACTAATTAAAGCTGGTTAAAGCTCCAGGTTAAGAGCCTCAAATGGGCGTTTCCCTGCAGAGGTGGCCACATACTTGCACGCGTGCGAGGGCGAGAGCGTTGTGAAGCTGACCAACGTCAAGATTCCGTACTTCAACGCGCCAATCTATCTGGAAAACAAGACCCAGATTGGGAAGGTGGAGGAGATCTTTGGTCCCATCAATGACGCCGTGAGTGTTGCGAGGCGTCTACTTTTGTCCCTCTTTGGGGTTATTCTTCTCTTATCAAGATGTAGTATGTGCGCACCAAACGCTGCATTTGGGCTGAATTTGTAGTGGGCCACTCCGCATCATCAGGGTTTGTCGAAGCTCGTACTTGGTTGCAAAGACCAACTTGAAAGAGCTGGTTGCTAGTTTCAGCAGCGATGTAGGTTGCACTCGTTGATGTCCATTAGAGTTCGCGCAAGGACAAGGAAGGAGGCTTGATGTGTGGAGGGAATGGGGCGGCAGGCAACATACTAGCTGAAGTTAGGAGGCAAGAGCGAACTCCTCTGAGGACGACTGCGGCAGGATTGGCTCGAGATTTTGGACCGGTTTTGGGTCGTTTTCAAGCAAAGGATTTGAAAATCGCAAGATTCGGCCCACTACTTCGCCCCACAACCCATGCCAATCACACAAGTGTCAGACCCCTTTCCAAAAGGCCTATGCAGACGTCCGCACTGCTTGGGGTAAGCGATTTTCTGCTTCCTCTGGTGTATCAGTGTTAGCTCCGGCATATGAAAGTGGCGGCAGTGGCGGCTCTAGAAGGGCGTCCCAAGTCTTCCACTTGTATCACGGTGCTTCGTCTGGGAACCCTGGATTGTTTTCTGAAAGCGGTCCCTGTTTTCAGAGGGACTTTGGTTCTTGAACGATCCAAAATATGCTCGACCTCTGCGATTGATTCCAACAAGACATTTCGCCCTTGCCCAATCGAAGCTCCTAAGTCGGGATTGGACGACTTCGAATGTACCAGCGCGGAGTTATCGGTGACCCCACAGCAAAGGGTTTCCTGTACTTGCAGCATTAGCTTCGATGTTTCTCGGGCGCTTATCCTCTTAGCATAACATTTCCTGATTATCTTTCCACCTGTATTTTGCAGCACTTTTCAATCAAGATGGAAGGCGGCGTCGTGGCTACCTCGTATCGATCAGGGGACAAGTTTTACATCGACCCCGCAAAGCTGCTGCCCCTCGAAAGATTCCTGCCGCAGCCCAAGTAAGCGACAGCACCTTTTCTAGACCAATGGATGTTGTGCACGGATGCATGGAAAGGGGTGGGAAATCAAAGGCATGAGCCAAATTGGAGTCTGTCCTGATCCTGATACATTCATGCGTCCTTCAAAGTTCTCTGGATTCGAAGACTGGTTGCTGTTCTTCGTCGGTTTAGGATCAGCGCAGGTTTAGGTGTCGGTCGGTTGATTGAGGTTCAGATGCACAAACGAAAGCAATCTCACGACCTTTCCACTACTGATTCTATGTGATCTGACCAATTCTCAAAGTCTCGCCAGCTGCTTTTCCATCTCCAGCAAGGGTTTCCGCTCCACTGGACATTTCTGTAAACGCCTTTGGTGCACTGTCGGGTGCTGCATTCAACAGATCCTATCCATTTCCTCCTCTCGATGCAGGGGTGCCAGCACCGGTGGTCGCGGCGGCGGTCGGGGCGGTCGGGGCGGTCGCGGGGGTGGAAGAGGTGGACGGGGCGGGGGCGGTGGTTTTAGAGGGGGGCGGTGGCGGAGGTTTTAGGGGGGGCGGCGGTGGTGGTTTCAGGGGAGGCGGTGGCGGGGGTTTCCGAGGGGGCGGTGGGGGCGGTTTTAGAGGGGGGAGAGGCGGGGGTGGGGGCCGTGGAAGATATTGAGAGGAGCCCATCCCGTGGGATTTGTTCATACATTGCAGCTCTAATCTTCGTACTATCCTTGTACTGTCGGCAAGGCCAGATTCGTGCAATTCGTCCATGCAAATCGATTGTTCACCGATGGCAATGCGGATTTTGGGTTCGTTTTTCATTTCTGCCAATCATCAGAGTCCTTCTCGCTTGCCTCTCAAAGCTTTATGTGATCAATAGTTACAAGCTTAGTGACATACATGTGAGTTATCAATGATTATTACTGGCATTGCTTGATTGCCTCTCAAACCAAAGCGTATCATAGGAGCGAATCAATGGTGCCACTTTGATACAGTCAGTGCATTGTCGGAGGCACGGATCCTCAACAATTACAACGTCTGACAAGCGGTCATGCACCACGTTTCTGGAGGCAACCGTCAAGTTCTCAAGTATGGACCTACTGAGAAAAAACTTGTTGGTGCGGCAGAAATGCTTGTATAATGCCCAATACGGCAAGAACAAATTTGGTAGAGCTAACCGATTTTGTGTCGATGCAAAGAACATGTTCTAAAACGACTTGCCTTCAAAATTTGAGCCTCAGGAGTCGGGCTATGCTGCTGCATGTGGCAACGGCGACGCGAAGATACGGGCCTTCGTGTAAGTCGCACACAGTACGATCAGAGCGAGTGACCACTGACTTTCTCTGGCATGCATGTCACCACTGCCCCTGCTTGTGAGGGATCCCCCTCAGCCCCACGGCTACGTCAGGCTGCGTCCGCCTGGGCGTGCGCGGCGAATCGAAGTCTGTTTTCGTGACGTCGGCCTCCGCCGAGAATTTCTGACATGTGAAGCCCGTGCTACCCCGTGGTCTTGACGAACACATATTGGCCGTCGATGTTCTGTCCGGACTTCGCATCTTGGACCTCTACCGTCCGATAAGAGTTCGTCCAGCTGAGTCAAGTGACTGCATGATGAAAGTTGCGCTCGAGTCTTGTTCAAGTTGCCATGAGGATAACTACCTACCTACTGTACTGTAATACACCTTATGCTGGTGTAGGTTTGTCTTCGTCATACCGTACCTATTATGGTTGCTGTACTGCCATGGTCTTGCTCTTTGGTCCCCAGGCACCGCCGGCATTTGGGAGAACTTCTTCAAGGGAGAAGCGCTCCAAAAAGTGTTGTCCTCGCCATAATAGTGAAAGCCTTCATGACAGGTTAAGGCGCAAGCCTTTTGACAAGGTGGCTGTGTTCCGTTATTATTCCAGCAGGTCCGGCCAGCAGGTTGGACCCTTTCACGGCGCCCCTGGCAGATTGGTCAGACTGGTCAGCTGAAACGATATTTCTTTGCTGTATCAGACTTTTGTAATCTGGGGCCATTGACCGGTGTGCACTGAGCTCTCAGAGGAAGCCGCACATTGTGTTCAATTTGCAGCTTTTGTATCCTGATCTTCAAATGCTTACTGCCATCTCATTAGGAGACCCAGACGCGCCGCAGAATAACAAAAACTCCATTGCAAAACGTTACGTCTAGTCTCAACCAGAGAAGTTGCTAAGGATAAGAACTGCCAAGGAGGAGTTACCAAAGAGCAGCCATGGCAACTTCCAACGACACCAACAAGAGCAACGAAGCGCAGAACGAGGAGAGCGTCGGGTCAGACATGGCCTCCCAGAAGCCTCCCAAGCCTAGTATTTCTTCAAAGTGGAAGTCGGCCGCTATCAAAACAGTTGAAAAGGAAACGGGCCAGAAAGTGACGTTTGATCCGGAGGACAGTGTACATAGCGGCAACTCGCTGTGGAACACGCTGGACGTGGAGCATCGGGAGGGGGGGTGAGACGTCCGAACCACTTTTCTTCTTGTGTTACGATAGGTCAACTGCAGTCTTGTTTGTTGAGACGGCAAAATTACCCAACGTTCTGTCTTTTTCTCTTTTGTCGCTTGAGCGCCACGCATCTTGACAGGTTGGACATGATTTCCTTTTCCCTTGTCGCATCGCTGCACCGACTTGCGAAAAGGTGACCCAGCATCGTCGTGGATTGGACACGGCATTAAAGTCCCTTTCGATTTGACCAGCACCGGACAGGTGTTGCAAGACATGTAATGGGCGCCATGACAAGTGCCTCAATAGCGAGGGTTGGTCACAAGTCTGCGCTCTGACACAAACCAACCAGAATTGGAAACACATTTGAGAATAGCTGGCTCGTAACAGAGAAGGTATAATCCTGCTTGCAACTGAAATCTTTTGTGAAGGAGGAGATTCCGCACATCTACGGGTTTCTTAGCCAAGCCACCGATATTTTTCACACCAGCATGAAATGTGCGTCAGATGGTCTGCCTGTAGCACGCAGCTGGATTTTTTGGCTGCTTGCGTTGAATGTGAATATCTCTACAAAGACAATTGAGCCCTCAGTCCGGCCTCACTGAAACCTGACTGCTCTGTAGATTGTCAACTGTGACGGCTCTTTTTCGTCACGTGAGGTTTGTAAGGCTCAGGGGATTGCCACCGTTCATGATGCCATGCATGTCGTCATGACGATGCGACGAATTTCTTCCGGACAGACTCTCAGAATGCTGGCTTCTGTGCGAGCAACTAGAGCTGGCTTCCTCAACGCGTGTATAGTGAAAAGACAGACAGACATCCTCAACCTGCTACAGAAAGCTTGGTAACAAGTTGTGATCAACGGCACTTTAGAAATGCTAGGGAACAGGTTCAGCCTCTTCATCTGCCCCTTACCATAGATCTCTTTCCGCTCCAGGTCCTTTTCAAAAGAACGGTCGATATCAGTGAGTACGCCTCAGCACTCATAAGCTCGCAGCTACCAGTCAGTAGTACCGCCGTGAATACCTTCTCCGCACGTGTACCCTACCTAGAAGCTCAGATCAAACGCACCCATCTCCGAGCGGTTAGCTTACAGTCCCTGCTGATTACAGTTCCTGAACTGGACACTCACATTGTTAACCCGCTTCTTCTCCTGTGCAGGAGTCTCCACCGGCACAAGAGCAAGTTTCACGGTCTGGTCCAGCATGTGCTCGAGAAGTCTGTCAGCCAGGGGGATCAAGACCTCCTCTTTGCTCCGGTCAGTTCTGTCAATCTCACACTGCCTCATACTTTCACTCTCTTTGAGAGTTTCCAACAAATTCAAGGGTTTGCTAGTAACTGTCTACTGATCATTGCCGCCATTGCAATCTTTCTTTGCATGCTCACTGGCCCTTCTTTTTGAACAGTCTGGACTTTGTAGTTTCTGATGACTTTCAATTGAATTCAAAAAAACCCTTCTCTTCTGTCACCAATTCTTTCATGGCTGTTGCTTCCTGTCTGGCCAAGTGAGGCTCATACTTGCCGGCTGCGCAAACCAAAGACTGTGCTTTGCCCCAAGCACTGCTTATGTGCAGATGTGCACTCTTGAAAGCAGCCCTTTAAGCACACCAGTCCTTCGCTTCTTCTGTTTCGATTCTACAAACGAAAGAGGGGAGAAGAGCAGCTTGCCACACAACAGCCGCTTCAATCGAACTTGCGGTTTCCTCCTCTATTTTGTCACACCCGCTCTTATGTGCGTCCACCTCGAAGCAACAACTTCCAGTAGGAGCTAACCACTATCTAAGCAAATATAGTCAACAACAGATGCCCCTGAATTGGCCGAAACCTATCTACTCCGCAAGCATCGGTCTCGCCTTCTAGCCAAGCTCTGAAGGCTCTTGTGCAAACACTAACCCGGTTCGCTTCAAGCACTAACCTACTATGTCAACTGCACTCCCTTGCACGACCCCCCTGGACGATCCACCCCACCAGCAAAGCTTTGCTTCCGCAATCAATGTCAAAACCGACCTACTTTCATCCTTAACCCGGTTCGCGGTCAGGCACTAACCCGGTTCGTCATCTGCAAACCCTCCCAGGTCCGCCCGTACGTAATCCACCCCGCCAGCAACAAGTACATTTACTACCAGTACTGCTTCATCCCGTTCGTGTTCTGGAGTGCTTGGGCCGTGCCATTCACGTGGGCCTTTCTCAACATTGGGCGCACGCACCCGCTCAGCATCATCGATTACTTCATCGACTTCCTGTTCTACATCGACGTCGTGGTTACGTTTCGGCTCGCGTACATCGAGAAGAGGACGTATCTCGTGGTCGATGAGCCCCGTCGAATCGCCAGAAGGTGAAGGCTCTAGCGTTTCACACTGGTGGAATCAACTCTTCTCCTGCGAACTTGAAACGTTTTGCGATTACTTACGGCCGTGGAGTTCCGGTTGGTGGTTGTGAAAGAGGATGTGGTTGCTGGAGAGTATGCACCTCAAAGCGCCGTACTTTTGACTTTTGATCCTTGTTCTTTCCGTCATAGACGTTTATTTTGAAGTTGTACGAGGTTGAGGTGTTGCCTTGACGCAAACACTGAGGAGGGGGCATGCGTTGCTGCGACAGCTTCGCCAATAGACCAGAAAGGATAAGCCCCGTCATCTTTACAAAAGGCAATCTGATTGGGCAGAGTGTTTAACTTAAACCCGCATCTGCTCATCTTTCTTCGAGGTTCGCGTTCCGTCCGGCAGGTGACCTAAAGGAGCAGTTTGTTAGAGACGCGGTGGCCTACTCCCTGTTTTTAGCGAATGTTCGCCGGCATTCCGTTCCGCAATAAAATTCCGTACGTTCCGTTTCCGTAGATACCTGCGGAGCACTTTTTTCCATGGACGTGGTGGCTTACTTTCCGTACCACATCTTACACCAGAAAACTTGTTGGCTTTCCGTTCCGCCAACTCATTCCGTCCGTTCCGTTCCGTTCCGTTCGGGCAGGTACCTGCGGAGCACTTTCGTCATGGACATGGTGGCCAATTTTCCGTACCACGTCTTCGGCGCACATCAGTCCGTGCGATGGCTCACGCTCGTTAAGCTCTGGCGTCTCAAGCGCATCGGGAGACTGTTTGCGAAGTGAGCAGACGAACGTTCTGAAACCTCACAGCATTTTTCCGGATGAAGCGTTGACATTGTGTAAGATCATACGCCACGAACCAGATAGGACCCTGCTTGTTTTGACCGAAGTTGCACATAGTCTGCTTGCCAGAATCTACGCGAATAATCCGTCTGAAGAGTCGACCCTTGTCAGAATCAAATATGTCGTCCAGATCATGTGTTCCAGCTTAAAAACTCCCTCCTTTGAAAACCATGTCCAAATCAACACTGCAAAGGCAGGAGCTAGATTTGGCCAGGCGGGAGAGTGAGCGTTCCACGAAACAGACTCAGCTGACAGGCCGTGACTACACGCGACTCCTCTATTTGTGCTCAAAACTCATGACATTTCGACCAGCCTTTACCGAGCCAGAGGTGGCTAAGGGTGCCCGGCGACGGGAAATCTGCAAAAAGCTTTCCAGATTTCTTGGCCAATCGGATGGCTTTCTAGGTCCACTTGGTAAACCAAGGTACACACCAGAGGAGGTAACTGGCTTGAAAAGTACCGTACCTTCTACCTGTCGCTACTACAAAGGCAACACTGGAGGCCAAGTAGGTTTTCGGTCGACGCGCAACCTAACTGACTTCTGCTCTCGTTCAGGGCTGAGAAGGACATCCGCATCAATTACTTCGTGGCACGGGTCTCGCATCTCTATCTGGTGAGCACGCTGCGATGCATCACAAGGTTCGTCATGACCATCGAATCGACCCGTGAAAGCTTTTTTAGTATCTGGCCACTGCCTGGGCTAAATGCAGACGCCTTAGCAGGGTTTGGGTCGGGTACGCTTCTGAAGCAAGTAAAGTTTCTGGGTTAGAGAACGCAATGTTTTCTAGATTCTTGTGGAAAATCTACCTGGTCATTCTGCTCCGACGGACGCGTCCTGTTTTCAGATCGGACGCTTTCCTTGCAGTCAAATTGGGTCGAATCGGGTTAGCGAACCGATTCACAAATGAGACGCGTTTGGAATCGAAATGTCTCAGCTTTTGGTCAAGTGTGACTTCGTTCCTCTGTGCTTTAGAGAACAGCATTCCCACATCCTATTCAAAGGCCCGAAACTCGTCTTTGGACTGCTAGTAATCTGCAACATCCTCAGAATCCCTTGTCGCCCCAATTATACCCAACTCCCCTACTGACTTTCTCAAAAGCCTTTCTTTCATGGAGCACATGACGGCGCGCATCAATTCGAAACACTTAAGCACCCCGAAGCGTCGCTTAGCGTCCTCCTCTAACCCCCTAGGAAAACTTCCAACGACTCCTGAACCACCTCGTAAGACCCCACAATATGCTGTTAACCCCATCTTAAAGCAGTTGGTCAAATACGTGGCACACGTGGCGGCGAGCATCGCTGATGAGCTAACGTCTGGGTTCCTTCTAAAGCACCTCTTACTGCGTGCCCTGACCATCCTGAAACGCCGCTAGACCTCCTCCAAACCTTCTTTAACCCCTTTGTAAACCCACAGCTTCTCTTAACCTCTTCTTAACCCAGGTGGTTATCTTCGTGGCGCACATGGCGGCGTGCATCATTTACGAGCTGGCGTCGGGCTACCCCGACTTCAAGCGCGAAAACACGTGGATCGCGCTCATGTATGGCGATGAGTGGAAAGAACGGAGGTAAGGCGTTTGTGTCATTAGTTTCCCATATCTAGTTGATACTCTGCAGTCTCTACCCGAGTCTACATCGTACTCTGCGGTAACGTCGGAGACGCAACCCATTTAGGCTAATCGTCATCAAACATCAGATGATCGGACCTGCTTTCTTCTTACAGCTGCTGGAAGGGAAAGGGACTGGATTCAAAGATTTATCACCTCGTCCTATCATCCTCACAAGAGCTGCCTTTCCAGACAACAGTCCCTTATTGTTCATCAATTTGGCCTTTCTTGCTACTTACGTCCCCTTCGACTCACCCCGTCCCGACCAGATAAGTCAGCCCGATCCTGGGTGCTTTGATCGTTCGTCCCTCGTCTAAGTTAACCTTCCGCCCTACCTCTCTAGACTAATAACAATAAGCTTACATTACAGTAAAACCGAAGCTAACTACTACAAACCCGAACCCAAATAACCACCCGGTCCGCATCTGTAACCACCCTAACCCTCATACAAACCCTACCCATCCCACCTCTAGGATTTAACGTACAATAATCATCCCAGAGAACGATCCTTTCCCCCAGCCCCTCACTCTGAACCCAACTGCCACGTGTGCAGCGTCTACTCCAAGTACGTGGCGGCCATCTACTGGTCCATCACGACGCTGACGACCACGGGGTACGGCGACTTTCATCCGTACAACACGGGGGAGTTTATTTTCTGCGCCGTGTACATGCTCGTGGTGATGGCGATCACGTCATACGTGCTCGGCAACATGACCGCCATCATTGTCAAGCTCAGCTCCAGGGTGCAGGATTACGTGAGCGCACAATCCTCCCCTCTTTAGTTGTCTTTCCCTATCTTGCATCCGCAATTTCCTTGCTTGGGAATTCTCTCGCAACGGATGTGAAGGAAGCTGCCAATGTCTCTAAACCTTGCAGAATATTGAACGGCCTTCGTGTTGGAGCCCGATAAAGTCACGAAACCTGAGGCATACGAAAGTAAGATTCTTGGTTGACACACACCTGGCATCCGGATTGCGAAGCAAGTCGCCCACTCTAGTCGTTGCGAAGGACCGAGCAAAGGAGGCAATGCTGAGGTGGCTGCAAAACACTCTAAACAGGCGCCCTGTCCAAGTAACGCATGTTTGAGGTCTTACGGTGCTTGAGTTCTCGTTGTTCACGTCCCTATCTTTGTTTGGCTTAAAAGCCCGCTAGAACGTCCGTGTTCAAGCTGCTCGTACCCGTTCAAGAGGCTATCGATGGAACAAATTTGACATGCTTGGACATACTGAACGTTCGAGTTCTCAAGTGGGGCCCCGTGCTGGCACAGCGACTTGAACAGGGCCTTGTTTTTAGCGTGAGAACATAAACCAAAGTCCTTTCTGCTTGCGTGCAGCGTGACAGCATCAGCGCACTCGACGGCTTCGTGGCCCGCAACCGGTTGCCGCAGCACTTGCGCCGCCAAATGAAGCGTCACGCGCGGCTCAAGTTCGAAACGGCAGAGGATCGATCCGTGAGTTTGCACTGTCCTCCTCCAAAGCGATTCCGTCTCGTATTGGCACAGATTATCGGAGCAGGAGGTTTCTTGTGTATCTTCGAGCTGCGCTTCTTCTGGCGAGGTTTGGTCTCGCCGACGCTGCCTGGAGAGCGAGGTGTTAAGTCTGCCCTCGAGAAAAGGCAGAGACGGCTGACAGGGAAAAGTGTTGGTTAAAGGAGTGAGTAAGGGTGTGCAGAAGGAGTACGCGCGTATGCTCTTGGGGAATGCTTCTTCAAAACGTAGAAGGCTGTTCTCATCTGTTAAGGAGAACAAGATCCTGACTCTAATTCACCCCCCCATTTCGCAGGATGTGGTCAAGGCGTTCCCCAAGAGCATCCGCGCGCGCATCTCGCGGTACCTTTACCGCGACCTGGTGGAGCACATCTACCTCTTCCGCGACTGCTCGCGCGAGTTTGTCGCCACCCTAGTTGGTGACGTCAAGGTCGAGTGGTTCATGCCCGGGGAAGTCATCATCAACGAGCGAGACGCGCCGACGCTGTTCTACATTCTGGCAACCGGGAAGGTTGACATCATCACGACGCTTGAGGACGGGTCCGAAGAGGTAGGTGATGTTTCCGAGTAAGGAGGAATGGTTTTCACTTGACTCTGGGCCTCAAGAACGAGACCTTTAGGAGATTCTGCTATGATCCTTGGACGTGGTTTATTTAGTATGCCGCGCTTGAGGTCGCCTCCGAAGACGTGAGCTTCCATCAAGACGTCATCATAGAAAGCCGAGCGAAAGGTTGAAGGAGACTTGCGCTTTTCTCCTTGCGACCTCACTCAGACGCTCAATCCGGCGGAGCGAATCTTGAGTGCACGGTGTGTTGGTGGTTACGGGTTCGTTGAATGTCATTAAAGAGGCGAAGATGAGGTGTACCATTCTTCGTATTGCAAGCACAAGATCAATTCAGCCCAAACCCAGTCCGAGTCATAGGCATCCAGTGGTCCCCTTTCTCCGCAGATATTTACCGCAGTCGAAGGGGCAACGTAAGACAAGCCCAGATTCAGTTCGTTTCATAGGCACTCACTAGTCGCCGCTCTGCCTTCCTCCCCAGGTCATCACTGCAGTCAAGGAGGGCGACCTGTTCGGCGAGAGTCCGTCAATACACATGCAGCGAGATTTGACCAGCGGACACGTAAGCAGCGCACGAGTTACCAGCAACTTATGGGTCGCCGCTCTGCCTTTCTTCGCAGGTGATCACCGCAGTCGAGGAGGGCGACCTGTTCGGCGAGATCGGCGTTTTGTGCAACATGCCGCAGCCATTCATGTGCCGCGCCACGCAGCTGACCAAAGTGCTGCGCATCGATCGGAACGATTTCTCGGGTGTGGTCCAGGCGTACGTTAAGGACGGGAACCAGGTGGTTCAGAACCTGCTCGAGGTAGGTTAAGACTTGCTTAACTCATGGTTAACTACCGTTAATGTGTGGCAAATTACTGTTATTAAAGCGTAGGTGAAACTTGAATTTGAGGGGCGGTCTAGGCGTATCTCAAGGAGGGGGAACTAGGTCGTCCAGAACCTGCTCGAGGTGGGTAAAAGCCTGGTTAGGGTCCGGTTGTCTGCTGCGAACGAGCAAAAAGTTGGTAGGTTTCATGCCAGAAGTTAAGATTTTCTGTGGTAGTCCTCGCGCATGTCAGAGGGACCCGGTGGTTCAAAATCTGATCGAGGGGATTAAGGGCTAGTCAAGTCCCGATGGGAACCAGGTGGTTCAGAACCTGCTCGATGTAGGTTAAGGCCTAGTTCAGTCCCGATCAACTCCGTGAACGTGGAGATACGGTGGTCAGAGCGCGAGTGGGGCGCGCTTCCTGGCGAATAGTTTGGGGGTGGTCCAAGATATGCCAATTCTCGGTATGTTAAAGAGCAATTATTGGTTAGTAATTCATGAGCGTCCATAAGCCGTGGCTGACTTTGTCCGGAGTGCTTTGTTCGTAAAGAAGGAGACCAACAGTGCCTGCTCAAAGTGTTCCCTGCTCAATCTTTTGTCTTGTTTGGACCAGTCCCTATAGTGCAAACAGACAAGTACAATCGACCGCTCGCTTCTCCCGTCACAACGTACCAGGAGCGGAGCAGACGAACTGACGACCAGACAATTGACACCAAGCGTCTTAGGATCGAAATCAAATCCTCTCCACAATGGAGCGTGTGATGATTGAAGTACTGTTTCCGAAAACGCTCCAACCTTCGAGGACCAGGCTGATTTACATTGTTGCTTATGCTGACCCGCCCAATGTCCGTTTTTGCAGCGGACAAAAACGAAGACGACGTTTTGGCGACACAGCTGTCGGAGAGACTCGCTTCGTACGCTATCTCGGCAAGGCTCCTCCAGCAGTAGTACCTTTTCCAGCAATACCGCCAGGTTCAAAATGCAACCAGAACATGCCCGATCACAATACCTTCCGTTACCGTTCCTTGATCCCCTCCTGATTCCGTTTCCGTTTCCGTTTCCGTTTCCGCAGCGAACCAAAAACGAGGACGACATTTTGGCGACCAAGCTGTAGGACGAAACGCCCTTCGTACGCTATCATGGCAAGGTTGGCGTTCCTTGATTCCGTTCCGTTTCCGTTCCGTTTCCGCAGCGTACCAAGAACGAGGACGACGTTCTGGCGAGCAAGCTGTCGGCCGAGATCGTGTCGCTGATCAAGCAGCAGGAGGCTGAGCTCACGATGACGCTCGTCTACGTGGCGTCCCGCGGCGATCTGACCCATCTCCAAAAGCTGATGCACGGGGGGGTGGATCCCAACAAGGCGGACTACGATGGGCGGACCCCCCTGGTACGGACCAGCCAATCCTTCGGACCAGCCAAGTTTCCGTTCTGCTTTGGTCCTCGCATTGTAATAAATGGAGGTCATGCGGACGTCTGAGGATCTTCGGAAACCAAAAGAGTTCACAATCCTCTTCTCTGCGGTGGAAGGTGGAGTGGTTTCTCCACCTTGAGCGGATTCACAAGTTGAATGCGCTCGTTGTGAGCATATCTGCTCATAAAACGCTCTTCAGAGAGGCAAAGTGGATATTCTGTAAGGCAGAGAAGTAGCGCAACGGCCCTCTGCTCGATGACAGTTTCTCCCCCAAACTGGTCAATCTGTTCCCAAGAGTCGAAGAAGTCATACATAACCCCCTTGTTCTTTCCCGCAGCATTTGGCTGCCTCCAAGGGCTTCGACGAAATCATCCCCTTTTTCCTCGCTTTGACAAATCCAGGTTCCTTTCATGGCTTTTTAACGCGCGAAGAGGTTTACAATTCCCAGTTACCCCAGTGAAAAGGCTTTCGGCTTCCTTACAAGGCGCCTGTCGAATCCCCCGCAGCATTTGGCCGCGTCCAAGGGCTTCGACGACATCCTTCGGTTCCTCATCCGCGAGGGCGCTGACGTCAACTACCGCGACAACTTCGGGACGACCCCCCTGAACGAGGCGCTCAAGAACGGCCAGGACGACTCCGCGCGGCTGCTCTGGGATAACGGCGCGCGCCTCAGCAAAGTACGCGCGGGGTCCGAGATGTGCGAGGCGGCCGCGGCAGGTGGGTACCTTTAGGGTTTTAGGGTTTGGATAACCAGTAGATTCTGAACTTTGGGCAGAAAACGAGGCGCGCGTCAGCAAAGAAAGCGGAGTCCCAGATGTGCGAGGCGGCTGCCCCAAGTGGATTAGGGTTCTTAAAGTTGTTTAGGGTTTGGAAGATCAATAAGAGTGCGAGGATCTGGAAAGGAAAAACATGCTCCCCTCAATAAGAACGCGGGGTCGGAGATGTGCGAGGGGCCACGGCAGGTGGGAATTGGTCCATGGTTTTAGGATTTTAGGGTGTTAGGGTTTGGGTGGTTGTATTGAGATCCAACTTTCGACGTAGGGTCTGAGAGGGATTCAGGTTCTAAGATTGTACTAGAATTTCAAACAGGTGGTGCTTTGTGCTAAGATCGAATGGATCCAGGGGTGTTGGAAGCAATCAGGATTCGAAGTGTTTGGTACCGATCGGGAGTCTGGATAACGGCGAGCAATAAGGAGCGCGTCGGGTCAGAGACGTGCGAGGCGGCCACCTTCCGCCTTAGCTGGGGATGCATCTTAAGGTTTGTGAACTTCTGAGGTTATCGGGTTAGGAAAGCTTCCAGCCTCCACCGTGCATGCAAAGTGGAGCATCTGAAACCCCTGATGGAGTACGGTACAAATACCGACACAACCAACTACCACTCCTGACCCAGCTTCAACCCGGTTCATCGAACCAGGACGCCTACGCACTGAAGATCCAGAATTTGCCTAATCCAAACTTGAACCAGTCACGAAGCGCAAAGCTACTGTAGTGCAGGGAACGTGGAATACCTGAGGCGCCTACTGGCAGTGGAGTACGGCGCCAGTCCGACTCGGCCAGCCACGATTCATAACCCAAGTATGCACCTATCTTGTCTGACCCAGACGCCTATTCGCAGATACTCGCAGATACTTGAAAACATTTTCCTAGCCCAAATCCAAGAATCAAAGCGGTTGCAGGCAACGTGGAATATCTGAAGCGCCTGCTTGAATACGGCGCCAACCCGAACTCCGCTGACTACATTTCCGAGCCCAGGTCCAACCCCGTTTCGCCTAACCCGGACTCCTATCCAGGCCACACATATCTGAACACAATATCTCCAACCAAACCTAACCCAAAATATACTTGGTGCAGTAAACGTGGAATACCGGAAGCGCCTCCTGGAGTACGGCGCTGACCCGTCCGCTAACTACAACTCCTAACCCAGTTCCGACCCTGTTTCGTCTAACTCGGACGCCTACCCAGACATAACGGAACACGACTTTCCTAACCGGATGTAACCGAAGATCAACTTGGTGCAGGAAACGTGGAATACTTAAAGCGCCTACTATATCCGGGTTCCCCTGACTGTAAATCCTAACCGCGCCCCAACCCCGTTCCGTTCAACCCGGACGCCTGCTCACACACCTGGACACGACTCTCCTAACCAAACCTAACCCAAAATTTCTTGGTGCAGGGAATGTGGAATATCTAAGTCGCCTCCTAGAGTACGGCGCGGATCCGGATTCCGCTGATTGTAATTGCTAACCCAGCTCCATCCCGTTCCATCTCATCAAACGCTCATACCTGAACACGACTTTCCTGACCAAACCTAACCCAAAATCTTCTTGGTGCAGGAAACGTGGAGTATCTAAAGCGCCTGCTTGAATACGGCGCGGATCCGGACTCCGCTGATTACGACTTCCGTACGGCGCTGCACGTCGCGGCGGCGGAGGGCTACTTTCTCGTGGCTAAGGTGCTGGTGGATAACGGGGCAAACGTTTTGTTCGCGGATCGCTGGGGACACACCGCCATTGACGAGGTGATTCTGCTAAACTACCTTTTCAACCAAGGGAGATTGCTGACTTTGGCTTCGATTGCGATGTGCTGTTTGCGACCGCTGGGGGCACACTGCCATCGACGAGGTGACTAAGATTAACCACGTTTTCAACCGCGGGAGACTGCTGACTTTGGTTGCCTTTAGTCGGCTTCAATGAGCTGTTTCCGGACTGCCGGGGGCACACAGCCATCGACGAGATGACCACGCTTAACCCTGTTTAAAAGCGGGTTAAGAGTACTTGTCTTTGAGGTTTACTTGGGTTTCCCTCAGTCGGCTTCATCGGATGTTTGCGGATCGCCGGGGGCCCGAATGCCATCGACGAGGTGACTAAACTTAACCCCTTTCTAACTAAGTTAAGAGTGCCGGATTTCATGTTATCTCTGGCTGCCTTCAGTCATCTTCAACGTGCTGGTTGCAGACCGCTGGTGTCACACGGCCATCGACGAGGTAACTACGCTTAACCCTGTCATAACCGCACAGAAATGCTTGAATCCGAGGTCGGTAAACTTCAATTGCCTACAGTCAGCACAATTTCACGGTTTTGCGTTCAAGAAACGTCGCCCAAACTTGATCAATTCGCCTCTCTCTGCGCAGGCTGCATCCGGGAACCACGCCAAAGTGGTGGCGTATCTAGAGGCGGCGAAAGAAAAGATGAGTGCGGAAGGCAAGTCAGCGCCCGAACAGGCCCTGCTGGATTCGGAGGAGCGCATCCAGGAGCGCTTCCGGCGGATGGAATCCTTTGGCAGAGCGGTGAGCGGAACATGAATGTATCTTATGAGATTCAAAAATGTAGTGGCCTTTCAAGTGTGTCTGTTATTGCAAGAAAAAAGGTGATGCTTCGCAAGTCTTGGCTGGACTCCGTAATCCCGTCTTGAGTGCACCAGCGATATCAAGAACAATTTGGAGGTTATTGATTCTTCGTTGGGCGAAAGCCAAGATTGTTTGACAAAAAGAGCGCATCGCACTCCTGTTCTGATTGATTCGACGGGAGAGGCGTAGTTCGCTCTTTGGGGCCTTACAGACTCATTGTTGGGCTGTCGTAGTCCCTTTGCAAGCGCAGAGTTGTCCAACCGATGGTTGCTTTGGGCCCGTCTATTCTCACAAGTGGGACTAGAAGAGCTTCCTCTTAACGTGCAAATGGAAACTACCCGGAGCAGGACTCCCACGTTTGCGGCAAGACGAAGAGCTCTCAATAAATGGCGAGCCTTTTTGCGTCTTCGATACCCGTCCGATCCTCCGTCAAACGAAGTGGACCGCCAAAGTCGATCCGATCACGATCTGGCATCTTGTCCGCATGCAGTCGCTCAACGTCGAGTCAGAAAGACTTCGGCCACTGAAAAGGGAACTTCCGCCACTGTGAAGAGAATTGCCAAGTCAGTTGCCCATACGGGTTCTCATCTCAATAGGCTTCGCAACCTGCGACCCCCAAAACATTCTTCAGAACCTACAGCGTGTTCCCCCCGCAGTCATCCCATCACAGGGTTGAAGCAAGATGACTTGAGCACCGTAGATTTTCAAGTATAAATCTTCAAACCCCAAAAGCTGTCCCCCTTCACATAACGTATCGACTTTTCCCCTGCTCAAAGCGTATAAGCGATCCCCCTGCAGCCGCCCCTGCAAAAGCCGAAGGCGGAGAAGCTGATCCACCGAGGGAGCCCCCTGGAAGCGATGCTTACCGCCCACACTTCGCATATGGCCCGCCCCGGCGGGGGGGAGCTGGACTCAGAGGCGCCAGTCGTAAGTTACCCCCTCCTTTGCACCGATTCTGCGCTGTGCTTTTTTCACGTCTGACCGGGTTGATTGGACCCTCTGCTTCGATCTACTCGAATCCTTTCACGTAAACATCAATTATCAGAGATGTGTGATCAAGGCTAGGTTGCTTACGGTACGAACTAGAGGTGTGGGTTTGCGGAGCACGAGGCTTTTGACTCGATGTTTCTCGCCCCATCCCGCCGCATGTTGGAACTAACGGATGTCGTCAGTGTTGCTGCTCGCCTGACACGGAGGTCTTTGCAACACTCTCCTCATGAATCTGCGCTTCTGTGAATCATCCATCACTAAGGATTGGTCGGCTCAGGAAACGTAACTGACTGCATTTTGAGAGGCGGCGATGTAAACACAGTATCTGACGCGCAAAAGAGGGGCCGAGCACGCGTGAAGCGGGCGACACAGCCATGGGATCAGCGTTCCGGCTTCCGCTGATGCTCCGTCCGTTGTTCCGTCCAGGTCGCGATGGCGGCCGCGGCGCGGGGCGTGGGCAGGAGTCTGACGCAGCGCGCGTGGCAGGAGGCGGGGTCGTACGGGGGACCGGCGCCGGCCGGCATGTCGGGGCGGCACTCGCCGTCACTGGTAAGAAAACAGTTCAAGACATTGAATCTAATCAAGCGATTCATTTCAAGCAATGGGTGTCAAGGGAAGATCGTGGGGCTTTCTGCCTCCTACTCAAAAGCCATTAACTCCGACATGCGACAACCTGAAGAGTCGCTGTCTGACCCTTCGCCCTAGCCTTCGACCCTTCCGACTGGAGCGCCGGACCTTTCATCGATTGGCTTAGATCGATTATGCAAAATTTTGTTTCATTGAAGGCCACTGACCGCTAAGATCGCCTACAACGCCGCAGATCTCTGAAACGCCGAGCTCTGGATTCTCGCATAAACTATTAATTGGAAATTTGCGCAGGTGCACGAGTCCGCTGTCCGGCGCATCACCGTCCGGAAGGGCCGTCCGGGCGATCTGAGACCGCCGAGCCGCCTCATGCGGATGCCGCACAGCCTGGAGGAGCTGCTCGCGGACGCAGGTGAGGGCCGTATTCACACCGCATAGTGGCACGCGTCCCGTATGCACTCTATCCTTATTCACACCACCCCGGATGACGCTGCCCAGCAGGCCACGAGTTGAATCGACGCGAGTATTTGATGCGCGTAAAAAGCTCATCTTGTTTTGGCGATCACTTCATCATCCTGAATTCCGAATGGAATTCGTTTAATTACTTTCCCACCATCATTCCACATCATCTAAAATGTTGATAGTAACAGCGTTTCGTGGTTCACGCTGCTGATTTTGCTGGGAAGCAAAGGCTGGATCGTTGGGTTAAGGAGCTGCAAATGATTCCGTCCATCACAGAGTGTACACTACTTCTTTGCTCGCTGAGCTATACCGAAGAACCATTCCCGGTTCGCGGCAGGTCGCGAGTTCGACTTCGAGCCGACGCTGGTGTTCCACGGAAAGCTTACATGATCATATCGCCGTTCGACGATCGACGTTAAAGGCAATTATTCGGACCCGTCCAACTGTGTTGCACTCTTCCTGGCAGGCCGCGACTTCGACTTCGAGCCGACGCTGGTGTTCCACGAGAATGGCGGCCTCATCTCGGACGCCCAACTGATCGCGGACAATGACGTGGTGTATGTTGCGGACAAGGATGATATGGCGACGGACGGTCAGGGTAAGCGAAATAGGCTGCCGTTTTGGCCTCACGAAAGGCTCAAGAAAAATCCTCGTCCTAAAGAGTGGTCTCTTGTGTCCGCAGCTCTTGATAGAAATTGTTTTGCGAAAAGAGCGCACCTTGTTTCTTGACTCGGCGGATCAGACAACCGCACGGCAGTCCTCCTCGCAACATGGAAGTTAATGCTTTTGACGGTGTGCAAGGGAAGCCTATCAAATTTTCTAGTTCAGGAATGGTGGCGGTCAAGGTTTGAAGCCAAAGAAATAAAGCTTTGACACGCCCTGAAAAAGATCGAAGAGTCGACGAGCCAAAACAGGTGCCCAGCTTTACCACGTACGCGTCGGGCTCCTTTTCGTAAGCGCTTTCGGTCAATCAAAGCAAACGTACGAAAGTCAATCGTCATCATTTGCAACCAACTTTTGAGCGATTCTGTGCGGCTTTTCATCTGCCTCAGACAAGTCGTCTTTGCCACCGCACGCGTACGAGTAGTCCGCAACGACAATCCATCTTGGGGTGTACCTTTTGAAGCAGGCAATCGCAACGCCCAGCCGCTAATGGTGCACTGTTTGCCCGTGTTGCAGAAGATCCCAGGGTGCTTCTCAACAAGCTGTTGGCGCTTCTGGGTTGAAGGGGCGGGATACTATGTCTACACCATTGGTCAAAGGACAGAGCGGCACAGCGGCCCCTTTTTCCAGCCTGCTAAAGCAGGGTAAATCGTGTCCGCCTGAATATGCTAAACGTAATATCATCATCGAGTTGTCAGATAGGTTTAGTAATATGTTGTCGACAGGATATTGCAGTAAGACAGGTACGCGGTTGGATGATAATGATTGTATATTGGTACATAACTAGCTAGAGGACTCGGAATAATCCAACGTTGTTCTTTGAGTTGGGGTTCCGAGCTTGATATTTGCTCCTTGACACTTGAACTCTTATCTAATCATTGGTCATTTTCTGCATAACTGAATGCATGGACACATAGTCAGAGACTTCGCAAATACGTACGCGTATGTCAAATATTCAGGGGCTCTTATACATCACAATCAGTCGAAGGTGGACAGGGCCCCCGATCTTGAACACCGATGCTGTTCTGTAAGTAAGACCTGATCTATGTATCTCAGGGCAGTCTTCTCAGATCCATCGAGCAATAATTGAGTAGGATTGCAGCTACTTTTCACATCGATCTCAACGTAGTGACCACGATTTGTTGTCATCCGATACTGCCGACTAGGTGGCAATATTTGACCGGAAGCCTATCTTCCACAAACAAGGGCTCTCATTTCCGGTAGCAGCATGACCGGTAAGGCCGCATATATTCAGCCTGCAATCAATCAAGCGAGCTGCTGGCCGATGAACGCAAATTCCCTTGTACATAGTCAATTATCAGGCTGCACCGTCATGCGCGTGCATGCATTATGGACAAATACATAATGTCCCTGTATTCTTGCTTTGTCATCATGCCTTGCCAGTTGGACGGGCCCGACAACTGCTTCTCGATTTGCAAAGACCTAGGTTTGCCATGGTCAGTACGTCCCGTCATCGAGTACGTATGCTCCGGTTTGCATGAGCGCCTTGATTCAACAGCGAAAGTGAAAAAGATATGTGATTACATGTCACTCATACGGCATATCATATCATTTGTGATCCCTGAGTCCCCCCAAGCTGGCGGAGTCGTCCCGACGAAGCGGACGTCTATATCAGCAGAGATAGCCGTTCCAAATCGCCTACGTATTTGACGCAGCGAGAGGACAGTTCGGGCAAAACCAGTCTCCCTTAGGCCGCGTCTTGATGGGCGGCATAAAGAACTTCATGTGCCAACCGGACTCGCAGCTGTCGCAGAGCAGCATGGGACCACTGACCAGTCTCAGCGGGTGACATCGACGAGTCCGCAGATCTCGCATGCCCGGTCCTTCTCCGGGTCGTCTGCCAGAGCGGGGCTCTGGTAGAGGTCGATGTTGGGATTGTGGCAGGGCGCACAGTTCTCAATATGCTCTCTGATCGGATGGTCTTCTGATCACGGCCCTCCAAGAGCAAGCGGCCCGTGCCGAGCAGCTGCTTGACTCTCTTTGTTAGGCTCCATCGAGTTGGTGGACTTGCGACGCAGATAGACCAGGTCTCCGACTTCGAAGCGCTTGAGCTTTGGCTTGAAGTCGCCAGAGCGAGTGTACGCGTAGCGCAGCGTGTCACGGTGCTAGGCAATGGCGAGGTCGTTGAATGCCAGGGGCATAGCCTCCTTGAACAGCAGAGCGCAATCTCGCGGAATCTGCGCGCTGAGCAGGGGCAAGTCCAAGTTGATAGGGTGGCTGCCATAGAGCAAGTAGTAGAGGGAGTATTCCCCCAGCGAGTGGTGTCGGCTGAACCGGTACCCCATCGCAATCCAGGGGAGGAATTCGTCCCAGTGGTCGTGGTCGTACAGCACGCAGTATTTGCGCAGTGCCTTCTTGAACATCTGGACGATCCTCTCATCCATTGAAGCCGTTGGATTGGGCATGGTCGAGCTGGACGTGATGCAGTGCTCGATGTACATCTCAAGAAGGAGCGCTGCAAAGGCCCTTGAACTCCGTCTTTGGTCTGTCAAGACTTCTGCTGGCGCGCCGTAGCGTGCCAAGACCTCGATGAAGGCGGCCTAAGTTCACGTTCGAGCTGCAGCCTTTGCGGGAACTGCGGCAATTTCAATCCACTTCGAGAAGTGCTCGATCATGACAACCACGTACTGACCTTGCCGGCGGCAAAGGGGAAGGGCATCTTGAAAACATCGATCCCCCAACGGTAAAACATGCCCATGATTGGCCGAGGTCTTAGCTCAGGGTCCTTCACCTCGGAAGGTGGCCTTGATGCGGTCGCAGACCACACACGTGCTAACCTCCTTCTGGACGTCTCCATACACTGCCCGACCCACCAGTATATGGGCTCGAGCAAGGTGTATGTAGATTCTTGACGCCGTAGGGTCCCACATCCAGGTGCACACGGCGAATGAGGTTCACGCGTTGCTCTGGTTTGGGTACAATCTTGACTTCGCCGGAAGAGAGGCGTTTGCGAAGCACGTCTTCCTGGAAGTGGTAGCCCTGGGCACGGTGCCAGATGCGGTCCTTTTCAGGAGCCGTGGCATCATCGGGATAAGTGTCGTGCCTCAGGTAAGTCATCGTGCCAGATGTCGCGGTCGAGGTTGAACGGCAGCTCTGGATCGATCGGCTGGTCACGCGGCGGTGCGGCGGGCAGCGCTGCGGGCGTGGCTCGAACAGCCGAGTCCTCGCCAGCCGTGGGGCTGACCAGTCTTGCCAGACAGGCAGAAACGGCACCAGCTTTCGGTTCAAAAACGTGGTCCATTCGAGTGTCTGTTGAATTGCGAGCTGATGGGAGGGTTCCGCGAGAGCCCGTCCGCATCTAGATTCTTGAGACTGCTTCGGTGAACGATCTCAAAGTCGTACTCTTGGAGTCCCTGATGTTAGCCCAGCGGGCGTGCATCCCAGTGAGTTGCATGTTGGTCATGAGCCACTTCAGCCTCTCGTGATCCGTAATCTGAGGGTGAAGTGTCTAAGTGTCTTCCATAGAGGTACACGCGGAAGATCCGGCCACCCCCCAAACAGCCGCAAGACACTCTCTCTGGTAGCTCGAGTAGTTGCGCTCAGTCCGGTTGTTACTCCGGGAGGCGTATGCAACTACGAACTCCAAGTTGTTCTCCTCGTCCTTCTAAGCGAGAAGGGCGCCTAGGCCTTCGGCATTCCAGTCGGTATGGAGCTCGAACGGCATGACGAAGTTGGGTCTCCTCAGGATAGGAGATTCGGTCAGCTTGACCTTGAGCTGCTCAAATGCATCATCTGAGCTTCGGCCGTCCATCCCCATGGCACGTCCTTCCGCAGCAGCATGTTCAGAGGAGCGGCGATGCTGGAGTAGTTCCGAACATAGCGCCGATAGTAGCCAGCTGTGCCGAGGAGGGCACGTGCCAGCGAGGGCACGTCTTGAGGCGCGGCCATTTTGAGGATGGCTTCGACTTTCGCCTGCTGCGTGGCGGTGCCCAACCCTTGCACTTCTCAGCACAACCTTGCCGTGTGAGTTCCAACCTTGGAAGTACCATGGATTACTACGTTCTCTGCATGACTACGACTATGCGAGCATGTTAGGATTGATTGCTAGGATTAGCCGCGGTACTTTTTCATTTCGAGCACGTTAGATTGCGCATGGTCATAGGACCCGAGACGTTACTGACACGACTTATAGCATCACGACAAATACGGCAAACGTGCAGGTGCCCGGTTGTTTGTACCGAGCGCGGTACTTGCAATGCGCGCAAGTGCTCATGGTACTAAGCGCATGCCCCGGCCGTTACTGGCGGCTATGGCGTAAATAGATGCGGCAAGCTAATGCGGGGATCCCTCTGGGATTTACAAGCCCCAAGTGGGGTCTAACTAGCATGGCGGCCAAGTAGCGGCATTTAGCAACTAGCATGGGCATAAAGCCCTATAGCCGAGTCGTCACGGCAACGACGGCACACGGCATGACAGACAGGTCCACCCGCATGCAGCTTGATTAACTAATTGTCATCCCGGGCGGCCAACTTGCTGCATGGGGTCGGCTCATTGTCATGCATGCTAGAGAATGAAAGGGATTCAATGTGGAGTCGCCATGCAAGTTGGGCCGCAGTGTCGTGCCGCATGCATGAAACACATGGCGCGATCCTTGTGGGTCGTACAGGCATGCGTCTATTTTGATGCTACTTTGCCTTGACGACAAGGAAGGGTATTATAGACTGGAAAAAGCAATGGTTTGTACGTTTTGGTGACGGGAATCGCAGGCGGCAGATTGCGCATGGGGTCCAAATAAGGCGCCCTCACATGTGCACACGAGTCATGATTTGAAAATAGATTAGCCAGCTTATCGTGAGAATTCGACGGTTTCAGAAGACAGTAGGCCAAACTGGCCATTCCAACGGATTGTATCCGAATTGCATATTACCTAGTAAAAGCAGCCTTTTTAGTAGTCGGAAGCATTGGAAATTCTTTACATGCATCCTCAGTGTGCCTAGTGCACATGCGACTGTAACCGCGGCGAGTTACTGAACATTGTCAACAGTCACGGGCTAGATCAGGCTTCATCACATATACTTGAAGCGCAAGGCGGACCAGATTTCTTCAGAGCATGTAGCTACGGGCCGATGGCTGAATCACCATGTGTCAAAAATGTTCTGCCAAATTGTGTTCGCAAACAGAGCCTTGTCCCTCTAGTTGCAATTATGGGTTGCTTTGAAGGCCCGCACTTCGGAGGATCTCCTCGATGAGCTGGATGAGGCTTGGCCGAGTGGCTGATTGTAGGGCTGCCACAAGCTTGTGAGGCGGGGTGTGAGAATTCTCGATCAGACGGTCCTTCCAATTCGTTTTATCGAGTTCCACCCCCACCACGACTGCCAGCATGTAAAAATCGTACTCCTCCTTGGCGGGTTCACCCACCCACTTTCCGCCAGTAAACCAGGTTGTTGTCGTCAGGACCGGCGTGTTGGTTGGGACAGTGGACCCAAGGTCTCCAAGGTACCACCGCCCGTCCGATTCCAGGAAGATGTTGTCACTCTGCAACAAACGAGGTTTTCTCGGTCAGTACTTCCCATCATACAAATTGGAGAAACTGTGTCACCAGATAATTTTAGCAACCAGGCTTGGGCATCGCAAGAAGGGACCCCAAACAGCGGCAACAACGGCAATAAAGCTGCATGACTGTGCTCTTCCTGCCATTACCCTCAACTACCGGGTATGAATAGGTGTAAGGTCCCCCAAAATCCTGCTCTTGTCAGAATTCTGCTGCTCAATCTCAAATTGTGGAAGAACCCAGATAGCAACTCGCTCAGTGCCAATCATCAGTCATATAGCCATACGCAGTAAAACTTTGGAGCGCCAGGCTTCAAAGTTGTGCGCAAAAAGGTTCAGATCATGCAATAGGCTGCACCCAAGGAAGCTTTGTAAGCTTACCTTGATGTCCATGTGCACAAAGTTCCTTGCGTGCATGTAGCGCACCGCATGAAGAATCCTTCGTGCACCCCGCTCAATGACCTCCTCCGTTAGTTGTAGACAAGAAGCTACAGTCCCGACATACTGTATTGAAAGAAGGGCTGCATAGCGGCCAGGCGCGTGGCGAGTTGACCCATGCTCTTGAGTCACCCGAAGCTCTAACACCTCCGCTTCAATCAGGGGGGCCCCCTCCTTTTTCGCGCCGGGAAGCAGTTGATGGCAGGCGCGCCCCTCAGACCCGCCCGGAAAGTTGGAACTGTTGAGTGGAACTGCGTCCGGCAACATCTTCACAACGCATAGGCGACCGCGCACATCTGTTGCTTTCAGAAGGGACAAAGGTCCGTCCTCTAACCTGCAATACATGCCAATTGTCAACCGCAGTGCCTGAAATCGTAGTCGCTAGGCTCCACAGACTCGAGCACTTCCCAATAACAATCACATGTAACTTTTATCCTACCCTCAACGATATCATCTAAAGCTGCACACGTGTTCTCTTGTCGATTCGAGTCTAAACAACATGTTACAATTGGATTGAAGACAAAGGGATAAGGCAAAGAGATCAGATGTGCGAGAGACACACTCAGGCTTTGATGACGAAGCAGCCAAACAAACAGAGCGAGGACAACCCAGAATTAAAATGGGGTCAGAAGAGACAACCAAGACGGCAACTGCTAGTAGACGGCATCCAGCTCCAAAACCTTTGTCTCCAGAGGTGCGGTATAGAGGAAACCTCTAACTCCAAAGCTGCTCAGCATGATAGCAAACAGCCGAATAGGGTCAGATCTGCACGTTGTTCACACTAAATTGCAATTGCAATATGCATAAGGCTGTCAGCAGCATTCTGCTAGGCTTTCAAATACAAGAGTTCTGCTGTGCCAAGTAACACCTTACCTGGTGAACAATGGGCCATTCACTCTGAGCTGGTGCTGCGTCAGCAAATGATTCTTGGTCGAGACGCCCGGCATCAATCTTGCTTGCTCGTAGATGTCGAGCGCACGTGCTGGCGTGTTTGCTAGCATCATCTGTTGTGGCAACCTTGAGACAATTGTGTCCAGCACTTCGGTGTGTGGTCGTGAAACGTATGTCTTCTCAAGCAGCCTCTTGAATCGGATCTCATAATCGAGAAGAGGAGGATAGTCAGCCGGCGGGGGCCCTTCGACCTTCTTTGTGACCGTGACTAAGACCATACTTCCATCAGCAAACTGATCAACTGTCATTCCAGTCAAAAGGCCTTGTTTGATCAAGGCTGGCTCGAAGTCTTCAATCAAAACTTTGCTAGCTTCGAATGCTTTCAGCACTGCGTCCCATTCCAAGCGCCCCACGGCAGGGCCCACCTCGCCATAAACAGGTAACCTGTGCTGCTCCCCTGAGGATACATCCCGTAGGGTCACTGCAGGATGCGGCATGCTTGCTGGCGCTTCCCCCGAATCCGTCTCCTGGAATTTGCAAACTGTGTGCAGGACTCAGGAGACTTGCCCTCTTCTGACGTGAGTGTTCAGCACAGTGCTGAGCACTGCAGACTTGTTCTACATCTACTGCACGCGCGACGACGCTGGGTATCGTCGGAATCTGGCGCGCGCCGCGCCCGAGAGTGCCGGCCTGTTGGTTGAGTTGGTGCTATTCTGCTAGCTATATATGACTCGTCTCTTTTCAAATACCGTGCCATTGGCATAGGCTTCTCATGGCATACACATGTTGTGCCAGGTGTTCCATGATACCGTATGTACTAGTTATACTCGCGAGTCTACGGTATCCTTTGGTTCGTGGTGGGCTCACGCCGACGGAAGCGAAACGGTTCACTGTAGTCACTTCTCGCTTCAATGCAGACGCTCGAAAGCAACTTTGAAACAATCTTTCAACTGATCATGACACAAAAGTCGTTCATGCTTTCATGCTGCTTCTCCTCGTCTTCAATTTATAAACTTAACTCATTCTAAAATCCGAATTCTTGTGCAATAGGGGAGTATATTATGATTAGGTGAACAGGTGACATCATCCTTTGCATCCTTCACCGCGTGCCTTGCGGTCCACTAAGGCACGACGGGGGCACGACACCCGAGGACGGCTTGACCCAAAGTTACGTGGCCCTTATTAGAGGTTTTCAAGGTTTCCCGCAACGTCCTGTCTCGCATTGGGGGCCGGGACTACTCGGATGGAACCCGCTACCGAGAAGTCCACTATATGAAGGCTGTGCCGGTTCGACGTGGAGTACAACCGGACCGGCTGCGGAGTCGGTCACGGTTGACCAAATGAAGAGATTGAACCGATTGGGCCGGGCCGGACCGAGCAACGTTCAAAGAGTAAAAGAGTTCAACTGCAGTAGTCTCACAAAGTGAAGATAGGTGTTAGTCCCGCTTCTAGCGCGGCGCTTCAGCTTTGCAACACTTGCAGATTGGACATCATCCACCCGATCATTTGTCCATTTGTTGGGACGCCTTATTACCCAAATCGTGCCGAGAGTACTAGAGAGGCAGGGGAATTGAATGTGGCTCAGAGATAGTAGAACCCCGGTTGGAACTTTGTATAACCCAGTCTCGCTTGAAAAACAATGTTGGCCTCAGAACAACACTTAGTAGGTTGCAAGCGGCTTAGAGGATTAGAGCCTGACGTGTTGAGCTCCCGTTGACTCAGTCGAGTTGGTCCATTCGTCGGCAGCTACTAGCTTCATGCACTGTTCACACTATGAGCCTAAGTTTCCAGTGAGCTGCCGCCCAGAGAGTACAGTGACTACGTGGTGACTACACACGTAATATCTTTGACCCGGCGCCTGATTGAGACGGTCCGACTTCGCAAACATGTGCATCCGGGGCGAGCTGCCGACCTGGTCAATTTTCAACCAGTCTATCATTTCCGAAGCATCTATCATCGCATGAGTTTCGGACACATGTGCATATGATGATTGTTGAGTCATGGCCAAGCATCCAGTTGTGCGCGCCCACCTGCGAGCTAGCTTATGCACAGGCTGATCAGGTCGATTGATCATTAAGCCTGCCCATGCAAGACGTACGGGCGGCAGGCCAACCGTGTACGTTACATGGGCGACTCCCATTTGGGAGTGTACATCTCATGTGCAGTACGCCGTTACTTGCGATTTATCCATCACGGCCCATCCCGGCGCCACACACATATCAGTCTCGTAAGTCCGTTCAGTTCCTGGTTGTCTTATTTCACACGTTGCTAACCGTCCAATCTCGGTCATCTTCCAACAATGGTCCAATGCAGCTACAAATCCGAGCGTTTCCGTACTGAGCGTGTCGCCGGCCGCCGGCCTTGGCTGGCCTTCAGAATTATTATAAGGTTTATTTAGCAAGTCTGCCACGCACATTCCAGCCAGTTTTAAGACATATCAAGTTCTGACTGATATTCTAGACGTACATTCGAGTAGCACAACCCTATAGAGTTGGTGACAGAATATGCTGCGCCGACATGATCCATACAAATAATCAAACTTCACGTACGAGCAACGGCTGCATGGGCTTCTAAGTTGCATCCGCATGTGCATGTTCAGTCAAAGACGTACGTCCACGAGCAGACTGCGGCGCGCCATGCAATTCCGCGGATGTGAAGACTGTGATTGCGGCGGAATGAAGATAGTGGCAGGACACTAGTGCTCTAGTAACACGTGGCACATCAGGCTGATCGGGGCCTATGCTGGCGAGAGGCACCTTGATTGACGCTCCGCATATTTCCTTTTTAAATCACTGATTAATCCAAGAAACCTTCTCAGGCGATCCGAAAGTTCTGTCACCATCTCCAATTTGATAAATAGGGCCTATACAGAGCCGCCAGAGGTCGAGGATAATCGTCACCATCATGCCCGAAGCAAACGCGTCGATGGCTGCTTGGCCCACGGCCCACTGGACGTTGACCTTTTCGTCCATCCTGTGAGAGAGCAAAGAATGTTAGTGAATAGAATGGGCGAATGTTATCTAACGCCGAGAATTAATCCCCAAGACGAACAGAAGACCAGGCAAGTGCTGATGGTGGGAAGATCTCTTGTAAGGTAGATACGGTACGTACCTCTGGAGCAAAACAAGGGACAAGAAAACAGGAGGCTTCTAGCTCAACCCTGGCCAATCTACTTGGGGTCAAAACCTCCGCTTTCGAAAGGAGGCAGGTGCGCGGGTACTTGTTTCCGACGTCTCAGAGCTACAGAGTGCCGTTCAACTAGCAGGGAAAAGATTTTGAAGACACACAAAGGATTCGGGAAATGAATCATCGCTCACCGGAAATACATTGGGAAGCTGACGAAGAAGTAGATGGCGTAGAAGAGCGACCCCACTTTGTACATGGCCGCCTTGTCCACGAACGTGTAGTACTTGAACTGCGCGGAAAGAGAAGGGATCCCGGAGAGAAGCACTTTTGTTCATGACGGGCGCAAAGCTACTGACATAAGACACCCGACTCTGTGGGAGGCAGAAAGGAGTCAATCAGCCGCTCAGCCCTTCAGACTTGATTGTAAAGAGATTCTGATTGTATTTGAAGAAGAAAACGTTTTACAAAGCGTAAGGCACTCGCTGCGAGTTACACGCGTCCCGACCGGCGGACTCGTGAGCATGGTCGATGTATGTTCTGGAGGTTTCATATCATGGAACCAGAACCTAACGCCTAAAACCAGGGCCATCCTCAGAAGGAGAGCACACCGAAGATGTGCCAAAGGTGTGCAGGATCTGCACCATACGCATTCAGCGGTACTGCATCTTGATCGACGAGCTCAACAGCGCAGGATATCCAACAAATCAGAGATGCACGAAAACCTCGTCCAGGTACAACTGCCCCGCTTGATACCTTCCTGACTCTTCTAGCAACAACCTGAGATTAAGGATCGCATGAGCGACACTGTGCTCGACTCACGTGGGTGATTGTGAACGTCTCCATAAAAGCCGTGAAGTATGCGAACGCGATGACAACAACCGTGTTTGCGGCAAGTCGAACGGGGTAGCTGCGGCCCTTGATGGCGTGACTGAGCCGTCGCAACACGAGGTTGGAAAGAGTGTGGTAGAAGCAAAAGTAGGCGTGCGTCATCAGATAA